AACAGAAGACAGAAGACAGAAGACAGAAGACAGAAGACAGAAGACAGAAGACAGAAGACAGAAGACAGAAGACAGAAGATTGGAAGGATGTAAGAACTTACCAAGATCATCCTTGGTGATGAGAGATAAATGGAAGTGCGATGAGAATCACGCGGTGATCTCCCAGAGAGTAGCTCAGATGTGAAAGTGACAGAAGAGAAGAAGAGAGAAAGAGAGTGGAGAAGGGGAAAGGTAAAGTGGGGGAAGGCAGCCCTTTTATACCCTCCCAGAAGAGCGTCACATGAGAGGAAGAGAGGAAGAGAGGAAGAGAGGAAGAGAGGAAGAGAGGAAGAGAGGAGAGAGAATGAATGAAGGAAGAGAAAGAGGAATAGAGGAAATGGGGGAAGGCCACCCTTTTATACCCTCTCGGAAGGGCGTCACATGCGTTGGATATAAGCATCAACGGAACCTCAGGCCAGCAAAGCTCAATCACAGTAATTCCTTTCAGTAGAGCTGTCCATTTGCTAAGCCTCATACTATACATAACACCAATTCTTGAACAGAATCGACACAAATGTAGGGCTTGGACAGTTCCTTGGCGTTCCACCTTCCAGCCAATCAGAGCGGTGAGCCTGCTCTGACTAGCCTTTTCCCTTAGGCTTTTAGTTCCCTCGCCTCCAGGCCTTCATTCCTGATCCATCTTGACTCATTTGCATTTCCCTTGAAACTTCAATCATGCGCCTCCCCCTTGAAATACTCCAGCTCATTCTGCAGGAAGCAGTCGATGTTTTGCCCTACGGTGATATCCTGCACTCCCGACTCACCAATAGTAAGCGAATCATCTGCCACAGGAATACGCTTCTAACTTAGCTTAGGCCTCTTCAATAAAGCCCTGTGGCCCACCAGTGCCAGCCTAGATCACCCGGGAGCCATCTTCACGGTGTGGCGCAAGTTTCCCTACAAGCGGAAATACCTCTGGTACTTAATTGAAAACCATCGAGAGCGACCGTGTTTCTTCTCCGAGTTATGTCACGACATTCGACAGATGCCGCATATTGCTGCGACGAGTGAGAAAGAAAAACAAATCCTTATGGATAAAATGATCGATGCTATTTTGCGCAGTACCGAGAGTCCCAGCATGCTATTCAGTCCCCATCGTTATCGCGCTTGCATTGAAAATGTTACTGACGCGTCCGGTGAACGGATCGAGCCCCTGGAAAGAACGCTTGAAAGTGGGCTTGCTGCGAGCGCCATCCTGCGAGGAGATCATGTGGAACTGCAGTCATTACTAGACGAGGGGCTCTGGCTGATGCGGTGGAGTGAAACTATGGGTCAGGTGCCGGTGGATCTAGCATATAAAGAGGGCACCCCGGAGATCATCAATATCGTGGCACCTCGCTATCCTCTCTTTCACCAGAGCTGCTCGTGGTGGACTTATGACCACTCATGTAGTTTGGCGGTGGCCGCCAGGCGTGGGGATGCAGAGCGAGTGGAGTTGTTGATTAAGACTAACCTGGATAGAGGGAGGGATATCTCGCTGGAGCTGCACAAGGCCGTGGAAGGGGGATTACGGATCGGAAAGGTGGAGATGGTGGGAGTGTTGGAGAAATACATGACTCTTCGGAAGGAGTCGATGCAGTGGCTTTGGTTTTACTGCTACAACGAGGCTGTCAAGAATGGCATGTTTCATGTGGTGCGATGGCTATTCAATCGCGAAGGCGCTCTCATGAAACAGAGCTCTCCGTGGCATAAGACGCCGCTTTTCATTGCCTTTCATGACTGTCCTTCCAATGCGAGATTGGAAATGGTTCGGTTGCTGCTCGAGAATGGAGCTGATCCCAATGGAAATGGAGGTCTAGAAGTCTCTGAGACTCCGCTTCAGAGAGCTATCCAGAACGGAGATCTGGAGGCTGCGATGTTGCTGGTGGAGTTCGGTGCCAATCCAAATATGGCGGCACGACGAACTGTACCTTTGCACATGGCCATTCAGCGGGGACATCCGGCGTTGGTGCGATGTATGTTGGAGCATGGAGCCAAAACTAGCTACCAATTCAAGGGCAAGAGATACACCGTGCGGCGGTCAGACAACATCACGACGCTATTGGAGGATTTAGGCTTCGACCAGGTTACTGAACAAGAATATGTGATCTTGGATCGGCCAGGCACAGGCCCCCGGGCTTCTGATTGAGAACCCTTCGAACAGAAACATGGACAACTACTAGGTACTTATTACAACAGCATCATCCGTCGAACGTCTATCCTTCCCATCTGAATCCCTTCAGCCGGTTGCCGGATCCTTATAGATCTCAAATGGCAACACCCATCTCGGTTTCCCACCCGAAGTCAAAGAGGGAATCTCCAATGTTTCCGGCGTGAAGTGAGTCACGAAACCACAAAACAACCAATTCCATCGATTTTCTTCGGTGATGGTTGCGGGCACCAGGTTGTTCTTTTGAACACAACCCGGCCAGTACCGATGTCAATCCTCAAATTCCTCCCAGAAGACAGCACACTCCCACCCACCAGAGTCGAAAATTCAAGCAGACCCGGTTAGTTGGAATCTGATCCTAAACGGCGTGCTATCGTGACCGGAAGTCTGAGGCATTAAGCATCTCTCGGCCCTTCGGCTTTTCGGCTCAATGCTAGTCTCCTCCGTCCTCTGTGCGAAGTCGGCATTTTCATCATTCACCCGAAGCCGTTTCAGTCTGTTAGACTTGATCCGCATATCGACCTAACTACAAATCGAAAAGATCGGAGGCTGGCAGCCCTGAAACACCAGTTGACACCAATTGATTGAGCGTCCACACCCACTTACTCAGCGACTCGGAGATCGGTGCTCGGAGTTACCGGATTCGGACTACAGCCAGCTGGCGGGCGCAGACGAAGGGATATAAACGGTGACTTTCGAGCATACGGCCATTACCTGGAAGAGCTGAGAAAGATCACAGACTAAGTCATGGCAGATACCCACGAAGCCCTTGATGTGCTCATAATTGGAGCTGGTATCGCCGGCCTTTCAGCAGCGATCGCCCTTGGAAAACAAGGGCACCGAGTGGTGGTATGAGGCACAATCCTCCCATCACAAGCACCTTACTGATCGTAATAGATTCTTGAAAAGTCAGGCTTTTTAAAAGAGACTGGTGCGGCAATTCATCTCCCTCCGAATTGCACCGCGCTGCTTCGTTGGATGGACATCGACCCTACTGACTTTGGAGGCACACTGTTACGAAAGGTCGGTGATGATTTTGAGTCAGAGTTGAATAATAGATTGACAGATTTTGAAGCTTCAACGATACGGCCATGATGGAAGCCTGGGCTACACTAAGAATTTTGACGAGATTCGGCATCATTGGCAGGCAGTGAGTGGGCTAACCTTCTTCGAACGTTGCAGTGAAGCCCTAACAGGTGTCTAGGAGTGGTATCTTGTTCATCGGGTTGACTTGCATAACCACCTTAAACAACGCGCGCTGGAGACAGCCACGCTACACACTCGATGCATTATCACAGGTATTGACATTGAGACAGCTCGCCCTTCTGTTACTCTGACAGACGGTCGTATCTTTGAAGCCGATCTCCTTCTCGGCGCAGATGGACTACATGTAGGTGCTTGAAGCCATTCATGGATGTATGCCGTCAAAACTGAAAATGCGCTAACGTCGAGAAGTCTCAAATTCGTCCAAGTATCGCCCCGGGTGCTCCTGCCCCATATCCAGTGGGCAAGTCGTGCTTTCGATGGCTTATACCTACTGAAGATCTGAAGCAATATGAGAGCACGGCAGAATTTGTCGGTGGCTCAGGCGTGTTCATGGAATGGGCAGCAGACGATAGGCGCCTTGTTGCATACCCCTGCTCTGACGACAAGGTGTTCAATCTTTGTGCTTTCATGCCATCGGCGGAGGCAAAAGCTACAACAACCAGCGATGGTGAGTGATGCTTGTGAGCCCTCTTGTGCTGTAGCTAAATTGGCCCAGAAACCCAGTCAGGGTGGCAGATCACCGGAGACAAGGCCAGTATCGCCCAAGGCTTCTCCAAATTCTCACCGGGCGTCAAAAAAATCATCGAAAGTGCTGGTGACAACCTCAAAGTCTGGGACTTGTACGATATGGAAGGTCTCCCGACCTGGACCCAACAACATGCCGCACTTGTGGGAGATGCCGCGCATCCATTTCAGCCATGTAAGACACAAACATTTTCGCAGCGGGGTCAACGTTTTACTTACTGACATAATTGCAGACATGGGCCAGGGAGGAGCCATGGCTATTGAGGATGCTGTAAGTATCGCGACTCTGCTTCCTCTTGGGACTCCCTGTAGCGAGATCCCAACCCGCTTGGAGATGTATCAATCCGCGCGTCGGCCGCGGGTTGATCTTGTCCTTGAGTACACCCGTCGGAACGGGAAAGATGAGAATGACAGCACAAGTGCTCGAATTTCACGTAAGTTTCTCTTGTTCCTCGTGAACATGCTTGGTTGCTGATGAAACCTAGCCGCGGAGATGGTCAAATTTATGGGTATTTGCTTTTCTCATAACGAGATTGAGGCTTGCAAAAAGATGCTCGAAGCCAAATAGCCAAAACATAGAAATATTTGAGCCAAAGGTGAGGAAACAAAGGATTCGACCACAGTGTACTAGGCCTGCTGTTCAATTTTCATACACACGGCTACTATATCCATCTGAGCACATGTTTATTCTACAAAAAAAGATAAAAAATGGCAAAAACATACAACAGTGAGGATTCGCTGGTGGTCACCCACCCAACTACTAACTCACCGGCGTGTGGCTTAAGTACGGCTGAGCGGACGGGAAGCCCTGTTTTCCACACCCTGTGGTCGTATGTGCTTAAACTGTTGCCAAGGTGAAATATACGAACAATTTTTGGTTGGATTGCAAATAAAAAAGTGGTCTAACCTCGTGATATTGCATTAAAAGCGTTTACAAGTAGTTCTGCTGGGCTTGGTGTAACAGATGAAAATTGGAATCAAAGGGCCGTTTTTGAGCGTCCAAAGATGCGTTGTGTGGCCCATTACATATTGTATAGGGTCGACTGGGCGGTTTTTGAGAATCACACCTCGTCTTCCAGCTCCTGTGGGCCCTCCCTACGCTCCTTGCGGTTCCCACGCGTCATAATCCGCTCCACAGTGTCGATTCCAAAGCCAGTCCATAGACTCAATGCCACAACGAAACACAGCCCACTAACCCAGCCATGTGTCTTGGTGAATTTTGGCGCTTGTCCGCTGGGAAATTGCAATTGCTGGAAGGGAATTACAACAGCGGACCCAAGGCTGACCATGAAGGCCAAAACAAACGCTCGTAGTTGTTGATCTCCACCGCATGATGCATTGACCCAACCCGCAAGCAAGGGTGTATAGCAACCATAACAGCCCGAGAGGATAAAAGCGGCCATCTTCAACTGATTGGATCCAGGCCATGCTGTCAATATAGCAAAGCAGAATGTTAAGAGGCATCCAACAGCGAAACAGACGGGCCCGCGTCGACCCATCTTGTCGGCCACATATCCTGTTCCAATCATGAAAACAAAGTTGATAGCTCCCATGGAAGTTGGAATATTGTTAATCTGTGGGACGGTATATGTCTTGAGCGACTTGAGCCAAAGGCCGAAGAATTGCATCACATATGACCCACAAGTAAGTGACCAGAGTGCGTATGCGATGGAAAAAGTCCATAGTTGCCATGATCCCAGAATGCGTTTGAAAACAGTAGAGTCCAGCTTTCCGACGGGAGTTCGGCCTTCTTCTTCAATTCTCTCCCGGGCACGATTCTTTTCCCAATCAGAAAGATAAAATGAGGTGGGGTTTTGAGGTGTATCCGGATAGAATATGAACCCATAGATCACAACCGGAATTGCAAGAATAAAGTCGAAGATGAAAAGCCATCTCCAAGCTGACAACCCAGCCTTGCCATCCATGTCTTTGAACAGCGCTGCTTGCAGATATCCCGAGAACATCTGTCCCAGTACACCAGACATGACGAAGAGACCGCTTCGGCGGGCGAGCTCAGATCGTCGGTACCAACATCCGAGAACATATTGAATCCCAGGCCAGGCTGCTGATTCAAAAAATCCAATACAGAATCGAAGACCGTAGAGTGCCGGTGCATTGTTGCATTTGTACAAAAATAGTACAAAGAGCGACCAAGCAAATAAGCAGCTGGGGAGCCAGAATCGCGGTCGAACAACTGTCAGTGCAAGGTTCGAGATTGGTCCTCCTAATATTGCGCCAATGCTGAAGTAGGTGTTCATCCAGCTCAATTCATTGCCTGGTCCAAATCCAAGTTCCTCTTTCATACCGGAGACGTAGGCATTGGAGACATTATTTCCATCCAGCTGCTTGATGAAAAAGCAGAGACAGCTGTAGCTAAGAAGAAACCAATCGAGCTTGAAAATGAGTTTTTTGTCGGCTTTGGATGTTCCTGGCTCATGCCAGTGAAACCAGCCTCGACGGAATTCTGGTTGGCTTTGGTGTGATTCCGCCAAGTCGCTTTTGTTGTCACGTAAATCTGAGCTTGAAGACAGTTCCCGAGGAAGGGAATTCGGTTCGTGAACCTTGCGTTCCTCAATTGGCTGGGCCATTTCGGATTTATGGGAATAGATTTTGGCGCGTCGGAGGGTACTTAACATCCCATACTGCGGAAGTAATGGTTTATGGGTGCGATCATGGCTTTGATCAATTACTATGATGATTCTTAAAAATGTCAAAATAAGCTTATCACGACATTTATACGCGGGGTTGCGTGTATTTGTCTTTCTCGACTTTACTAGTGATCCTTTCCAGTTACGGAAGTTTTTCTCGGCGCGGGGCCGATGTCGAGATAAGCTTAGCTGGCACGTGCTGCTTTCCAAGGTTTAAAGGTTCTACGAGTTCGGCTATATTCGATCTCAAATAGCTGAAGAGAATCATAGAGCCTATCTAGAGGCGTTCAGTGACTCCATCTCAAAGGTCATTGCTACTTTGAGTCTGGGTACTCTCTATTTCTACCTCTGGTATTTGTGTTTCACAATGGTTGAACATATCTCGATCAACGGTGCTAGTCTAGCATATCGGCTGATTGGGCCCGAGGATGCACCTCTCATGATCACTTTACACGGTGGACGAGGCTTTGGTAAGTCTTCATGAACACCGCATTTGTAATATTGATTTACTCAAACCACTGATATATCGAAATTTTGCAATCGAAATAGGAGACCATAAATCAGACTTCAAAGCATACTCGCCACTTTCTTCCTCCTACCGTGTTCTTTCTTTCGATTTTCGAGGACATGGTCAAAGTTCGCAAACGGAACCTTTCACTTTCCATCAATTAGTTGAAGATATTGAAAGCATCCGGCAGCATTTTTCCTGGCCTGATCGACCCTGTATTGTATGCGGCGGTAGTTTCGGTGGATTTCTAGCACAACAGTATGCAATCACATATCCAGATCAAGTTTCGCATTTGATACTACGAGGAACGGCTCCTTCACATCACCGTAAGTGCCGAATGAGTTCCGTGCTGTTCGAAGCGACCTGATCCCAGGTTGGACAATGTTTATAGGCTGAATTGTTCTAGACGAGGAGAAGGCAGTCCGAACTCTGGTGGAAAGAGCCTCTAAAGCTCCCGGTCTATCAATCAAATTCTTGAAAGACAAGATTTTCGGTCGATTTGACAGCGATCTTGAATTCCGACTCGTCATGTACGCGGCTGCGCCATTATATAGCGAGCACTTTGACGCGGACGTCGCTTTGAAGCATAACCTGGACACAGTATTTTACGCCAAGTCCCATAGTAAGTGATGCTTTCATTCTACTCACACAGCCAAACTGATAATAGAAGATGATCTTTATGCGGAGCCGGAAAAGTTTTTCGATTACAGGGACCGACTTCATCTGATTACGGCGAAGTCGTTGGTTATTGTGGGTGGACGTGATTGGATTTGTCCACCGGAGCAATCGAAAGATATTGCGACGAGAATCCCAGGGGCGCGCCTGGAAATCATTGAAAATGCCAATCATGGTGTTCATCTGGAGAAAAACGCAGAGGTCATCGAGCTCATTCAGGAGCATCTTTCATGAAGATTTATGTAACAATCAAGCATTCGTCGGGATATCCACGAACTTCCACCTTGAAAAATTAAGATAAAATCCAAACATGAATGTTCTATATCCGAGAAATAAAATCGCTTAATCCAGACGGTAGCATTTGCAGGAAAAGTCAATTCGAGGATAGTATTCTGGTATCGCTCGCTGCTCGGCGAACCTCCGAAAATAATCTCCACTTTGGGACCTTTCTAGTATCACCTCAAAGCGCCCTGATAATGCGTGATTTCAGGACATCTAGGGATAATTACTTCTCACATACATTCAAATCCGGCCGATCTTAGCATTGAGGCTGGCGACGTTGTCTACTTGCCAAAAATTAGAAATGGCGAGTCTCCCGGAAATAAACATCTCCATCGGTACGTTAAGCAGAGCTTAGCTGGATGATAAGATACATCAAACTAACTCCTGAGGTCCTGATAAAGACCGCGGCGGCACCTTTTGCGATGTACTTGTACAAGTTGGCGGCCGCGATGATCTCGTGTTCAAATTATTGTCCGAAGACCCGCAGAATTACCGCGATGCTCCAACGGAGGCGATTCGAAGGGCGCTGGAAGTCATCGAAAACCGACGAATTCCCGTCGGCGAGTTACTAGATGGATCCCGAATCGCATCCTGTCGAATCGGGACAACCATTGCAACGAATGCTTTGTTGGAAGGCAAGGGGCGAGAATTCGCATTTGTGACCACTAAGGGCTTCAAAGATGTGTGCGTTATTGATGATCAGACGCGACCGAAGCTGTTTGCTTTAAATGTTAGAAAGCCACCTGCATTGCATTCAGTTTCAGTGGAAATTGATGAACGCATCACTATCGAGGACTATGATCTCAACCCCTTTCCTTTGGATAAGGCCCTTGAACTCACTGATCCTGCGCTCGTGCGGACGCGCAGTGGAGAGGTGATTAGAATATTGAAGGAAATCGATCTTGTTGAAGTCCGAGAAGTATTGAATGGCCTGTTGTCAGCAGGATACAAATCTTTGGTCATCTCATTTATGCACTCCTATCTTTATTCTCACCATGAGGATCAGGTAGCGGAAATTGCGCAGAGCATGGGATTTGAAACCGTCATCAAAGCATCTGAAGTCAGTCCCGTTATCAAATTTCTGCAACGCAGCACCTCGGCGTCCTCTGAGGCCTATTTGTACCCCCTCGTGAGAGACTATGTGAAAGCTTTCCAAGCCGGCTTCAGTATACTCCCCCAGCGTGTGGAGTTTATGGGATCGGATGGAGGCTTGAGACAAGCGGATAAATTCCGCGGAAACGAAGCGCTTCTCAGCGGGCCAGCCGGTGGTGTTGTTGGAATTGCCCGAACTTGCTTTGATGCAGCTGAAGGGACTCCTGTGCTGGGCTTTGACATGGGTGGAACTAGCACGGATGTTTGTCGATACGATGGCAAATATGATTATTTGACTGAGACAACGGTTGGTGGTCGGAAAATCGCGGCGCCGATGTTGAATATTTCGACCGTCGCAGCGGGCGGAGGTTCAATGCTGTTTGCGCGTCACGGACTGTTTGTTGTTGGCCCTGAGAGTGCCGGAGCCCATCCTGGTCCTGCCTGTTACCGAAAGGGGGGCCCTCTTACTGTGACCGACGCGAACCTGTTTCTGGGCAGACTGGCTCCGTCTTATTTTCCCGCGATCTTTGGCCCTAATGCGGACCAGCAATTAGATGCCGAGGTCACCAAGCAGAGATTCCATGATATAACCGATGAAATCAACAAGCAAACGGGACAGACCCTAAGCCCCGAGGAGGTCGCTTTCGGGTTTCTTGATGTTGCAAACGAAACCATGACTCGACCAATGCGAAACGCCACAGAGGTACGAGGCTTTGCGCCGAGCAGTCATAACTTGGTCAGTTTTGGAGGAGCAGGTGGTCAACACGCGTGCTCCATTGCCAACAAATTGGGCATCAAACGGATTCTTATCCACAAACACTCCTCCCTCCTATCCGCCGTCGGTATATCTCAGGCAGATCTGCAAGTTGAAAGAATGGCCCCATTTGTTGGGTTCTTTGACTTAAATATCTTGGACACCATCCGGGCCCAGCTTGACAACCTTAAATCCAAGGTTGAGGTTGCTCTGCACTCACAGGGGGCGGACCCATCGACCATTGTGTTCGAAGAGTCCCTCAGTCTGAGATATGCGGGCACAGACACCAATATCACTGTATCCAAGCCGGCGGATGAAGACTACGGATCCTCCTTTGTTGCGACGCATCTTCGAGAATTTGCGTTTGTTCTCGACAGAAAAATACACATCGACTCGGTCAAGGTCCGTGGAGTTGGAAGAAGCGGTGTTCCTGCTGATAGTCCCTCACCCTACTCGATGCTCGATCAAGCCAAATCCCAACAGGAGTATCTTCAGGGTGATCTGCAACAACCTGTGTTCTTCGATGGGAAATGGCAGAATGTGCAAATATTTGAACTTGGGTCGGTAAAACGACCCTCTCAGGTGCATGGACCTGCCCTGTTGATTGACGCAACCCAGACGATCTTCGTGGAACGTGGATTTGATGCATACCTTCTTTCAGATCATTTGGTACTGGAGAAAATGGAATCCAGAGCCCCGAAATCTGAACTGTCGCCCTCAACAGAGACTGTCGACCCGATCCAGCTTTCCATTCTCTCACATAGGTTCATGGCGATCGCAGAGCAGATGGGACACACATTACAGCGGACATCGATTTCAACTAGCATTAAAGAGCGATTGGACTTTTCCTGTGCTATATTCTCGCGAGAGGGGAAGTTGGTAGCCAATGCCCCTCACATTCCCATTCATCTTGGCAGTATGCAATATGCGATCCAATACCAGCATCGTCTGTGGGAAGGAAAGCTGAAGGCCGGTGACGTCCTTCTGAGCAATCACCCCGAATGCGGTGGAACCCATCTGCCGGATCTCACCATCATCACCCCGGTATTTGTGAATGACGAGCCCACCGTCGCTTTCTACGTTGCAGCTCGGGGCCACCATACGGATATAGGTGGCCAAGGAATCACATCCATGATGCCAGACTCAAAGGAGCTATGGCAAGAAGGATTGAATGTTCGATCCATGAAGATCGTCGACAATGGTGTATTCCTTGAGACTGAGGTGCGAAATGTGTTTTTGGATGCGGGTGATCTCCCCGGGTGCAGCCCAACTCGCCGTTTAGACGACAACATCTCGGACATCAAAGCTCAGATCTCAGCCAATCAGCGTGGCATTCTTCTTCTCCAGAAGATGTGTGGGGAATTTGGTTTCCCTTTTGTGCATGGCTACATGAATGCCATTCAAATGAACTCCGAAAACGCTGTGAGAGACTACCTCAAGAAGGTATCGGGATCGAGAGCGATGCCTTTGACAGCCAGTGATCACTTTGACGATGGAACAGTCATCAGAGTTTCCATATCGATTGACGAAGATGGCGGCGCAGTGTTCGATTTCTCAGGAACTGGCCCTCAGATATGGGGGAATTATAACTGCCCGATCTCCATTACCCACTCAGCCGTTATTTACGCCATCCGGTGCTTGATAGATGTCGATATCCCACTCAATGACGGGTGTCTATCTCCAATCGATATTCGTATTCCGAAAGGGTCTATTCTGAGACCCAGCGCCTCTGTGGCTATATGTGGAAGTACACTAGCGAGCCAGCGTGTGATCGATACGATCTTGCGAGCATTCGAATGCTGCGCGGCATTTTCCGGTTGTGCAAACAGCTTCGGGTGGGGAATGGGAGGAAGAGATCCTGCCACTGGGATCATTCAGCCTGGGTGGAATTACGGCGAGACCGTAGGAGGCGGGTGTGGTGCTGGACCTGGATGGCATGGTGAGCATGCTATTCAAGCTCACTCGACGAACACGAAGATCACCGACGCGGAGGTGGTTGAAAAAAGGACTCCAGTCATTATTCGCAAGCACGCCATCAACCTCAACACTGGTGGAGATGGCGAGTTCCGCGGGGGTAACGGTGCCGTTCGTGAAATCGAGGCTCGGATTCCTCTAAAATTCAGCATTCTCAGTGACCGACGGGTGTTTGCTCCGTACGGCATGAATGGAGGAGAAGAGGGCAGTGTGGGGAAGAATTTTGCATTCAAGTGGAACGAAGAAAAGACTGCTCTGGAAAGACTGTCGCTTGGTGGAAAAGCTGCTCTTGCCCTCGAGGCTGGCGAGATCATGCAGATCAACAGCCCAGGCGGAGGAGGATGGGGCGCTTCTGCATAACGTTGTATATATGTACTTATAGATACCTAGGTATCTTCTCCAATTTTATCAAATGATGTCTCAAAGCTACACGACTCTTCATCAACTACAATTGCTGTATACAGCCGGTCAGGTGACCGTTGCTGTTCCCTAGGTAGGTACCCATGTACCTACCTAGAGCTCGCTCTCGACTCTTCCTCTCTTTGAATTTCTCTTCTTCGTCTCTCTCTCTCTCTCTCTCTCTCTCTCTCTCTCTAGGAGAATCAACACCCCACTCGAGATCTACGGCAAAGAGATTGACGTCGGTAGTTTCAGATTCGGGAAAATAAACATGGTCTAGCTTGACTACTCTCCGATAACACGCTCCAGGTAGTTCAGCCAGTTCTCCCCCAGTACCTTTTGCATCTTCAATTTGGACCAGCCTGCCCCCGCCATCGCCTTGGCCAGCTCGGGGCGTTCATTCAGTGAACCCAGAGGCTTCACCACAGTCTGGCTCCCCCAGGGAGTAAGGCGACGCGCGTAGCCCTTGTCAAGATTGCACCAGGCCATGAAATCGCTCGGGCGAGCATGACCTTCGCTGGCGTCCGAGCCAACCCCGACCAAATCCTCTCCAATCAGATTGATCACAAAGTCCACGGCAGCAACATAGTCGTCGATTGTTGATTCATTGCCCTTAGCCATATGTGGCCCAAACTGACTAATTCCCACAAAACCACCCTTTTTTCCAATGAGTTGCAAAAGGTGGTTTGACTTGTTTCGCGGGTGATCGAGCAAGCCTCCAGGGAGAACATGGCTGAAGCAGGGGGGTTTAGTCGCATACTCGATGACATCTTCGCTAGTCACCGGTCCAACATGAGACAAATCGACCACGATACCCAAGCGACCCATCTCATCCACCACCTGTCGACCGAACCCAGTGAGGCCTGAATCGCGGATCTCTGTGTACCCTGCCCCAGAGTAGTTCTGGGTGTTGTAGGTGAGTTGCATTTTGCGCACACCTAAGTCGCGGAACACACGCAGGTAGTCCAGTTGATCTTCAATTCCAGCGGTGTTTTGCCAGGATAAGAGAACGGCTGTTTTGCCGTTGCGTTTCGCATCGCGGATGTCCCGCACCGAATGCGCTTGAACTATTAGGTCGGAATGCTCCTCGAACCACTTTTTCCACTGCACCACGTTCGCAATGGCGCCGCGAAAGCCTTCCCAGATACCGCATGTGCACGATACGCCGGTGATTCCGCCCTTTTGCCAGGCTTCGAAAATTTCTCTTGACCAGTTGGCGATGTTCAAGCCGTCGAAAACGACCGAGTCGCGATAAATCTCTAGCGCTTCAGATTCGGAGACCATGATTGAGTTTTTCTGAGGTAGACGTGATGTGGCGGCATTATGTGTTTTTGAATATACAGCGCGGTGCGGCACCGATGAATGTTTCCAGTTGGGAATGGCGTGCTCTGCTAACTGGTTATCTCGGGATCGCGCCGAAATGTCTCCTTTCAGTATTCACCCGACAAGCATGGAAGGCGGCATTCATCGCTTCCGAGTCCAGCGGAATTTGTCCAAGCTGGAGACACAGTATCGGCATAGGCCCGCCAATACCAATAGGCGTCGACCCACCCTGCCGGCCTGTCGCCGCTGTCGTCAGCACAAAAAGCGATGCACTCGCACTTCTGAAGGATCATGCGAGCAGTGTCTTGTTGCAGGACTACCATGCTCTCTTATGGAGCGTTCTTCGAGTCCACGGACGTGTGAGCGAGAATTGCGATCGCGAATAGACTGGCTGAGCCAGCTTGTCAACGAAACGCTTCCCGATGGGACTTCGATCGAATCTATCGAGACTGGACGAAACATGGATTTGGATAGATCCATGCGCTCTCCATCAAATGACACCGGCGATCAAATTGAGCGCAGTGAAAATAGCCTGAGAGATATTCATATTCCCAAGGGTGATGATGAGACACGGGTCTCGATTGCAGCGAGTCGCAACTGCTTGAAGGCCTATTTCCGCCACGTCCACCGGACGTACCCATTTTTGGATAACGAATTCATTCTCCAAGAGTTCGAAGCACTCTGCGATAAAGATGCAACGGATGACCTTCTTCCCCGATCCGCTTTACCCAACCGCTTGTATATGATCATGGCCATCGGCTACACTAGTCTTCAGCGGGCGGGAGAAGTGCAAAACATCGAAGAAGGCCAATTCCAACCATGCCTCAAAACAGTGTTATGTGAGTGTGTCAGTCAGGTAAATGAGGAATCAGCAGGCACATTGCTATTGCTTGGCCTTTATCTCTTGTTCAAGCCTGGTGACCAGGATCCCCGCGCTATCGCCGGCGTTCTCACCAACCATGCTCTCGCAGTTGGGCTGATGAACGAGGCTTCTAATAATCAGAATCTTTCACCTCGGGTACTTGAGCTGCGTCGGCGACTAGGCTGGTCAGTGTATGTATTCACGCGCATGATCAGCATATCCTACGGGCTCCCATTTGCATTTCCCGACAGTGTAATGAAAATTCCGCTGCCGAGCATCATGATACACGAATACGGCTCCGAGGATGGACATCAATACGCAATAGCCTTGCAAGTGAGCCGACATGTTATTTCTCTCCGGCAGCTCGAAACACGCCTTGTCAATGCTATCCATGACCCCACTCCCTCGATTCCTCCCCAGGAGCTCCGGCTTCAGATTGAAGACTGGTATACGCAAGGTTGTCTGCTATCCAGCTCAACTCTATGGGAGCAGGACCAGCTCCCCTTCCATACTACCATCACATGGTTGAACGTACGTTATCAAAACTTGCTTCTATTGCTGTATACGCCCGCACGCGGAGATACTGCGGAAGAAAATCTTCCAAATCTCCAGGCAGCTGCGCAGCGGTATATACAACTCAGTCTGGTCTTGCAAGAACGCCGTCATTTACCCATGAATTGGATCACTTTGTGTCGACTCCTTTCCTTGGCTGCAATTTTTCTCTACTGTACTGCTCGATGGGCACCAGGAATCGATGATATTCCCGAGATTTCTCTCCTCGCAGCCCTGCTTGAGTTCTTCCCGTCTTCTTGGAGTGCCGCCCACGAGGCTTCCCTGATTTTACGTCGCCTTGCAGATATCATGACGACATCGAAGAGTCCCCTGATTCCACGCAGTCAACTTTCCGAGACCTCAGTTATCCCGCCCTCGGCTTTAGGTCCGGAATACGGGCTACAGTCTGTGCAGGACGACTTGGCGGTGTTACTCAGTCGAACAATGGGCGAAGCAAGCTTCTATATCTGGCCACTGAGGTCCAAGGTTACGGAAAGACGAGTTTCCCGATCATTTTCTATCGTGCCGGATATCGGGAACTTCACACCTCGTTTTGTGGCTCCGCACAGCGAGAATTTGCCACCGGTAGATGGTAGTTTGGGCGAAAGCCCGCTGGAAACACAATGGATGAGTCTGTGGGGTGGTGTAGGATCCGACATGCTTTGAATCACATTTATTCTCCCTTGGTTTCGTTTCTTATTGAGCACTTTGCCTCTTAAACTCCAGAGAAGCTTTTGTTTCATGACTGTTACATATTTTCATGTCCGCTTTATATCTCACTCTAGAGACGCGCCCCGACATCCTGAGCAACATCCTTTTCATAGTCAAATCCGAGCTGCTCCAGCGTTTTGATCTCCCCGCGCCGATCACCAAGAGCCTGCGATGCCTTCTTAATCAACGGGAACCTGGCCCGCGTCCATCTTTCTCTCTCCCCCCAGAAGGGTGGTTCCTTTCCACGTCCTTCATTTTCCAGCCCTTCCTTCTGAGATGCACGCGAGCTCAACTCATACAACGAATTGATATAATCTGCATCAAGCGGGAAAGCAAGGATATTATAACTGCGCCCTTCGCCATGTGCTGCCGCCCACTCCACATTCCACCGCTCCATTTCAAGCTCGGAAGGTAGCGACACTCGTCCTGAAAACACCCGCGCCACCCACGCCCCTTGTGCTTGACTGATCGGGAATGGAACAATCCGCTGCGGGAAACCTATCAGCGCAAGAGTTGGCTCTTTGCTGTAGAAAACATGCTGGTACAAATGGTGGGGGCGCACGCCGTCCGTGACAATGGACGGCCGCAGTGTCGACAAAAACGGAATGGAGAAGTGGTATCCCGTGCAGAAAACAATGTGGTCGACGTCTTTCTCCTCGTGGCCATTGATGAATTTCACACGGCGATATTTAGCGTTGAGGAAACTTATTTCCGGGAGGCTTTTGGCAGTGACAGCTTGTGCTGGCGACAAGGCTGTTGCTGTCCGTTCGGAAATGAGCAGTGGGTGTTTCGAGACATTGCTGATTTGATTTGCGATATCAATTCCCGATGCGGAATGCCCGACGACAATGACTTTCTGATATTCGGTCAGTTTGGGTTATTTAGAGGTGAGTGGTACATACCTTGTTCGCGAAAGATGCGGCACGCCGGTACGTTGAGGAATGAATGATAGATCCCGGGAATGATTGAGACCACTCTGCAAGGCCCTCAATCTCGGGAATATATGGATCGTTATGATGACCATTGGCCACGACCACAGCATCGAACTGCTCGACCAACACGCTCTGGGCCTTCAAATCACGCCAAGTCACGGTCCATTTTGACTTGGGATGTTTCGTTGACAGTACCACATCCAGTATCAATGACTGAAAACGTATGCACGGCAGTAACTCCTCTGCATATTGGTGAAGATAGCTCCTCACAACACCATGTGCTGGAAACAACGAGGTACCGGCGGGGAACGGAGAGTCGATGAACTGCATCATCGAGTTGGGAATATTTGTTTCGAGTGAGTCATATACAGGAGATGCAAAGTTTCCCTTGACATTTTGCTGAGGCTTCTGGCTTGGTTTGGTGCGGGGAATCACCGATGCATTGTTGATTCCTTCGTCGCCAGTATAGTTCCAGACACCACCAGGTTGATTGCGTTGCTCAAAGATGGTGATATTTTGAAACTTCTTCTCGGCAAGTAGATATCTGTAGATCATTTGTCAATTATTTATGTTCTTTCTCATGTGAAACACCCATTGAACTGCTTACTTCGCGATTCCAAGGCCGCAGGGGCCGGCGCCAATCACAGCAACACGGTCAACTTCCATGACAATTGTGCGGAAAGGCTAAACTGCGAGAATATTGCGACACAGATAAGTATTGATATTTCCAAGGCAAATAATGGTGACAGTGGTCTCAACGGAGTGAAGCCCCTCGCGCCATCGTCGACGAACATCACGCATGGTCTAGTCCCAATGCGGTAAGAATCATCGGGGCAGCGCCGATAGGGCTCAATGATGTGCTTGGGACAAGCAATGAACAATAAAGGCTTAGTCGATATAAATATTATCCCGAAGGGAGTAGATAGCTCATGTCTCCTAGCCCTTGCGGATACGACAGATCATGTCCGACCAAGATCAACTGAAAATAAAGCCCGATGTCGTGGACCGGGAAGTAAACCAATCGAACCACGACTTGGAACTGGCTAGCTTGCCAACAAGACAAGCCCGGCTGAAGGGAGCAATATGGGACACCTGGGACAAATCACCCCGAGAACGTAAACTCGTTCGAAAGGTGGACTGGTGGCTATTGAGCTATGCATGCACCGCGTATTTCATCAAATCACTGGATCAATCCAATGTAAGTCACCCGCGCTTGAATCATGAAATTACCAAAATTGACGCAAAAAGACTTCTAATGCATATGTTTCCGGCATGAAAGAGGCTCTCGATCTGAAAGGAAACGATCTCAACTACCTAACAACATACTGGAACATTGGATATATCATCGGTCAGATCCCATCCCAGCTGATTCTGACCAAGATTCGACCCTCAATCTGGTTACCGGCCCTTGAGCTGATCTGGAGTATCTTGGTTATGGCCCTTGCAAGCGCAAAAAATGCCAAAACGGTATTTGCACTTCGCTTCTTTATCGGCCTGTTCGAGGCTTCTGCCTATCCAGGAATAATCACACTCCTCGGAAATTGGTATACACCACAAGAACTGGCAAAGAGAAGCGCCATATTCCAAGCTTCTTCAAGTGCGGCGAACATGTTCTCCGGATACCTCCAGGCGGCGCTGTATTCGGGCATGGATGGTCGATCAGGTCTGTCTGCTTGGCAGTGGTTGTTCATTTTCGATGGAATTCTCGGGATACCGATTGCTTTGTACGGATTTTGGGCCATCCCAGATGCTCCTAGTGATTCGAAAACCCGTTGGCTGAGCGAGGATGACACCAAATACGCCGAACAGAGAATGGAGGCCGTTGGGCGAGCGCCGGCGGCTAAGCTCACATGGCGAACATTCCTCGATGTGTTTCGCACCTGGCCAGTCTGGCTGTTTTCCACGGCCTTCATTGCTCATGTTTGCGGTCTCCGGATCTATTCGTATTTCAATGTGTGGCTCAAAGCAACTGGCAAATACACAGTTGAACAAGTCAATGTGATTCCCTCCGCTGGATATGGACTGCAAATCATTTTCACTCTCTTGTATGCCTGGACGAGTGACTTTTTGAAGATGCGGTGGCCTGTTATCGCATTCGCCTGTGTGCCAGCGTTGGTTGGGACGATCATTCTGTCTCTTTGGCCGGTGCACAACACCTCGGCGATGATGACGGGCTGGCTATTGACCTATATTGAGACTGGCGCTGGGATAATCTTCACGTCTTGGGTTAGTGAGACTTGTGGGTTTTCGGCTGAGCATCGCATTGTTGTTATCGGAGTGATGGAGACCGTTTCCTTTACTTTCAATGCTTGGGTGCCTCTGTTGGCATATAATACCAGCCAAGAACCCCACTTCAAAGTCGGGTATCAAATTGCGGCCCTGTTCTTTGCATTCGAACTTGTTATGACTCTCGTGATCGCGGGAGTTGAGAAAAGATGGCCAGCTTCAAGTTTAGTGACAGAGGGCGAACCAGCTAGTCTGTGAAGTAGGTTGTGGACCTACGAATTATTTCAAAGTGGCAGAGAAGGCTCAGAAAAAACAAAATCACAAACATACAACAGTGAGGATTCGCTGGTGGTCATCCACCCAACTACTCTCCAGGGCTACCTAGGTAGTCGGGTGGGGTGTCGCCTGGGTGAGAAATGGGTGAGCGCCGCTTAACGGTCGCGCGACCAGAGATGACACGGGTGCGATATAGACAGAATGAGAAGCCATGTGAGGAATCACCCGGGTGACGCCCTGACTCCGAGTGCTTACTGCCCAGGTGGTTATCTTGACTCTTGAGGCCGAAGTTGGAAAAGAGTGCAGTCACGTGTAAATCCCCAGCATAGTCACCTGACCGACGGAGAATGGTTGCCGCCCAGAAGACAACTATTTTTCGCCGGTCAATCGCGAGAGAATTGTAGACACTCGAAATTGTATGTTCACATGACCTCAGAACGAACAGTACAGTACCAAACTTCCAAGGTCCTCAATATCACCAGAGGTGACCAGACTATCAATGCACCCGATGTCTTCTGGCTCTCCTATTGCAATCCTTGCGACGCACACAGTGCAAGGTGCAAATAACAACAATGCGAAGCTTGCAAGCACTTTCAAGATTGGGCCCTTCGATCACTTGCTGCCACCCTCTGCTGTAATCGCAGTCGTCTTTGTGTGGAGGCGGCCCTTGGACAGCAAGGCCGCTACTTCTGACCCGATCATTTCGTTTAACCTTTTGCAAATGGCCCTTTCCCGGTTACTGGACTTTTATCCACACCTCACAGGTCGTGTGCATATCAATGACGAGGATGGGAGTCCTGAAATTAATCGATTGGGCGCAGGTGTAGAATTAAGTGAAGCGCTCTGCGAAACTGCACTGCCCTCAGAAGCCACAGAATTCTCTCGCGGGGGCTTCCCAGACCAGGGGAATCTACTCCTTCCACAAAGGATTGGTTCGCACAATGATTTCTCTCAGCAGCCAATTTTGAGTATTCAACATACACGCTTTGGGTGTGGATCTGTCTCACTCGGTGTGTGTATAAGCCACACCGTCTGCGATGCTCATGGGTTTGTCCAGTTGATGGAAGATCTTTCAGAAATTTACCGCGGATTTCGAAGATCAGGACATACAGACATCTCGCCAAAGAGCGTACAGCTAGACAAAATACCTTGCATCACTTCCCACCTGTCCGATGTTTCTTTAAGCTCGCAGGAAGTCCAGAAAGCATTGAGCGTCGAGCCTGCTGATTATCAGATTGAAAAAATCCCAACGGTGATGAGCTTCACGTCAGACAAACATGTCACTGGAAAGGTGCTATATTTTGGCCCAGCTGAGCTGAAGGCCTTAAAACATGCCGCAAGTCCTTCTCTACAAGGTCATTGGATCTCGACTTTCGAAGCAATTTCAGCACACCTCTGGCTGAGTGTCCAGCGAGCAAGGTCTCATTATCAAAGCTTAAACAATACCGCGTTTGACAACAGAGAGACTGCGGACCTTCTTACATCACTTGATTGGAGAGAGTCGACACGCCTCAACCTTCCACCGAGATACTTCCCGAACGCTGTATCCGAGCCTTTTATCACGTTGCCTCTAAAGGATCTTTCCCACGAGGCGTTGCCGGAAACGGCAAGCATTATACATGAGGTTTTGCGTGCAAGAACGCCCAAGGATCAGAATGAAACCTTATCGTGGGTCATGGCACAGCCCAAAAAGGATCACATAAATTTACGGTGTCGATTCAACGACAGAAGCTTCATTATCAGCCAATGGAGCAAGCTTAATATGTACGCGGTCCATTTTGAGACGGACAGTAAGGGATACTCTATACTCCCAGAGCGGGTATGGCCCCCTTTCACGGAGACCTCGTTAGTCGATGGGCTTGCCTACTTTCTCCCAACGGGAAGAGATCTAAGCGATGATACCGACGGGCTTGGAATAGAAATCGCGTTATCTCTTCACGAGCCCATTTGGGACATTCTTGAAAAAGATGTGTGTTTTAGAAAATTTCGCAGATAAGAATACGCAAATTCAATTTCTCTATTCGGCTTCTCTGAGCGCATACCTTCGAACATCAAGAAAACCATGGTCCCCCCCCCCTTTGGAGTGTAATTGAGACTAGGCCACGAAATTCGAGGGACGGATTCCCTTCTCGATAAAGTCCTTGATCTTGAATATGCTGAGGCAATCAAGCCCATTAAAATTTGAATTCTGAGTAGCGATAGCGACGAGCAAGACGAACTCAAGTTCTCGAAAGTCTCAAGTACGGCCGAGCGGGCGAGAAGCCCTATTTTCCACGCCCCTTGGTTGTACGTGGTTATCATACAAAATTAGTAGACTATATGCTCGGTGGATTTAGGGGATAAAGAATAGGTGCCAGGACCAACCGCTCCTGGTGACAATCCAGAAGTTGGCCCAGGGGAGCTGCAACAACTACTACACAAGAAGAAAAACAAAAAAAAAAAAAAATTCAAAAACATACAACAGTGAGGATTCGCTGGTGGTCACCCACCCAACTACTAACTCACCGGCGTGTGGCTTAAGTACGGCTGAGCGGACGGGAAGCCCTGTTTTCCACACCCTGTGGTCGTATGTGCTTGTAAATTGAAAGACACAATTCATACACTGCAGAAAACACCAGATGCGAATCATAGAGGCCGCAAAATGATGGTGTGCAGAAAATTGAGTCAAGAAAACCGTGGGTAGCAAAGAAAAAGGTGCAAGATAGTAAGGAAAGGAACCAGGTGGTCCGAAAGAAAACAAACAAGTAGGAAGAAAAAAGTACACAGCTCTTATGAACTAAATTGGAAGAAGCAAACCCGTCCTGATATGTGCCCTAAAGCAATACGACTCTTATAGGCTGCAAAAAAGCAAGGTCGAAAGTCTGGAGGGAGCCATAATACATTTTGACCATTGGCACTGATCCACTGTCCTTGGTCAATTGAAAGAGTAAACACATCATCGCTTGAAGCGGAACTGGGCCTTTCACGTTGGTCCTCATCATCGAAGTTGGCCAAGTTGTGAATGGCAGATGAAAGATCTTCAGTAGTGCCCTCGACTTTCAAAGTCTGCTGCAGGCTGCCCGTCATCAGATCCCAGACACATGCGGTCTTATCATTGGAGCCAGATACCAGGAGCTGTCCATCGGGCGAAAAGACAACAGAACGAACTGTCTCCGAATGGCCTTCCAAGCTCTGCTGCAAAACCCCTGTCTTAACATTCCAAAGCTTTATTGTGCGATCCATAGAGCCCGACGCCAATTGACTCCCGTCGGGTGAAAATCCCACTGATAGCACCCAGTCTGAATGACCATTGAGGGTATGCACTAGACGTCCCGTTGCAGTGTCCCAGAGTCGCACGATGTTATCGTTGGAGCTGGAGGCTAGTAGTCGGCCATCGGGAGAAAATGTCATCGAATTCACCCTGTTGACATCCAGCCGGTTGCTTGAGGAAAAGACTGCTGAGCTACCGGAGTCGGAATTTCTCTCGAGTTTCTGTTGCGGGTCCATTGCTATCTCCCACACACGCAGAGTTTGATCATTCGAGCCAGATGCCAATAGCCGGCCATCGGGCGAGAACGCCACCGATGTAACATAGTTGAAATGGCCCTCCAGGGTCTCCTGTACGTTTCCCGTCTCAATATCCCAAAGATAAATAGTCTTATCTTGGGAGGCACCCGCAAGAAGCCGACCGTCAGGCGAGAAAGCCACGGACCGAATCCATGATGAGTGGCCCTGGACAGTTTTCGTGCCATCCGTCGTCAGATCCCAAATGGTCACATCCTTTGAGTTACCACCGCACGCCAGGAACTGACTATCGGGTGAGAAGGCCAGTGAGGAGGCCACGGCGGATATTGTGTAAAGCGCCACCAAGTCGCCTGTTTCCAGTTCCCAGACATGCACTTGGCGGTCCTTGGAGCCGGAAGCGAAGAACTGGCCATCGGGTGAGGCGGCTACACAGAAAACCTTATCACAGTTATCTTCCAGAGTTTGCTGGAGATCACCGGTTGATGTATTCCACAGCCGTACAGTTTCATCGCTTGACCCAGACACTAGCACCCGTCCATCGGGCGAAAAGCATACCGATTCAACACTGCCGCCATGCCCCTGAAGGGAGTGACGTATGTTGCCACTGGCTAAATCCCAAATCAACAGGCTGTCGAGGCCATTTTCGGACAGCAGCTGACTGGAGGCTAGGAGCTGGCTGTCAGGCGAGAAAGACAGTGAGGTAACGCAACTGGAAGGGCCCTCAAGCGTTTTTCTTAGGGCTCCTGTTGCTGTTTCCCAGAGCCGTATTCTTCGGTCGTCAGATCCCGACGCCACCAGCTGGCCATCCGGCGAGAAGGACACCGAGCTAACCCAGTCCGAATGGCCCTCGAGGATCTGTAACTCGGCGCCCCAAGTTTCGGGGACTTGTGGGGATTGACATATTGAGCCAGGGAGTTCCGACTGGAACTCAGTGCGGATGACTGATGTCCGAGGAGCGAAGAGCAGCCCTGCCCAGTAAATTTGAAGAGGCGCTCGATCGGCGATCTGCAGATTTTTGAGAGTAAAACGCTTTGCATCGCTTATGAGGATGGACAATAGATCATTGTTGTTCTTCTTTTTCTGTTAGAGTTGGACTGAAATGATGAAATGCTGAGTGGAATTCGCACCGGGATAATGGTGGAGAGCACCCCAAGTATCTCCACTACCTCGGAGATAAATCCTAGCAGACTCATCGCTTCCACCCAATGCAGAAAATGCTTCTCGAGAAATAGCAGTATATCACCAATCGCAAGAGTTACGCCGTGACTTCTGTTGAGATGATGTACCCAGTAGCGACAGGAGTATTGTAACTCCGGTGGAAGATAAAGGCGCAAATTGTCAGGATCAATATCAGCCCTACAAGTTCCTGGGCTTACGAGATCGCAGATGTTCCTCCGCAAATGACATCTCATATTATCGAGACAATATTGAGCGATGTTTCCATGCTTCTTTGGCTCATCCACGTGAAATTCGGACGTAGACTGGACAAGAAAGTCCCGAAGCGATGGGTCCAGAATCCTAACCGTTTGATCCGCATCTCTGGGAATATCCACAGCAAACCTAAAAGGATTCAATCGACGGACGAGCTGGTCTGCTTCAATTCCCAGGAGAGCTGACAACGCGTGGGTTGAAATTGGGGCGGCCAAAAGTAGGATAACACCAACTATATTTTGGAAGTCTTGAACATGCTGCAGTTGCTTTACCTCATCTTCCTCCGCGGGCTCCTGGTGACTGAGTGATTTCAACAAAATTTCCGGGTGTCTTTCCATGTTGCTGATTCGTTTGGCATGGTTGTTTGTGAGTTTTGAGACGCGCGGGTCCACTGACTCAGACCACGCGCAAACCTTGGAAGGCGCACCGGTTGAGCCTCATCGGATATCGGAAACGTGCGCTCCGGAAAGTCCCGGTCACGTGACCGGGTTTCTGATCAAAGTTGATCGATAGACTTCCGCATTGGGCTGGGTTGGGCCCGAGGTCCCGGCGGGAGGCCCAACCCAGTCCGGGCTCTGGGCTCAGAGCCTAGGGCCCAACCAGAACCCGGGCCCAGTACCGAGGGCCCAATGGGCCCCCGGGAAAGCCCTGTTTTGATGAAGTCACATTGCACGTCTCCCACTACGAGAATTTTGAAAGCTTTGATTCTAAATCCAAGACCTCGGGATGTCGTGTAGCTGACTAAATTGCAGAGAAGCATCAATGATCAATTGATCATGCTCCAGAGGTCAGTAACAAGACGTTGGCCCAGAATATCATTTCCTCATTCAGAATATCTGTTTACCAAGAAAAAACTGCCTTTGTCAAGTCCCAGGGAATAAAAGAGCTTGATGGGAAATAATGAGAGCGAGTTGGCAAAGCAAATGGCATTGTTTTCACGAAGAAAGAAAATACGGGGAAAAGAGAGCATCGACAAAGCGGACAAAGAAAGAAAGACACAATACAGATCTCCCCAGTCAAGCTCTCAAAAGAATGTTGAAGTATTTAATCCTCGATGTTTCCCTGCTTTCGAAATCATACCAAACACATTTCCAACCATTTCAGATACAACCGACAACGACCACAACTATAACCAACAACTATAACAACAAATCTCAACACCAAATACAGAATATCTAACCATCCAAGATGCCTCGCACAAGTATGGCGATCCAAGGCACTATGAGGCCTAGCCTTAGAAGCGAGAACCGAGTATGGACTCCCTTGAGTCTCGGAAACCCCAACGCCCCTGATACCGCCTCCGAGCGTCAGGCAGTTATCAATCTTATTCGAGCCGTATATGATCCTCTGCTAGCCGAATGGCTCGCATCAGGCGCCGACTGGCACGGGCAGTATTCCGCTCGAGGCTCATACAGGAATTTCGTTGCTAACATCATCCCTAGGCTGAACGAGCTCCCATCCTCTGTGCAATCAGTAGAAACCCCAGAAACTCTTGGTTTGATCCTTTTTGATGTCTTGAGATACTATCGGTTTACTGACCCGGCATGGCGGATTCCCTTGGCTGCTGCTGGTCAGGCGAAGGCCCCGGCAAAGGCCCCGGCAAAGACCCCAGCGAAGGCCCCAGCGAAGGCCCCAGCGAAGACCCCAGCGAAGACCCCGGCTCCAACTGTCCCAGCTAAGGCCACGGTTTCAACCCGATCTTCATCCGCCCCTGCTGGACTCCCTTACTATACGAGGGGTATGATGCTCATCCAAACGGCTACTCGGGCTCTTAATCACTTTGCTGATAACGGGCATACCATTGATATGGACGATTTGGATCTGCCTGAGGATTGGGATCGGTCTGAGGATTCGGATATGTCTGAGGATATGCCTCTGTCTGAGGATACGCATATGTCTGAGGAGTCGAATAGTATGTCTAATGAATACCACGGTCAGTTCGTTGGTAGTCAGAGGAACCGTCCGGCACCTGATGTAACGGACCCTTATTGGGCACGGCTTGAAAGTGCATTGATGACGATAATGAGGGCGAATGCGGGGTCTAAACGCAGCCGCTCCAAGCGTGCCGTCGGTGACGGTGCTCGCCCCAAACACGCAGGGGGTAGTAAGAGGGGAGGAGGCCGGACGAACTGAACGCCCCACGCAAGTGACGGCGAGTTCTAGTTCGAAGCAAACATTGGACCACTTTACCCCTATTGTCCCAGAATGTCTATCTGATGGGAAAGGAACTTCAAATTTGTCGGTTACGAAGATAATTTCTGTGGTTTTTCAAAGGTTGTAGGACTAGCAGGGGCTGTGACATAGATGCTGGGTAGATGATTGCCTACATAGGTAGGTAGGTATCACAATCTCGCTGTTGTCCCCCCCCCCCCCCTCTTTTTTCTTTTTCTTCTTCTTGTTCTTGCTTTTGTTTTTGTTTCTGCCGCCTTTTTTCAACAGAAATAAATGATTGTCTCACAGAATTTGCAATGTACACAGTGGATCCAAGTCTCTTGGTAGCCCTAGAGCCTGTAGCCGTAGAAGCTTCTGATCCGCAGTAACCCTTGGCCAACGCTCCGCCGAGCTGACTCGATGCTACTCCTGCAGCAGTCACACTGCCAAGCGAGACTCCAGCCTATGAGTTCTGGTAGCCAAGCTCCGCCGCTGAAATATTTTCATTATCCGTGGCTCATACTTGACATGCATCAGACCGAAAGAGAGAGCTTGAGACAAAGTAATTGATTGTTACTCCGTACAAGGGCAACAGCTAGTTTGAGTCTGCGACGATGACCAAATTGGTGCGGTAGATTGCGATGATCTCCGAGTCAGGGGCGACGCGTATTAGCTACGTAGCCCGAAACATAGATTTCGAGGTTCGTGGACAAAGAATCCTGAGATCCTCGACCTGGTTAATAGCATAACTTATCAGGCACTAACATCCAAGTCAACTAACCCGATGAATTCATGGATCTGATAACAGGCGACGTATGCCCAGGTGCACCTTGGCGAGTCCAACGCCAGCCTTGTGATCTCCCATTTCCCCGCTCACGTCTGCTTTTCATCTCAACTTCTTCAACACCACCCCCGCCTGCACTGAAACTACCTTCCGCAAAATGGATTCAAAGTTATCCACGCTGGAGGTAGATTTGCCCGGCAAGCGCTGTAAAACACACCTGCGCGTTTCCAGCTGTCTAAGTTATGTTTCAACCTTCCTCTTGATTGTCTTGACGGGCGTTGTCCTTTACAAGTGGGTGCAAACTGATTGGAGATGCCGTAGGTATGGACTCACCGGCGATCTCACCGTTGACCAGCGCGTGGATAAAATATTACGGCACACCCCTTTGATAGGTATGTAGCCCCTTTTCCCGACGATATGACTGATTATTATACTAACCAGTTCGTATTTGAAGATGGCCACAATGACTTTGCCATATACCTGAGATACTCGTACAATAATCACCTGTATCAGAGAAATTTCACTGAGCCCTTCAAGAGCGGAGACTTAGGCCAACATGTGGATTTGGACCGCTTGAAACGCGGCAGAGTCGGGGGGACATTCTGGTGTGCTTTTGCATTCTGTCCCCGAGTGAGCGAGGAATACACCCCTGGATACTTTTTCAACAGTAAGTATATATGTCCCACATGACGATGTATCCGGATTAGGAGCTCAACGCATTGAAAACGCAGGCTATCAAACTGCTAACACGGAGCTTGATACTCTTCGCCGAATGATCGCCGCATACCCCGATCGATTTTCCCTTCCACATGATAGCAGCGATGTTGAATCCATCGTCCATGCCGGGAAAATTGCGTCGCCCCTTTGTATCGAAGGGCTTCACATTATTGGCGATTCCATAGCCACCTCGCGGAACTACTACGCGCTTGGGGTCCGATACGCTACTTTAACACATAACTGTCACAACAGTTACGCAGACGCAGCAATGGTTGATCTGCTATCCGGTGGATCTGCCGCGGCCGAACCGTACTGGGGCGGGGTCAGCCCTCTCGGCCAGAAGCTCATCAAGGAGATGACCCGGATGGGGATGATGGTTGACTTGTCGCATACGAGCTTCGACACCATGCGAGATGTATTGAGTGGGTCGCCCGAGAAGGGCTGGAACGGAAGTCTTGCCCCAGTCATGTTCAGCCATAGCGCGGCATACGCGTTATGTCCCCACCCTCGGAATGTTCCAGACGATGTTTTGTATCTGGTGAAGAACACCAACAGCGTGGTGATGGTTACGTTTGCGACGGATTTCAATAGCTGCCGCGAGCCGAAGTATGAGAATCGCACCAACGGCCTCCCAGAGTTCTACCCGCCCAATTCGACTCTAACGCATGTTGTCGAGCACATCAGATACATTGGGGATCTTATTGGGTATGACCATGTTGGGTTGGGAAGTGATTTCGACGGGATATTCGACGTTCCCCGCGGGATGGAGGATGTGTCAAAGTTTCCTGATCTCGTAGCAGAAATGATCTTGCAAGGGGTTAGTGATGACGATGTGTCAAAGGTCGTGGGACAGAATATATTACGTGTATGGCGGGATGTGGATGCTGTGGCAGAGCGGTTGAAGGCAAATGGAGCCCACGCGCTAGAGGATGATATTCCTTGGGAAAAAAGACCGAACGAGCCGGAAAATGGGGGTAAGTTGCGCCGAGTTGAGTAAAGTGCCTTCTTCCGAGATTTATTCCAAAGTAATACCTAGGTACAGACTCGGGGGTAGTCACCCGAGTCCGAGGTCGTGCGCCCGGGGCGATACTTAAGCGGCGCTCACCTGGGCAACAGAAACCTGGGTCATTTCTCGGATGTGCAATGCGTATAAGTACCTAGGTAGGTAGCCCTTGTATGTACGGATTACTCCGTACGGCGTAGAAAAATATCCACCACTTCAAAATTGACATGTATATGTGGCGTTGCTTTGGCGCTAATTGACTCCTGACTCCCAACCTTGGAATGTTGACCATCAGTGGACAGTGAGACCCACTCTTGGGGTTATCGAACAAACAGTACGGAGTACGGAGTACACCTGGGCAGTTAGACGGTCGACAGCCCAGGGGAATTTGTTCGCTCGAGATTTTTAAAAAGGGGGTTAAGAGGAGTTGAGGAATGAGTTCGATTCACTCCCGAGGTCGTCGTGTTACTTGTAGATAAATGTGGTTCGGTGGTGATTTAGGTATCACTGCAATTCTCTTCACCTCACTAGCCGCCGATGAGTTATGATAGATCATGCTACTCTGTAGATGGCACAAAATGAAACGAACCCCGGGTAGTACTCCGTACAGTCATTTCCCATGCCAACCTTGGAAGGCTCATTCACGCGACGCGATACTCCGATTCGATTCGATTCGACAGACACTCTTGCCAAGCCACTACTTGAACATCCCAACAATAATAGCACCTTCGACTGGTCCAAGCATTGCCATCCTCAAATTTGATGGCGCCTGTGGTGAGGCGTATGTATAGAAGAATGACGCGGCCAATCAAAAATTGGGTGTGTCCCGTCGAGGTGAGTCGTGGGTTAGAATGAGGCTCACAACCCCTGGGAAACATCTAGTGAGATCTGGTATCAAGCTAGCCATTGCTTCGCATTTCCTACTTCCATCCACTTATCTAGACAGCTTGAGAACTGACGGGCCTCGGCCCCACCCGGGTCGACAAAACCTCCGTCTGGGGATGGCACTCTCTCTCGAAAACTGTTTGGGTACAAGCCAGTGGAAAACATCCGCCATTTATCCCATAGAAGGACGCCACATCGTCGATAGCGCAGAATATCATCCATTCCCCGCTTGTTGGGACCTCTTCGCAGAAGTTGTAAGCGAAGGAATCGAAATAAAGGCATTTGTCCTGGAAGTTGTTTGCAATGATCTGGAAGTAAAAACCAACGACTCGTAACCAGGTTTTTGGTAGGTACTGGTGGTGGACTCCAGATTGGATATTGAGTTTCGGTACTTCTGGGAAGTTTGAATGAAGGGATGAATGGCGTATCAATTTCGTTATTCCACGGGGGAATGGATATATGCTCCAGGCGTAGCACTCTTTGAGGGAATTCTGAAGGGGAGCAAGCTTGCAAGTCCTCGATGGTAATAGCAACCGCCCAGATTGCCTCCTTTAAGAAGTCGAAGACACCATCTGGTGTCGGATATACATCAATGTCCCGGGCAAAATGACTCTTAGAGCCTTCGGTGCTTTCCCACAATGAAAATTGTTCTTCCTTGAATCTGCGAACATCCGAGTAATATTGAAGATGCCACAGTGCCCAATAAATGCGATATTCCTCTATCCACGAAAATGGCTCGTTCGCTCGTTGCGCATGTAGAGGCGAGGCTCCCACGGCAGACGCGAATTCTTGTCGCAGCATTGAAAGACAGGCACAGGCTAGCCGTTGGATCTGAGCACCGATGTGAAGAATAGAACAGGCGATTTCTTGTCTCCAAGCTCGTTGTGGAGCTTCAAGCTCCACGGTTACAAGAGTGGTCTTATGCAATCGTTCATGGACGACAACAATGTTGGAAATCAGCACTCTCACTTCGGATTGCGAAGCTATAGGGTTCAATGCTGAAATAACATGCATTATTGCCCAAGAGCCCATATGGAAGGCTGCCCTGGCTGGTCTGGATACCGACGTCAAGCTTTCCACGCCCACAAAGTCAGCCGTATCCTCAAGAATCTGAAGCATGAGCTCGACCGGAAGTCGTTGGAAGGGATCCATGACAAAGAAATGGTACTTGGCAATGTGTTACGGCAAGGGAAAAGATGCCCTGGTGAGAGACGAACCATACACCAATGTTGGTTCTTCCAAAAATTCCAGGCGGGAAGGGAAATCCCTTCCCCGCTGTGGGTCGCAGCCCTAGTGCCTGTATGTGACCTATCTGCTACTCCTAGTATTCGGCATTAGTCTGCAATGGCGACAGTACGGACTCAATCCCCGAAAGTTGATTAATTGTCTGTGGGGCCACGCTAACAATAACATAAACTACTCCGTACACGCTCTCGCTATCAATAACACAAGCAACCTTGGAAGCGTACCCCCTCCTATCAATATCAAGTTCCAAGGCTACCCACTAGCCACTACCACCCCTCCGCATCATCACTGCCGTACCGTTCATCGTCATTTTCCTCCTCCTCCTCCTCCTCTTCCTCGTCATGATCTGAGGACATAGGCCAAAGACCGGCGTCTTCGAGAGAGCGCCGGGTGTGTTTTATTTGCCTCATTCCGGTTTCAAGGAGCAGTTGGGGGTCTTTTGAGCCCCCAAAAGATGCGCCATCGAGGAGTGGCTTGTACTCATGGCCAATCTCCTCGACGAGTGCAAGTAACATATTCTTGGGCAAATATCGGCCCGGGGTGCCCCAATATGGTTTGCCGTGCTCCCCTTGCATAAGTCGCATGGCCTCCTTTCCTCCCTGTGAGTCCGACTGCCAAGCGTAACGGAGGAGTTGGATAACATAGTGGAAATACAGGTATCTGGCTGCCGGGCGAAAGTCTGTCTTGAAGACTAGGCGCCTGTTGTCGAGATCCTTGTATTTCAGCGGAAGATCTCGCGTGATCTGGGTCTCCAGCTTGTCCCACTTGGGATCTAACACGCGCATCTTCAGGTTTCGGACAGGGCTCTTGAGCCAACCAACGAGATCCGCAAGCTTTGGGCGGTCCTCTAAGTCTGGTACAATGACCAGTTTACCCGAGTCAAGGTAATCCTCGATGAATACTGACACGAGGATTCCGTTTCGCGGCGAAAAAAGCTCAGGGTGCTTTCTTTTGCCGAAGATCGCGTCCATGGTGGCTTGTCCGTGCATATACCCGAAAAGATGCGCGGCAACGACAGTCCTGTTGTCACGCCAGTCTCCCAAGACCGGACACCACAGATGATCGTAGCCGGGCCGTTGCGCACCGTACTCACGGATCATATTGTTTCGGAACCGAGTCTGCTCATCTGGGTTGCGTGTTCCCGCCCCGGTGTGTAGTATGCCTAGCCCGAGTTTGCTTGTCGTAAAAAGTTTCATGAAAGAGGCCCTCAAGCCTCTTTGGCGGCCTCTTGCGCGAAGCTCATCTTTACGCTTTTCGCATATTTTTTGCGATGTTTCATAGGCCTTGTTCTGTTGTGCTAAGGCCTTAGCCTCGTCCGAGTCTCTCCATTCGGCCTCTGTGCCATCATATCTTTGCAGTGATATTTTCCGCTGCACTTGAACTTTCTCAAGTTCGATTGCGCCGATTTCATGAGCCCGGGTCCAGTAGTCCTCGTCAAAGGACCCTCGTGGCTTGAGTCTTTTTCGAGCCCGCTTGAGGCTGTCATTGAGATGGCGTTTGCGATTCTCCAGCGCGGGAACATCAACATCCGGTGAGCCAGGGCGGCTGATAGAATAGCTCATTTTGATATATCTCGATGAGCGTAGATGGAGTGGTGTGAGATGCGCGGGCAAAGGAGATTTCAAGTTCACCTCCAGGGCTTCAACGGTCGACGGAAACTCAATCATGGAACCGTGTGTCGCCCCACGGTAGACCGATGCACATCCATGGATGCAGCGATGGAGATTTCCAAGGTTACAAACGACTCACGTCCAGGGCTGAATTGCTCATCTGGCGAAACTTCAAGGTTGTTTCGCACATATCGACACTTACACGGGACGGTCTCTTTGATGAAAAGATCATCTTTATCTTTATCCTCAAAGAGCATCCTGGAAGAGACAAAGGTTTTTACTCGATATCATGTCTTTATTCTGATCATTGACATGTCACCAAAGGATTTCCGTACTAAGCCCCTTTGGTGGTTTTTGTCTGGTAGGAGTTTGTGCAAAAGCCATTGTGAGAACAATGAGTTCTATGTTTTCGTTATTCTCTACCACTTTCTTAACAAAAGGCTTTGTTAGAAACAATGCTCGATATGAGCTTTTTCAAGCACATCGGCCTCAAGATTTCGAGTACGAGGGGTATAAAAAGGTCTTGCTGTCCTCGAGATCTACTCCATCAATCATCTGATAAACAAACACCAGCTACATCCACTCAACTACTTCTATATATAACAGAAACCATCATCCTAACAAGTGACCAACATGCCATTCCGAAACTGCAACTGTATGGGACTTGCATGCATATGCGGCAGAAGCACCAACGAACCGGGACGAACTCCGCCACGTAGCGCACCAAGAGCAGGACGGTCACGGTCGCGGTCGCGGTCGCGAGCACGAGGAGCGGCGGCGGCACAACCCCAGGCACGAGGTACGTCAGGACGAAGAACAGCAGCCCAGCCCCAACAGCGTGAGTCGTCAGGAAGAGCACCAGCAGCCCAGCCTCAACAGCGTGGGTCGTCAGGAAGAACACCAGCAGCCCAGCCCCAGCAGCTTGAGTCGTCAGGAAGAACACCAGGAACCCAGCCCCAACAGCGTGGATCGTCATCGGCAGAGGCGCGAGGTACGTCAGGAAGAACACCAGCAGCCCAGCCCCAACAACGTGAATCGTCAGGAAGAACACCGGGAGCCCAGCCCCAACAGCGTGAGTCGTCAGGAAGAACACCAGCATCCCAGCCTCAACAGCGTGGATCATCATCGGCAGAGGCACGAGGTACGTCAGGAAGAACACCGGCAGCCCAGCCCCAACAGCGTGGATCATCATCGGCAGAGGCGCGAGGTACGTCAGGAAGAACACCAGCGGCACAGCCTCATGGGTCTTCATCGGGAGCAGCAGCAGCACGAACAGGATCGGGAGTACAACCTCAGGCACGAGGTGTGTCAACACGAGCCCCGGAAACACGAACCTCAGCATCCCGAGCCCCAGCACCCCGAGCGCGAGAAGACTACCCGCTACATGACTACCCGCTAGAAAGAGGGCTAGGAGGGCTAGCGATAACAGTAGCAGACCGAACCCCGAACACCCCGCCGCGAGGCACACAACCTCCTTCACGGGATACTTCATCAGGCACACCAACAAGAGGACAACCTCCTTCACGGGATACTTCATCAAGCACACCAGCAAGAGCACAACCTCCTGCACGGGGTGCTTCATCAGGCACACCAGCACGAACACAACCTCCTTCACGGGAAACTTCATCAGGAACACGGAGCTCGACACAATCCAGCTTGCACTTGCTGACGACCTTCACAGAACAACGCCGAACTCTTCAATCCCAGCTGCGGAGTCTTGCCACACACCTTGCTGGCCCAAACCGACGTGACGGAAACGCCCTGATCGATCGAGTGCAGGCCATACACGACACCTTGGTAAGCCTTGAGAACACCGTGACACAGCTGCTCCAAAGCTATACGAGAGACGATGTCGCCCGAATTGGACCAGTGTGGGTTTTCTACGACGTAACAGCGCGCACTGGCGCAGGTCCAATGACTGAATTTAACTGGGCTCGTGGCTACACACTGAACATGTTGCAACTGCTGATCAGGCAGTTCACCACCGGGATGGAGCATGATCATACCGCTCGGAGCCTTGAGACGCTAGCTAATCTCTGGGATCTACAGCACGCATTCCCCCGAGTTCTTGCTGACGATAGCGCCGCGCTTGATTTCACCATCAGAGGGATGCACCGCGAGCCAAGCCGTAGGCCCAGGTAGAGAAGAAGCCATCAGGCCATGACCTCGGGAGGTAAGCTCATTCTATCATTTGAATGCTAATTGGAAACAGAAAAGGAGCTGTATCAAAGCTCCACCAAAAAAAGGAGTAAAATGAGGAAAGACCAAAAAAAGATTAAAACCGAGAAAGAATAATAAAAAAAAAGAGATTTTTGCAATTCGAAGTTCAAATACTGTAGCCCTCGCCATAGAGTATAGAGTAGACTAAAGTAGTATGCCGCGCTGAACTTTCATACAAGTAGATTATGGCAGTGAGTAGCTGGGTGACCAGCGAATTCTCATGAAGCCGATATCGGGGTTGTCTTAGAGATACATTTCTGCTCTTCAGGCTTGGCCAAGATCCACGGAGGCTAATGGGACGTCATAATATCGCAGTGGGGTCCGTTGGTCCGAATGTTCGTCCGGACATCAATTCGAATGTGTGTTCGATCCAGTGCACTAGTGAGTCAAAACGGTGTCCGCGGGAACCGAATACTGATTCCAAGGTTAGACGATCAATGAGAATCCATCTCTAAGCTTGGTTTGGCACGACCTATCATCTATATAATGGCCAGCGCGGTCGTCTCCTCGATAGTCACAATATCATCAATCATCCATCGTCATGGTCGTCGTAGCAGTTTCAGGAGGAACCGGGGGAGTGGGTAAGGCTGTCATGGAGCAACTCCAACTCCAAGGTGCCAAACACAAGACTTTCATCTTAGCCCGAAAGGTGAGCCCATCGCAGCTTGGAAGAAAATAACACTCACCAGCTAACACGTCGCCTGTCAATACAAAGGCACCTGCGAAGTCATCTCCTGAAGCCCCGACGTTTCTCATTGTCGATTATGGCGACGTGAATGGTCTGACTCAGATATTGGAAGACTCCGGCATCGAGACTGTGATCTCGACTTTGAATCTGGAACACGAAGCTGGGAGCCAGGCACAACTCAACCTCATCGCCGCAGCTGACAGGTCACGCACAACACGGCGGATCATCCCGAGTGAATTTCTCTCCGTCATTGACGAGAAGTAAGTCTCATACGCGGAAGAGAGAAAAAGATCTCGGAACACTTACACCCACTGGTAGTGACCCTAACGCAGGCCCCGGCATGGGAGGCTGGATCCCGAACGCTCTGGCTTTGAAGAAGACCAACCTCGAGTACATCCGTATCTCAATCGGGTTCTTCAGCGACTACTGGGGAATGCCCCATATTCATAGCCACCTGAAGCCGTTTTTCTGGGGTATTGATCTGGCTAACGGAAAGGCCGTGATTCCTGGAACAGGAAATGAGAAATTCACTGTCACCTATAGTGGGGATCTTGCGAAAGTGATCGTCAAACTTCTAGACGAGGAGAAATGGCCTGAGCGTGGCCTTCTGTCCGGCTCTGATATCTCCTTCAACGAGCTGCTTGCTATCGCTGAGAGTATTCGAGGTATGCCCTTTCCCCTACTGCCAGATTGTCGTACACTAAAACAGACTCAGGCTCCGAGTTCGATGTGGTCTATGATCCCTTGGAAAAGTTGAAGGAGGGCCGGGCGACACTGCTCTGGCGACCTGATGGGGTTTCCGCGGAAGAAATGGAGGCCCTGATGTCTGCCCATAGCCAAATGGTTATCAGCGGAGCCTGTCAGCTGCCCTTGGATGGTAGGTTAGATAATAGGTATCCTGATCTTTGCCTCATGACTGCAGAGCAACTTCTCTCCGAGGCCTGGACCGGGAAGCTATAAGATAGCTCGGTCTCCGGTGTGGACTTCGGGATGCTTGAGATTTGAATAAAGTAAAAGTACTACCTAGGTAGTATGCCGCGCTGAACTTTGATACAAGTAGATTATGGCAGTGAGTTAGTAGTTGGGTACCTAGGTATTGTGGAATGATTACAATTTTCCGCATACGTCGATAAAATCGTGTTTCCACCTACCTAGGTAGTAGATTTCTGTCCATCTAAGTAGTCTTCCCATTGGCTAAATACAGATCATATGGCACTCAATGAGGGTCATACTGAGATAATTTTCCTGGGCCACTGCAAATGTGAAGGGAACTACATATGTACCTAGGCAGGTAAATTGTATCCATTACGTCAGACTTACTTTAAGCCCTGGAGCCTCGAGCTTGTATTTGGCTTCTGTAGTTGATCGTATTGCTTCCCTTCTCTTCTACACACATCTCTCTTCTCTAAACACAATGGTCGAGCTTGATGGCTCCGTCATGCAACATAGCCCTCAGGATATGGAAGAACTGCCTCCTTCGGTTAAAGTATATCACTACAAGGATATAGATGACTTTTCCCGGGTTGTCTCACTTGAGATTGATCTTCTCTACGGTTTCTTGCGCGCTGAACGGACCACAAGTGCACTAGCTAGTGGAAGTTGCGAAGGAAGGCAAGACTACGTGATTACGCTGCCACAGACGCAAGGTACCCAAAGCGATCATGTTATCTTCATCATTGAACCTTCCGCTTTCGCGCGCGACTTCCTCAATGTAGGCGACCATAGTCCTTGTCACGCAAAGATCAGCTACAACCCCGCAACAAACATACTTGTCGCGAAGATGCCCGAAGCAACCCACGAGCAAGCAGCCGTTGCCTTCAATGATATGTTGATGCGGGCACTTCAGCCTTTGGGCCTAGAGAGGGAAATCCGCTCCTGGGGAGCTGCAAAACTTACCGCTGCAGACGGTACTAGCAAAGAGGCAAATGCCGGCTGGGGTCCACGAAGACCCCCCCGCGGAGCTCCTAAGAGACCGTCAGTGGTTTTGGAAGTCGGATCATCGGAGACTTCCGCAAAACTTCGCCGTGATGCCCACTACTGGGTAGATCCAGCAAGAGGCAAGGCCGACATGGCTATCGGAGTCAAGGTCTATGCCAAAAAGCCCCAGATCACTATCGACCTGTGGGAATGGAACTCTCAGCGCTCCCGACCCATCCAAAGAGCACACTTAACCATGATGAAATCCCATGGCAACGTTCACTTCGATCCTGACCAGCCTACACCACAGCTCTCAATCCCCTTTAACCTTTTTTTCCGACGGCCAGCGGAGAATAAGAAAGAACGCGACATATTTTTTCTGACACAAGAACTCGTCGAGTTCGCCACTTTGGTGTGGGAGATGCAATTCGAGAATGAATGATAGACAAAAGCTACGGAGGCTACTGGCTGGGAAAAGGGAAAAAAGAAGGAGCTGCTAGCATGCGTCATCAATGTTGATTAGGCTGACTGGGAGACTGACTGAGAAGAAAGAGAAAGAGCTCTGGAGCGAGTGCAAGAAGGAGAATACTGGGGTACGTGATCCCAGGACAGGAATCCCAATCTGACAATGAATAAGAATGAAAGTTCTTTGAATATATATCACGGGGCATTTGCGCCTAGAGAAAGACCCTCGCAAGATGCGGCGGGATGGGCCCCGGGGACACTATCTGCTGACTCTCTGGGGGGAAGGCAGTTTGTTATCACATTTCAATTTTGTTAAGCTAGAAAGCAATCCAACAATGATGCCCAGGTGGCTGGCGCTCACTACCTACCACGCATGGGAACGTGTAGGGATAAAGAGCGCTGAGCACAAGCCTTGAGTAGCCAAATAAGGAGGCTTCTTACATCCAACATCCGATATGGTGTAAACGGAAGTGATAATGGGAAAGTTACGATTTCCCGTGACATTAAAGCAAGAAAGCGTGGTGATTTCACCTAGGCATTTTACATGCGTCAAAGTGGGGCAGTGGTTGTTACACTAAGCTTGTTTGGGCCTTGCCTCGGTGTCTATCGCTCAGCACTATACTAACCTCCTTTGGATTAGCTTAGAGTGATCAGCGGTCATCTACACAGCGTTTCCATCATGAGTGAAACAAGCCCTTGGCGATTCCATCATTGGGAGTATGCCTTGGCTATTTTCAGCGCGTAGAATCCATCTACTTTGTGGTCCAAGTTATGGAATCCTGTTGCTTGGTCTATATAAGGAAGAATTACCCCTACCATATGTAGACTCCATAGGTACAGAGCTCCCCTTTCCAAAACAATACTCTATCACAATTCCAATAATATGGACTGGAACTCCTTTGTGCGTGAGATTGATCCTCAAGTCGAACCGGAGCTTTCCAAAGGAACACGGGATAAACTTCGAGAGGTGCAAAACTTGTTTCAAAAGTGAGTACATTATCCCTTCTTGTTATTACCGGCTTACTCAATATCTTATAGATTCACAGGTCATCTTAATCCACCAGATCACACCCACTGGCTTCGCTCTGAGAATCTTACGCTGAGACTGATTGAGGGTTTCTTTCGTTGGTACCATGAGAATCATAACTTCATCTACCAATCAGGATTCCTTACCATGACTCGCTTTTGGAGGATGTGGGTTCGTGAAGAGACAGGTAACCAGCTTCCTTTGGCATTATCACGACAAGTAACAAACGTATGTACATCTCGATGCTTTCGAGTGCTGGAAACACCAGAAGAGCTAATATATGCCGAAGCTAGCATCAAATACCCTGACGAATGAATGGAAACTAGATAAAGGCGCAAAAGAACAGCCGCCTATCAACATTGACGATCTTTTATATACTACATGGCATCTCCTGGCTGCTTGTGATATATATTTCCCATCTTTTCGAATTCTGCTTCAGCTCAACGCTTTGCGGAAGATGATGTGCTCTTCAACGGCTAGACCCGGTACTTTGATCGAGTCGAATGCACATGAAAATGTTGGAGATGCACTGAAATGGAAAGATATTGCTCTCTATATGGTTAAGCATCCTGAGGATCCGAGCCGCCATGAGCTTCTTTTGAGGGTGCGGCATAGGTTGATGAAAAGACGACGAAATAAAGGCGTACCGTGAGTGACGTAATCTAAAAAATCTCGTCACAGCATCTAACTTGGTATAGTCCTACTTTCACATACACAGAAAGGAATGACAGCCTTGGCCTTTGTGTGATACAGGACATACTTACATTTGCATTCCTCGATGACGCATTTGAAAGTCCATATATCAAGAGTCCCAGGGATATCTGGCGTCTGACTGATATTCCTGAACATCGACTGAGTACCCCAATTGAGTTCAAGAAGAGCCTCAGGGAGGTGTGCATCTTTCGACGTCCTCTGCGAGATAACGCACAGGGAACCATTATCGATCCAGTCCAGCCTTGGAAATGCAAACAAGCAGAAATACTTGAAAAAGCTGCCAGCTCCCTGGCTGGTTTTAAGGATGAGGGTTCATTCTACAAGTATCGCAAAGGAGCGGCTGCAGAGATACGTACGTGCGCAAATGCCGAACTCTTTACAATGATATATCATTGACCGTTAACTACAGGTCACCTCGACGAATACTCACGAAACATAGTTATGGGTCATACGAATGGAAAGTCCTTTGCAAGCTACGTCAGTGTAAGGGATGATGTTCAATCTGCCTTTATGGGCACCCCAGCCAGAAATGCCTTGCTAGGACTTGCATGTAATGCAAGTCTCACCAGGGATGTTTCGGCGCCGAATGATCTTGATTCAGGAGAGAAAAAGGGTATTGAACTTGACCCCGAGCTTGAAAGGTTGAAGGAAGCCACTCGCCGGTCCCGACTTGTCCTAACAAAAAAGTGGCGTTCATTACAAAATGCTGAGAAATGCGAGCCGGAGCAGTATCAGAATTTTCGTCGGCTTCAAAATGCGACTAGAACGTACCGAAAGCGTCTTTTCGAAGCTAAGAGGAAGGAGAAACGTGAAAGCTTCTTTGGTGATATCGGAAATCGCATTATCGAGGGTAACCATCAAGGGAATCCGATTAAATTTGATGCCGATTTATCTCATATGCAGCCTCATCGAACCGCCTTGGCTGAGCTAGAGTTCAAAAACAGAGAAACCGACGAAGTTGACTATGATTCGTTGATTCAAGATCGTATCAGGTCATTGGAAATGAGACTGGAGCTCAACAAGCTCCACGTGCCCAAGTGTCTGAAAAAAAGAGTTGTTTTCAGCAAGCTGGAAAGATTAATGCTTACTGACAGTGATGAGGACTCCAAAAACCCGAAGTCTGGATCTTGGAAATGTGAGACTGGTCTTCAGTGCCCATTCTGTCTAGGCCACACCAATCTTGACCCAGCGGCAAGAGAGTACAGCTACTCAAGAAAGGATGCCCTGGTCCGTCATTTCAAGACACATCGATTACCCTCTTTCTTTCCAAAGCCGGGTCGTGAGTGTGATATCCCAGGCTGTGACACTATTTGCATCTCACTTCCCGGCTACCTTCTACATGTGAACAAAAACCATAATATTTCAATCTGAAATATATGATTGCTGGGGAAAGTCTTGTTGTCTCACCAAGTTATCTGTCTTGTCCAAACTAAATCCTTCATTCCTTTTTATCTTATTTCCATGTCATTTGATATCATTTTATTTCCTCGTCTTGTTCAATTTTCCGCAGTTCTCTTCTCTCTGATTATATATATCCTGTCTCAATCCCATTATGAGTATTACACCCTGTAATAATGTAGGATACCTCTTTTCTTAATTTACTTTTTGAGCTAAGACACCTCATTCGCTATTTCTCTCTTTACTCTACCAAATCTAACATCTTCTACATTTATTGGTGAATTTGCAAGAAAAAAAAAACCTTTGCTAAGATTTTATGTGATATCAGCAACATATTTGAAAATTAGCCTGCGAGAAACCATTGGTTTGTGGCAAAATTGAAGGTTGGCACTTTGATATCTTGTGCTGGGTGATTCACAAGCTTTGATTGAAACCCTCCATCTCCATGAAATATAATGCAAGAGACCCCGTCGGTACAAATTCTATGAACTTCCTCCGCTATAATTGTTTGAAGTGAAAGGTCAGCATCGTTAACTCCGGCGAACCATATCGAACCACCTAAAGTTTGTGCAAAAATATCGACATTATATCGCCGGATGAAATCAGCCACAGATGTCGAATAGTTGAAGAATACAACAAATGGAGGTGTATTCGTATCGAATAATGGTTTAAAAGAAGAGTAGAATACGTCAGGAGACATATCGGTTTGACATGTACACACGTTGATGTTTTGTGTCATGATGTAAAATCTGCTGTCTGAAGATTCATTGGCGCCAGAGGGGGTGATCGATTGTATTTCCTGGGATATAGGAGCTATGTCATATGGTATGAGAGACATCCTTGAATCCCCGAGATTGGTAATTGGGTCTTCCGGTGGTAGGATTGACGGAAGAGAATGTTGCTGATTTAGCCGCACTGGTGGACCGCCAGGAAGCATTGATGGATTATGATCCATCACTGGATCGACTGAAGAGTCACCGCGATCTATTATCTCCTCCATATTGAAATCCCCATCACTAAAATCTGGCATAAAGGTTGTAAAGATGTCTCTCTTCACCGCAAAAGACGTCATGTTCTCACGTGCATCCTGATCATCGACATAAATATTACCCATAAATAGATATCTTTGATCGGAGAAGAATGTGCTAACTTCTGGCATGCCACAGCGCTGATCCAAACTCCATGTTTCTCGACTGTCCCAACTATGGATCGGTGCTTGGTTTATAACCTTCCGTGGAGTCATCTCCACAAGCATAGCCGCAATCCGTGTACTCCATTCGCTCAAAGTAGAGCTATCATATGTGAATAGCTCAGGTGGGCGAAGCCTAGCCAGCAAGTCGTGGATTGCAATTGATTCAAGAGAGCCTGCTGGGCGGCTTTTATTGAGCCCTGGAATTGTGAAACCGATCTCCTTCGCACAATTTTTGAATCTCTTCCAGAGCTCGGAGCGATCGAATGTTGGCTTCTCAAGTGGTGTGCTTCGCCCAAGGGGTCGAGTGTCAGTGAGACCATAAAAGTGCCTCATCGAGAAAAGAAATAGTTGTGTATAAGCAGACCAAAATCCGTATCCTTGGGGTTTGTTGTGTAGCTGAAAGTCGTTTTCTGAAGTCTGCACTTTGAACTGTAGCCCTTCGGGACATTCGTAATGTTTTTCCATCTCATCTCGAATCGTTCCCTTGAAATTTGGAGGAAGTAACTTCTTCATGACATCTGTCATTACTTTGAGATACTTAGTATTCTCGAAAAATGTTTTTAATGATGGGATTATCTTAGGATATCCCAAGACAGAAGCTCGAAGCTTTAACCTCATAGCTGGCTCCTCGACATGTGAGAATACCCTTCCTTCTTCGAATAATTGTTCAATGTAGCGGCGATCCGCTTTCGACAAGCGGGGACATCGTCCCTCCAGAAGAGAAAGTGTTGGCGAGTCTAAGATTATACTTTTCTCTGATGTGAAGGAATTCCAGGCATGGTAGATTGCTTTAATGTAGTGAGAGAGTTCCTATATATTGATTGTTATTAAAATTTTGATGGACGTTTTAGTTGCCACTTACATCGGGACATCGCAGGCTGGGAAGATGAGTCCCCATATGCCATGAGCCCCACAATGCCGGGAACTCTAACAGACAGTCCAAAGAGTTCGCAACATGTATCAATGAATCTTTACTCTCCTTGGATCCGAAAATTCGTTTAAATTCTCGGCACTTTGTAGGTGACCATTTTGCAAGCCACTCACGGGCAGGTTCTGTCTCCCCGCGCTTCTGGTGGTAACGAACATTCTGTAATATCTCCCCATCACTGAAATGCTGTGATCCTTGATCAAGCTCTCTTAGTCGTCTGCGGCAGTCTTCGTTCAGCTTTGCAGTATCGTAGACGATGAAGTTCCACCAGCGGTCATTTGGGGCCAGCCACTGCAATGCCGCAGCAATACGATGTTGCCCTTGAAGGCATTTTAGCATTTGTGTCTCAGGGATTTGGACATCCACAATATCTTCCCCAAGTCTCCTGTGCTGCCCTAGCTTTTGCAATTCAAGGTATAACATCTCACATGGGATCCAGGTCAGTGGGTCATATCGTCGACATCCCTCGAGGTCAAATCGATGAAGAAGACGATCGATCGTTGATTGTTTCAAGGCACGAGAACCCCTGACATTGATATCTTCAAAGATAAGTCGATCAAGCCCTTTAACCTTTATGTGTCCCATTCGAGCTGCCGATAATTGGCGTGAGACCTCGAGGTCATTTGACCCCATGGTAAACTGATCAAGCTCGAGTAAGTTTCTATGATGAATACCAGCGTAGTGGACTTATAATAAATGTGACTTATGAGAGAGCAAAATGAAACTTCACTTAACCCTCCTAGTTTGTTGGAGTCTCTTGGAAATTATATAGAGGCAAATTTAGATAATCTATCTTAAGAAAGACCACGGTTACGCGACATGTTTGATTCGATCTAGATTAACCTCTTGCCGCTTGATCTATACCTAGGTAGGTTATTTCACGTGAAATCCTGTTATTAAGTCTATCTAGGTATCTGAGTTTATAATATTTTTCCTGCTGTACTTACATTTTCAAAATAAAAAGCGTGGAAGAGTTCATAGGGTTGTGAAATGATATACATATTCATGAAGCTAAGAGCTTTTGAAATGATAAATCTATTTTGAGATAGGAGGATTTTCATCTGTACAAAGGCAACCTAGCTATTTTAAGACTGATATACTCTTAGGAATACATGTTACCTATGAAATACCACGATTTTAAGTATCCATGGGTATTATTATTATCTTAGGATACAACATGTCATGAGAAACACCACGATTTTTGATCAATTAACCTTTCCCTATGATTATAATTATCCTAAAATATAACTTATCCTATGAAATACCACGATTTTCACTTGACAAATGATTTCTTATGATTCATATCACGCCACGATACAAACTACCCGACGAAAACTTGTGATTGATAATCAACCGATTCCAACCCGAGTTTATCTTGAGAGATAAGCTACCGTAGGAAACACCACGAATATCCCCTTCCTCGTTATCTCCCTAGGGCAAAACTTATCCCACGAAATACCACAGTTTTCACCTTCATAAGGTTTCTCCAGATTTTTATTATCATAGGGATCCAGCTTTCTTAGGAAATACTATAACTATTGTTACCAATTTCTTTCTTAAGACTATTGATCTCTCAGGACGATATTTTTCCTACGAAAAACCACGGATTTTACTACTATAGATTATCGGAGGATTCTTATGATCGCAGGGAAGAATATATCCTATGATATACCACGATACCATATCACTCAAACATATCTCAGGAGACTATCTTTCCTAGGAAATATCACAATCATCTTGGTAAATGGTAAACCTAGGATCGTTAATCTCTTTTTCTCCAAATTATTATACGAAAGATTATGATGTTTATTATTCAAAGTTCTCTTATGGCATTTAGTATCTTAGGAAATGTTACCATTGATCCTTTATAAAAACCTTTAGAGACTTACGAAGAAGTTAGAGCCTCCCAATTATTATCTACTAACTGTTTCGACAACAACCTGGTCACTCTTATTTGGATTTGTAAGGCTACAACTACATATATAGGTGCCCGGATGGGTTATGCTTGCGGCATTTCGTATGACGTAACCATTCCGATCCAATTCAGATTCGCGCGTGACATAAAAAATTTCAATCAGGAAGGGCATTTGAATGAATGGGTGTTTGGCCGTAGTTCAAAGGAACTCTACAATTGATATTGTAGTAGTTAACACAATCTCTCAAAACGGCGCATCACCTTTACAGCCACTATGGCCTGGAATATCAATTACACATATGGGGCGTATGGGGCGTCAAGTTTCAAATTAAATATCCACAAGTAGAATCGAAATATTTGGATATCTGTACTCTGCTGACATCAACTATCATATGCACTAGAACTTGTGTAGTAAAGCGTCGGTACTATGTCACCCTAAACGGAATTTGTTGCTAAATTCAGTAATTGTAATTAGATACACCATAGTTACCAAACTAGATAAAAAAAATAAGTGATTCAATACATTCAACGCCACCTACCTCAGAGAATGATATATTGAGAATTCCATCTCTTAAAATTAGTGACTGACTGACTTTGTGGGTTTCAAATTCTATTTCTCATCCTTCTGGCCCTTTAGCAATAAAAGCCCTCGTTTGGTGGTCATCACTAGTACTCTGTATCTCCTGGCCCTTCCTCTTTCTTGACATTAGTTAATCTTGATATGCACTATTTACGCGTGATATTTGCTGGAATTCCTATGGCCAAGCAGTTTATGGTACAACGATATGGAACTTCTCATCAAAGCTTGCAATTAGAGATAGCAACTTCGAAAAGTACGAGCGATCTCCCGTTTCACTCTCTAAACCGCCGAACTTCCCTGTAGCCAATAGGGTCAGTAGTTGAGAATGGGTCATCGAGCATGAATAGTCTGCTATGACAGCGTCTGGCCTTTCCTACTTGAGCCCTGTTCGATGAATCAAAGCCCCATTACTGAGAATGAGGCGACATTGCTCCTTCAGATCAGTGACGTACAAATCGATCTTGAAGCTATGTGCTTATGCCTCGTGCCCATCAATTTTCACTGCAATGGATACAAAGAGCTGGTGCAGAGATAAAGCCTCGAGCATCTACGTCTAATTAGACAGTAAATTATGAGTGGTCATTTGGCCGCGTAGTTTTCTAGCATCGGAAAGGTAGAAATTTCGCCACGGGCCATTCTCAAAGCCAAACCTGAGTCTTTCGTATGTCTAAGCCAGCATTGCCTTGCTAGTTTCGTTGTGTAGCTCGGCAAAAACGACGTGATTGAGAAGTGTGGCTGCAAATTGTAGATCTCCTTCTTCGACGAAGTTATTAGCCTTTTTGATCATATTTTCGACACCATCTATGTAAGAAATATAACGTATTAAAGACTCTACTAGTAGGAGTTTCTATAGGTGAGATAGATTACTATCGAACCAGGTCATGTAGCGTTGATATATTGTCTTGACGTTATAGCTGACCGAGTCGTAAAAGCCTTGTGTATACTAAGTCGTCCGTAGTTTTAATAGGAGCGTAAAATGCTTAGCGATCGCGATGCCCGTAAGGCCCTGATTTATCAGACGTACTGTCTGGTCATACAAGAAGGTATAAAGGTCCTGTTGCTTGCAGAGATATATGTATATTCTCTCTTTCCCCTACGTTAGCTAATAATACGAGACGAAGGAAATATCCACTTTATCTGAATAAAGCGTGACTACTTCGTCTAAATATGATGACTATGCAAGAGCATTATATACAGCAGCTCCTTGAAGCGTCGAGATGTTGTGGAGATACTAAGTAGTATTTTCGGTTATGTATAGTGTTCGAAATTGAGGGAGGAAGAAATTCATCTTAGCTGGTGTCTCTATCCTAGACGTGATCTGAAAGATAAATTCTACATCGTTAATAATCTTAAATTAGCCTGTGTGGGTGATATCCAAGCTTGGTGGAATGATAGTAATGGTTTCTGAGGAAACGATTATATCTAAACCAGCACTGATTTAGCCTTAGGGACTTTTAGGTAATTCATTTCTATACATATATCCCGCCTTACGAGCCATAGTATTACTTGCAAAAATGTTTTCGCTGACAGCATGCTTAAGAAAGCTCTGAGAGGCAACCACCAGTATTTTAAGGGCCTCATCTCGGGATAAGATTCCCCCAACACCGCCAAAATAATCCGCGTGATAGTGCGTGTATATCATGTCTAGCACAAGTCTGCTGCCGCGATTCTTGCAATACAGGTCTAGTGCAGCCTTTGCACACTCCATAGAAGTAAGGGGATCGATCACGATTATACCCTCCTTTCCTTCAATCACAGTCATATTCGAGAGATCGAAACCCCTGATTTGATATATACCGTCGACAACCTCAAAAAGTCCTTGTTTTGCAACAAGTTGAGCTTGACGCCATAGCTTAGGGTTCGTGGTCTCTGGGGCAGGCTTTCTATAGAGGAAGTTGTAGGCTTCATTATCCCAGACAACACGGCCTTGGCGATCTTTAATGATACACGGGTCGAGACGATCAACAAACCCGCGATCTGCATCTCGAATAGACTGCATATCCTCAAATGAAGGCTCCATTGTGCCAGGCCTTGATGAAATTTGTTGAAATATCCCAAAATTTATTTGTGGGAGAATTTGAGCATTAGGTATGTATGCTAGAATATCGGGTCTATGACGAGTCTATGACGGGTGCATCTTGGGAATGTCTGTGGAACTAACCCCATATCCTACCACGAGTTAAAAACAAGGATCATTCGGAAAAAATAAACTGAACAACAACAGAGCGGAAAAGGTTCTCAAGTTTTTGTTTAGGAACAGCCGAACGCGGGGATCGCACCCGCAGCCTAAATATTATCTATGTGTTGTGATATGAGGCTGGTGCAGACCAGGAACCAAGCCGCACCGTCGGAATTAGCTCCGAAGTGTCTATACAGACGACCGAGTTGATTTCCAATCAACTTGGCTCATTGTTGTATATATAGGCACATGTATCACCCCGAGATAATAAGTCAATTCATACATCTGAACTACAACAACAATTAAGAACCAAGAGACAGACTTAAACAACCGAATTGGTTGACACGATGAATACTGGGGTTGTTTCTAACGAGCAGCTGTCCCCTGGGGCCGCACAACGGACAAATGCTTCAAAGCCTCGTTTGTCGCTGCGAAATCGACACAGGGAGCTTTTTGGCGGGACTAAAGGAGCTATAGACGTCATCCTTCGCTCACCGGCCTACAATATACGATGGCCAATAATCATACAAGATGAAAAAGAATGACGGCACCTCACCTTATAGCACGGGTCTCCAATCGGCTTTCTATCATAAGTGTTGAGACAGTCCCCTGAGGGGTGTCTGAGTACAATATGGATACGAGTGAAGAATATGAGGCGTGCTTGGTAAGGTTATGATGATCTCCAGCCTAATTGCTGTTCCTCCTAAGAGAATCCCGCTCCTCATTTTCTAGGGCATGCCTTTGTGCGTATGCAAGCAGATAAGCGAGGCGACGTATCAACAGGCAGTTTCAGTGGTGCGTCGGCACCTTCCCCGCATTCCCTATACCTTATTCTATGGTTGGCGTAACAATAAGTAGAATTTACTGCGTCACCAGGCCCATTCACCCCTTTTTCATGAACACTATGGAGGAGATTGTCGAAATTGTTCGAGAGATGGGCCGGCGGCAGAACGACAGTTCATAACACCGTACCTGTTACGGACTTCTCAAGTAGTTACAAGACTTGGTGGCTCAAGCATCTGGTGATCTGCGCTGTCTTTAATAGCACGAAACATCATTTCCGTCCAATGGCTTCTTAGTCATCCACCATATTGCCGTCTAATTGCAGAACTTGGTAGGAAAACTGTCAAAGCAGGGAAAAAAACTCCCATCTAGCTTGGGAAAGCTTCCAGTCTGCCAATTGCTCCAGCCGAAACTCTGAATCAAGGAAAATACTTTACCGGTACTTGGCTACATCTAAGCCACATCCAAGCTATGTTTGGAATTGCAAAAACATTGAGTTGAGGGGGGATATTCCACCATCCAGTAAATATTGATCGAGTACCCTTTCTCTCTTTGTCTTCGTATGGTAAACGGGGTATACTCGGAATACACGCGTCGTAATACGCTAAGCACGGCTCCCGAGATCTGACAACGCCTCCACAGCGAGCAAAACCTGTGCTGATCTCTCACGCCAAAGAAAGATGACCGTAGAAACACCCACAGCAGTCTCGATAGGCTGTCGGTGATTATATTTATGGAATTTGAAATGTCACCTCCAATTTCCCTATCCGTGGATGGGCCACATTAGCTGCTGCCTGAGCACGCAGCCTCGACGAATGATATTTTCGAGAGCTGTTCAGCTTGATTTTAGCATGTCTGGATAGCTTTTGGATGCAAGAAGAGTGCGAATCCATACATTCTGGAGGATGACCACTTGGTGAAGGCGTTGGAACTTTGCGATATTGAATGGTTGTAGGCGGGATCGGAATCTTTGAACAATAAGCCCCATGTCTATATCTCTCAACGGGAAATATTCTCTCACCTTGTTGGCCTGGAGATCCGCATATAGTATTTCCGCTTTCTCCTCAACGTCGTGAAGCTTATTGCGAAACTCTGCTGTCTGCGAACCAATAGAGAATAGTGGGAGTTGGTATCTCGGGAGAAGCTGCTTGCAGCTATACCATTTAGCTGAGGTTGACTCATAGTTGTAATTATTCTTCACCAGCCAAGATACTAGCTTCAAATGCGAGTAAGCCAAAAATGTGGCATGACCGACACACCGGTTGATCCTTGCGGTGTAAAGAAGCCTAGCGTCCGACTCTGCCCGAGATGCGTACTTGTTTAAAAGTTCTTGAAGGGATTTCCGATCAAGACTATTTTTATGCAATTTTGTTGCGATGTTTTCTATGATGATAGCCAGGTGGATCAACAAGTCAAAGCCTGGGGGAGGGAGGGGTCGAGGGGGAATCTGAGACATCATCGGAAAGCTTTTGCTCCCACTTTTCCCTTTGAGAAGATGGAAAAGCTCTGGGCAGGGTTTAAGTGACTTATAACTGTTTTCAATGTTCGGTTCGTGACGTATTAGGATGATTTTTGAACTTTTCTACTCTCTTACCATACGAAAAGAGGGCGGGCTACGATCGAACTTCCAGCACTTGGCTGGTTAAAAGCTCTACGTTAAATTCGGGCTGCATCTGGACAGTGGCTTTTGATTTAGCTTGAAAAATAGAATAGAATGAATACTTTCCGCGACAAAATCTTTCTGTATGTCAATTACGTCATGTGACGTAGGCTAGAAGAGCAGAGCGATAACTCAGGTGGGCCTCGCCAAAACCCGCCCATATCGGTATCCGTTCGGTAGCGCGTATACCGAATTTTGAGAACGACCGATCGCCGGGCCATACGGTTATATGGTTGAGAAAGCAAAGATTCCAAGGGTGAAGTAATGACGGAAGAGTATCAGGACTCAACTTGCGTAGATTTTATCGTTCTCGAAGTAAGTGATGGCATGTGTGACTGTGTTATATATACGGTTCCGAAAGGAATAAAGGAATGCGAATATACAACGAAATCAAGTTCGCAGTCCGCGAATATGAATATATGAATTTTTTATTCGCGCGAATAAACGGATTATTCATGTTGAGATGAGTGATTGTCTTATTGGTTCTGATTAACTTGAGGAGTTATCTTTAACAGGGGCAGGATGTCTCATATATCTGTTCCTAATCCCTGCCATCAGAGTCAGCCACCGTGATATTCAACAATTCATATTCGCATTTATATTATTCATATTATGAGGTTTCTCCGCATTAATACTTTGTCCGGTACAGCGGTTATCGTATTACCGAAATGCGCTTAGTGGTCGATTTTGTCAGGATGAGGAATTGATGTACTGGCTGGTACTGAACATGTCCAATAGAATCAGGTGATTAATTGTAGGTGTTAAAGATCGGTTGAACGATCTCAGGGGTCTATACAAATAAGCTTAAGCGTGTTACAACACCGTACTTCCGAATGTGCCCGGAATACCGCACAAATTCCCGGGGGAATTGGGTGAACGATGAATAAGCCTGTCCCAAAAGAGTCCTAGTGGTATTTGACCACTCTCTCAGTTCGTCACATTCTTTAACACCAGGGGTTGGTTGAACTTCCCCCGGAGCGTGAGCTTCACCGTACCAATCCATTCGGCTTCTATTGGATCGCCCGCCGTGTCCAGCAGATGTGGCTGGTGGCGGCCGAGTCCAGGATCCACCGGGGTTGCGGTGCGTGGGTATAGAGGGTCGTCACCCTCGCCCTCACGATATTGATCCTCGGTCTCTTGGAAGTCGGCGGGCCCTGCCGATCTTCTCTCTGGCTTGACGGTATGTTTTGCATGTTGTTTCTTGGTGAGCGGGAAGCACTCCATTCAGCCTTCAGGGCATAGTCCCTAGGCGGGTGTATTTCGCGCTGTTTTTTTTCCAGCACTCCGCGACCACATGGCCGCGCTTCTTGCAGTAGGTACACTTCTTGGGATTTCTCTGCACTGCATTGATTGACGGTCCTGGGACTCCCTGTGGGGGCGCGGGAGACTCCTTTCGTCGGACCGTCTGCTCGGCGTTGGACAGCCGATTTCCGATCGTGGTCAGGTTGACCGGATCCTTGTCATTCTGGATCGCATCCACAACCAGGATGTATTCCGGTCCGATCTGCGTGAGCAGAATTGCAATATGTGTCTTGTCACCGATTGATCCTGGAGCAATGGCATTCAACCGATGTACGAGCAGCCGTACGCGATCAACAAACTCACGCGCACTGGCGCATCGGTCGCCGGTGGTCTCGCGAAGTTGAGCAAACAATTCGCAGAAGGTGGCGAGTTCCATTCGCCGGTCTCGTTCCTCAAGTTCATTCCAGAGGTCACGGGATGTCTCTAGTCCCGCGACATGAATGCTGATGTGGGGGGACAGGTACCGGAAGATGGTGTGGTAGGCCTCGACTTCACGGCGCGGCCATTCACGGTGGCGCTCGAATGCCTGGACCTCCACTTCGAGGCGCGCTTCAATAGCTCGTTGCCTCACCGCCCCATTGAGGTGGGGCTCCACCAAGGGGTGGATGTCCGCCGTAATAGGTTTGGCGTACTTGAATGGACAGTCGGGACGCTGAAGGTCGCCCGACACGACAACCCATACCTGCCTAGCTTTGAGATAGGAGGTCATGAGACGTTTCCAGGTCGCGAAGTTGTCACTTCCTGTCAAAGGCTCGATGGCCGTGACGGCTCGGTCAGGAGAGTCATGGACTAGAGCAGACATAGTGATGATTGCGAAAGCGGGGTAGATATCTAATCAAGATTGATGAGATGATTCTCACATGTGTAGAGACGGCACCCGAGATTATGCTCTCGGGCTCATAACCTGTTGTAGTTCAGAGGTATGAATTGACTTGTTATTTCAGAGGGATACATGCGCCTAGTTGATTTCAAATCAACTTGGTCGTCCGTATAGACACTTCGGAGCTAATTCCGACGGTGCGGCTTGGTTCTTGATCTGCACCAGCCTCATATCACAACAGTAGCTATAGCTCTTTGACTAGCTATACCTCACTTTTATCTAAAATCTTATCGAGCCTCTAAGTTTTGTAGACACATGACAACGTTTAGTGATGACTTATGCCCATTTCAAAGAAATTGCTTTCCTCTGTCTTCGAACTTATATGGTATCTCTGCTTTCTTTTGAGTCTGCATTGAAGGTTTCCATATCAATCGCGAGTTCCTTGCGGTCATTCTCTTGCACTAGGCGTAGAATAGCACCTGGCACTAAGCATCTTCTGCAGAGTGGGGCGTTTTATTCGCTTTCTTGGATTCCAAAAAGTACATTGAAAACACAGCGAGTATGAGATACAGAAGACCTAAAAACTATAAGCGACGAATACCATGAATTTTGAATGACTTACTCCACGTGAAGCTCATATACTCATAACCGAATAGTGCCTTAAGGGAACCGCCCAGGATTGGGCCAATCATCGTACCGAGGGAGGCAGCAACGTCCATCATAGCGATTACGCGTGATACGCCACATTCAGCCCCCGAAGGACCCGCGTTCTTCTCATACATTGTTTTGGAAGCAGCTGTTAATATGCGGTTAATATCTATTTATTATCGTCGCACAAAAATCCTTGGGACAAGGGCCACTTACCAGTCAACTCGGCAGGCGCGATACCAGACACAAATGGTCGCAATATGCCGATAGCAATGACAGAAGTTGAGTAAATTCTTTTGCCGCTAGTCTGGGCACTAAACCAGGAGATACTATCGCTCCCTGCGATTCCCGAGAGGCTTAAAAATAACGCCTGGAGAATAGCACCGATTACCGCTGGGTATCGTGCCCCAACCCTGTCACGGACCCAACCAGCAAGGGGACCGACCAGAATACCTGGAACAGCAAGACCAGCAAACAGGAGCCCGGCTGAATCTGGGCCCCATCCAAACCTGTCTTGGATTTGCGAAGGAAGCGTCGAATAAAGGCTCGTACTCACAGTCATGCTCGAACATGTGATAAGCAAACATATTAGGATACGGCCGTTGCAGAACAGCGAGAGCCAGAAGCCCCCGGTGCTGGATGGAACTTCTTGATTTAGCAGCGGGCTATTGGGCCCAGAGTATGAGACTTTGGACGGACGATCAATCATAAGTACACGTGCGACAAGGTCTATAAGTAGAACCAGTAGCGGAATTGTCCACAACACGCGATAACTGACAATCTCGTACAGCAGACCAGAGATTGCGGGCCCGCTAATCGTCCCTGAGTTGGCGAATGAAATCACTAATCCCATTGCCGAACCCATATTCTTCGCACTTACGGTGTCCGCGACGGTTGCGAAGCCGATGATCCATACTGCTGATCCCGCGATACTTTGCAAGACACGGCCTAGTAATAGTATAGGGACTGAACGAGCACCCGCAACCGTACAGGTGCCAGCAATGCAGACGCCAAGCGATAATAGCAGTGGAACCTTACGGTTAGGAGTCTGATCGTTGAAGTGCCCAATAATAGGGCCAGCGATCATGGCGAATGCGCCGTGGATAGCAAGAACGGATGATGTCAACTGTTGGGTTTTAGAGGGCGGGACGTTGAGACGATGTTGAAGCATGTCGCCGAGGAAAGGCACCAGAAATCCATAAAGAAAGGTCTCTGATTGGTATTAGGGTGTGGTCAATCAAGCTAATGAAGGGGAACACACCAGCATACAGCGCGACTGCAATGGTTGCTAGTACAAACCATTTGGAGGAGCGCCATTTATAGCCCATCGGCGTAACATCGCCCTTGTAATTGCCACTCATCGAGGAGATGGATAGTTAGACTTTCAGCTTTGAACCAAGACGTCGACGTCGTGTATAAACCTAGGTCGCTGAGTATGGTACTAAGTGAGTATTTGCCATAGAAGATGCCGAATCTAGGGGGACAGGCCCTTGCATGAAAGTAAATAACTCACTCACCTAAATATGTGAACTTTCGAACACGTAGCATCATATACACATTAGGGTGCCGAGATCCGGGACCGAAGACATCGTCACGACTGACTTGGGGTTTTTTTTCCCCCAAATAATTAGTAAGAACACACGAGCGTAGTACGTGGAGATCACCGCTTATGCACGTGGGTGGGTAACCATCATCATGCATCGGGTCAATAAAGTAAATTACGTGACTGATCACTTTACATGAACATGATCTGCTAAAACACCTATTCCCGGTCGAGCCATTAATTACGCTGTTGCAGAACTAGCTATGTGACTTGTAGGTTCTTTCGTTTTTGCTAGCGAGTCCACAATATGGCCGGGGTCAGCAACCTGATTAATCTTCCGCCCATAAGAAAAGGAAAAGGGAAAATAATAATAATGATAATCCCGCAAGTCTACTGCAGTAATATGTACAATTCCTACAGGTACGTAGTACCGCAAGATAGCGTGCTTAAAGATATGGATCTGATATTCTAAGTAATTTTTATGCATAGAAACATTGCGCCAAGCCCTTGCCTTGTTAAAAGCAGACTCCCATCTCAGTCACGGCTTCATTGAAACATAACTTCTTTTTAGACTTTGATCTTTATCGGCCAAAGATGTACCGCCATTTCCGTGCTGTTTGTACGACTGGCGTGAAAGGTGCTAGATATTCTACGCAGCCTATCAGTACGTAACCATTGTTCTAGGGCTTCCTTGGACACTGCTAATTGCGACAAGGGGATATACGAACTTCCAGTCTTGTTCCGCTGATTGAAGTTACCAAACCTAAGTTTTCCTCGGAGGCCACTCACTTGAGAGTTGTACACGAGACTCTGGAAGCTAAAGGAGTGGTTCAATTGGCCTTGGGGTTCAGCGATGAAAAAAGCGTCTATCTGCAGAGACTTATTACCAACTTCCACAAAAGCCATGGTCATGGTCTTCCGATAACCCATAGTGCCGAACGCGGCTGGTTTTGGGATGTTCGGCCCTCTCCATCGGCCTTCCAAAGCCACGGGCACCAAGCCCGCTCAGAGACAATGTCTCGATTTGATTGGCACACCGACTGCAGCTATGAGGAATGTCCGCCGCGATACTTTGCTCTTCAAGTCATTCAACCGGATCGCTGTGGGGGTGGAACTTTGTCGATACTAAACGTCGACCGACTCCTCGCCTTACTCTCCCCTTTCGCACAGAAATGGCTGTCTAGCAATAACTACAAGATCACTGTCCCTCCTGAATTTCTCAAGAAAGTGGGAGAGCAGTATATTGTTAGCAACTTGCTCGCAGTGAAGCCGGAGGGAAAAGGTGGCAGTCAATTACGATTCCGGCATGATATCACTATACCGTTAACTCCCAACGCTGCTAAGGCGCTAGACGAACTCAAGGAGATTCTGTATGGAGATAGAGCCGAGGAATGGACTATCCATCTTGAATCCAAGAGCCTTCCTCGGGGGTCAATAGTTTTGATGGATAATCGACGATGGCTGCATTCTCGGAGTGAAGTCAAGGACCCCAACCGTCATCTCCGACGAGTCCGATGGGATGCGAGACCATTCGGATCGCACAGCGCATGAATCTTTGGGAATTACTTATTGGGCTTGGATATATAGTTCCATATTGGAGCTTGTAATTGGTATTACATGTGTAACGCGCCACACTGTGCGCGCCACCGTGTACTGCTGACTTGCATGTCAATCAAATCAAAAAGTAGTCCACAATTTGTGGGGCCAATACTCAGCTGAATGATGAGCCATCAGAAGACCGCAACAGGGTTACATTGCATTTGAATTTTACACTAGTTTGTAGACTTAGATCCGTAAAAGACCAAAAATTGCATGCATGCAGGTCAGCACTGAGTTGTCGATAGTTAAGTAAGGATTGCTAGTTATTTTTCATTGGCTAATTAGAATTCAATTAAATATTCCTTTCGTCTCATAAAACCTTTGTCTTTGTGTTCAATTTACATTCAAAATCTTTACCATTGAAAAGCATCTCAAATGAGAAACAGATTGTTCGACCGTCTCCAGCAAGTCTGTTTTCCAGATGCCGTGGACTTCGCATTTGTGTCAAATGAAAAGCCAGATTCCAGCCTCTTGGATAAGGCCCGCGGCGCTTATACCTCAAGACTGAAAAGATGCTCTTCCGCTTGGCCTGCTGGATCGTTAGATGCATCATCTCCTCATCCCGTATTGATCACTCAACGGCATCATGATGAGTTGGACGAATTGCATCGGGCCTTGAATCTGGCAATTGAAGATATCATCGAGCGATGGTGGACGGATGAGCAAGCCCAGCTTCCCCAGCGGATGCCCTTGGAACCTGGAGAGGAAGATTTATTGCGCGTAAGTCCTGCGCATCCTTCACTGTCGGTACTAGGTTATTGGTAGTATACTGACGTTTTGTCCTTACGAGAGTGGATCCACTCAAACACATGCCTGTTCCGACCGTGGAATGAGAGACAGGGATCCTGGAGACCGGACTTCTTGGTTGAGATTGACGAAGCCGGCGTGGAGGTATTCCGCATCTGCGAAATTAATGCGAGATTTTGCTGGAATGGCTTTATGCATGGAGGGTTTGGCCAAGACTCGCTTTCGGCATTCAATATTGAGTCTCGGGGTCTGATGCACTGTGTCGATGCTGAATCAGTAAGTAAGGAAAGAACTGGAACCATGGCGACCTGGCCTATGAATGAAGAAGCTGGTGTTGACTTGTTAAGATCCTCGGTGGATTATTCAAACTATTCGACAACAAGCTCCCCTTGCACCTGGTCAAAGGCGAGGAACGCGGAATTGATATCTTCATGTTTATCGAACTCGCCAAGAAACGACTTGGCATTGAACCACGACTCATAAGCCCGGAAGCACTCCGAATCATCCCAGATCCTTCTAAGGATGCTGGATTTAAATTGTGTTGCCTCGCCCAAGCAGGTGCCGTTGACACTATTACTGCCGAATCCGGTGAACTTGTGGAAGAGGTCCATCAAATTGGCCTCGAACTTCACCAACGGGAAATAAACGCCCTTGATCCGGAGATTAAACGCCAGATCAGTGTTCGGTGTTTTAACGATATGCGGACAATTCTGCTTGCCCACGACAAGAGAATGCTTGGCCTTGTACGAGAAGAACTGGAGACTCTGGTCTCTAGAAGCATCATCACCAGCAGACAAGCTGAATGCCTTGATCGGGGCATAACGCCTACCATCCTGCCGGGCTCCGCGGCCCTTGATCAGTTCATTACTGCTTGTATAGCGTCAGAAATCCTCCGGAAAGACTACATCCTGAAGCCAATTAGAGGGGGAAAGGGGGCCGGTATTCTTTTTGGCGATGAAGTCCCCTATTCCACCTGGCTGGCACTACTGGAGCAGATGCGGTGTCCGAAATTGGCAGCAGGGAAGACTCTATTCGTTGTGCAGCGCAAGATAGATCAACCCAAATATGACGTGCTGTTGTCTGAAGGTAATTCCCAGCGCTGCCATATGGTCGGGACTTATCATGCAATCAATGGAGAATACCTTGGACTAGGGACTTGGCGATGCAGTCCCGGGAGACTCTGTGCTGTGTCTGATGGTGCTACATGGATTTGTTCAGTCAAGCAGAGTACGCAGTAATGGAATACGCGATAGAACTTAGGCAATGCACCTCGTTTTTCGGCTTTTTGACATGTCCCATTAATTTCCACGGAACAGGTAAACTTACTCCCGTAGGGAAGCGGTAATACTATGCGAACTGGCCCCATTCAAACTATAAATTGTAAACAAAGAGGAATGTTGATCGAACAATCACGCGATATTGGCCACGGCCTGTTCAGCTAAAGATATTCTTCCACTTCCGGCAAGATTGGCGAAGATTCAGGTTGCATTGCATGCAGTTACAGCTGCGTAGAAACTATCAGGTCCGCCTGCAGTACGGATTACGGAGTAATGTGTAGTCAATATGCGGCTACAGATCATATTCATTTTGTTTTCTTTTTTGCTTTGCTTTTACTTGCCACTTCAAGAGAATAAGCTCAGGCCTCGAAACCTGCGAGTCGAGAATTAAGACGATAATCTCGAGGTTTGATGGAGGCATGAAGGGCAGCCACACCGATATTAGGATCATTGGATGAGATGTTGAAATTTTTGTTGGCGGCGACTTACCCCGATCTCTCAATATTTATTGTCTTTTTTCCTAAAGATTCTGAAGGCGAGCAAAGCCTCATCTCTTGTGTTATGTGCATGGTTCTGTCCTCGAGTCCGTTATTACTATTGGTACCGCTAGTCAATTCCCTAATGCTCTGTGTTCACCATCATCGCAGCCAAATTCGCCACGGTGCCTACTCCGCCGATAGATCCCGATGGCTACGCACTGTTCCGGTGAGTATACTTGAAGATCTCGCATTAATGCTTTTGCTGGGTTTGGTCCTATTCCGCTAGTCCCTTGTCGGGCTTTCCGTGCCTCACCCCCACTATGTTCCCGAGGCTCCACACAACGCGTTGAGAATGGTAGAGAAAAGACACAAGAAGTATACATACTGTACATGATCAGACGACTAATAATGGTGCAGAAGCGAAATATAATATTGTGACACATCACAGTTGCTGACTTATCCTACATGTCGCCATCGCTACAGGTGCCACAAGTGCACATTGTTACGGAGTACAAGGTCTTGAGATCTGCAATGCCTCCGCTTGGCTTGTAATTTATTGCATGGGTTTACCGGGGGGAAAAAATAGATTGAATCGAAGCAAGAAAGTGTCAGTACGATCATACTCACCGCTGCAAATTTTCGCTAGTTTTCAGCGGGCCATGACGATCATCCTAGGCCGTCTGACCCATGGGTAAGAATTCAGGCGGTGGACTCAGCTGAAGGTGGGCAGGATTCCGATCTATCTACTTCTACACTCGGGGTTATGCACGTGTTATACTGATTCGGTTTAGCATGGCCTTGGCTTACAGCAGTACTATGTTCAATACCTCATTGTGCCGTCCCCGTTCTGCATGTAATTCGGACCTTGCTGGGCCGCAAAGCAATTCGCTGGTCCTTAAACTGAGTGGATCTATCCATAGGCGCAGGTTATTGGACTGGGGTGCAACTGTCGAGGTCACTCCTATTAACACAGGGCATGCTACATAAACCAATCCTTGCATTATATTGTGAATTTTGATGATATTTCACTCACTCGTTAGCGGATCCACATAAGCGTCCTATTTTGGCTGAAAACAACTAACTGTATCTGTAGCCTGAAATCTGCATGATCAACTTATCCGAATTTTTTGCGCGAGTAAAAGATTTTCAAATCTTTACGTTCGCTTGCATGTGGCTACACTAGCAAGTTTGCTAAAATCGAAAAAAAATACAAAATTACATCTGAATAACTATATAAAGCTTCAGATCCAAACGACCGGGGAAGACATCACATGGGTCGTTGACAAGAAGAATAAATAAAATGGGAAGCTACGGGCCATCCATTCAGGAGCAAGCGATTGATGATGCGATCCATGCTCGCCTGAATTTCTTTAGCAAAACCCCATGTGGCCGCGAGAATGACGTACCGTTCTTTGTAGCTGATACAAAGAAGATCGTCCAGCAGCATCAAAGATGGAGAAATGCATTGCCTAATATCCACCCGTTTTATGGTCAGTAATGCTTCATCTATATCACCCGAGCAGCAAGGCTGACAAAATCCCAGCGGTAAAATGCAACCCGGATCCCAAACTGCTGCAATTGCTAGCCGATATGGATGTCAACTTTGATTGTGCCTCTCTCGCAGAGATTGAACAAGTGCTGGATATGGGGATTCATCCAAGTCGAGTCGTCTTCGCTCATCCCTGCAAAGCGCCTTCTGCGTTAGACATAGCTGCACAGCGAGGGGTTAGGTGGACTACGTTTGACAATTCCGACGAGCTGGACAAGATCCAGAAAATCAGTCCTGGGTTGGAGTTGCTCCTGCGGATCTATGTGCAAGATCATACTGCCAAGGTCGCTTTGGGCGAAAAGTTCGGAGCCCGCATAGAGACTGCACGAACATTGCTCGAAAATGCTCGTGTGTTGGGACTGAAAATTGTCGGAGTAAGCTTTCATATCGGTATGGTTTTTTTTTACTTGCGTTCTAGTCTCTTCTTTTGGCTTCAGTTTAATAAAACAATGGTTCCAAATAACTGACGCAAAGTAGGATCTGGGGCATCAGATCCCAATGCCTTCGTCACGGCAGTCCAGCACGCCAAATGTGTTTTCGACGACGCGATATCCCTAGGATTTGACATGCAGATATTGGACGTTGGTGGCGGCTTTGAGGACAACAATTTTGAGACTATGGCATATTCCCTCCGAGAGGCAATTGCCCGCGAGTTTACTAGTCCAGTGACACTAATCGCCGAACCAGGACGATTCTACGCTAGTGGGTTCTATACGATGGTGTGTCAAGTCATTGCACGCCGAACCCAGAAAGACGCGACAACCAAGCGACCAGATATGCTGTATTTGAATGATGGTCTCTACGGATGCTTTAGCATGAAATGGAGCGAGCACAAAATATTTGTGCCCACCTTGATAGAGCTGCGAGGGACATCCACACCCGCCCCGCGCGAGTGGAAGCCTCATCGATATTCTATCTGGGGCCCGACATGTGATAGTATAGATTGCATTTCCAAGGAGGTGGTCATGGACCAAGAGATGATGATAGGCGATTGGCTGAGATTTCATGATATGGGAGGTAAGTCCTACAGGTCACGATCAGGGATTCAATCTGGACCCATTAATAAAAAGGTCGATATGAGCTAAAACATGAGGAAACATAGCTTATACAATTTCTGCCGCCTCCCGTTTCAACGGTTTTCCCAATAGCTATGAAATCATTTACCCCGTCCAGAAAACGGAACAAGGGATGGCAAAGGAACGAACATACTGCAGAGAGTTGAGTGGCAAACACTGAAAAGCTGTAGAACTACTTTGGAAATGGTGATTTATTATCTCAGTGTTAGCAAAGCGACAATTCAAGGAAATGAATAATCACGAAAATTATGGTTTTTCGGCACCCGTAATAACCGTATGTGTTGAAGCATTGCGGGGATACCCTGAAGCCTTCCATACTAGAAGTATATAATTCGATAATTGGCTTTTTGCTTTTGGCTTCTAGCGTTGAAGTTGATGTGGTGTTATAGAGGGAGCGCTACGTTTTCGAGCCGTGACAATACACTAGGGCGACTGCTGAGCACAGGGCCTTTTGAGGTACCGTATTGAATCAATCTTTGTATGTGGTAACTGCAGTACGATTGTTGAAATATTTTTCCTGCATTCGATAGATCTGATCTCTACTTTTTCATATTTTCTTTTTCTCCCACTTCCGCTTATTTATATATTTGCTCTATCTCTCTTTCTTCCTCTCCCAGTCTACTTCCGCCGAAACCCCATTATATTCAATTATCCTGGTACCCCCTTGGATCCGTAATTATTTCTGCGGAACTTTCTACAAAGGATTTATGCAAAATGGCCACAGAACGTTACCAATTGGCAGAAGTACTAGCCGTGGCCAAAATCCACCCGTTCTACAATCCAGATGTCGATTATCCTCCCGATACCGACACGGTCCAAAGACTTCGTGAGTTAATTGACCAAAAAGCGAACCCTGCTCTCCAGGAACAGCCATTGCTCAACAAGAAAACACTGTAAGATAATGTCAGCATACGGAGTAATTCATACCGCGGGTGTGCTAACTTGCTTCAGGTACAAGGTCATTGAGCGGCTTATCCATGATATGGACCCCCTGAACACATATCGGCAAAGTTCTTATATGTCCATCACTGGCGGCGGCTCTGGAGGGATTCCTATGTTGTTTGCCGTGGATGCATATGAGAACCGTCGGCAGAGGGCCCAGATGGGAAATTTCATCAAACTTTGTGGTATGATTGAGCCGGGAGATTGGGTGCTATCCACCCATTTGGCCGGGGGGTTCTACAGGTAATTGAATCTAGACCGCCAATGGGAAATAACACAGTCCACCTAATCAAGGAATGATCAGGTCCCTCGATCTCACGACGGAGGTCATGGAAAATGCTGGAGCGACCGTTTTGAGCGCCGGGAGCTATATGCCACCTACGGAAGTTGCTAGGTCTCTGGCAGACTACCATGTCAATGTCTTAGCCGGCGACGGCAGTCAAGTTGTTCAAGTTGTTCACCATATCTCGATGTTGCCTCAGGATTATCGTGATCGTATCAACCTGGAGAAGATAATCTATACTTCAGAGCCCCTTACTAGCCCCCAGCGGGTGTTCATCCAGACGATTCTGAGCGGTGTTAAGATCCTTTCCTTGCTGGGTAGTTCCGAAGCGGGTCCCTGGGCGATCAGCAGCCCCGATCTAACGGGAGAGCACAGCCTCACTGGTAGCAGCACCGATTTTGTCTTTGACACGCGCAGCATGGTGATTGAGATCGTTTCACCTTCCGACCTAAACAGTGCAGCTCAGCCCGATCTGCACCCAATCCCACTTGGTGAACCAGGCCTCGTCGTGCAGACATCTCTTCAAAGACTGCGCAATCCCCTGATACGCTATAACACCGGTGATATTGGTTCCGTTCATCCCCTACCGGATACGGCCTCTGCTATGATTCCTAAGGCTGACCGGGAACACCTCCGTGTATTGCGCATGCGCGGGCGTGACCATCGCTTCAGCTTCAAGTGGTATGGTGCATATTTCGAGTTCGACAAGATCGGCGCCTTGATGCAAACGAAGGAATTTGGCATTCTCCAGTGGCAAATTATTTTGGACAGACTGGAGACTACGCCCCAATCAACTTTGGAAATTCGCTTGCTCAAACGTTCACATGATGGCGTTATATCTGATAAAAATCTCAGACATCGAGTCGAGGACTTCTTTCTTATATTTCCCGAGAATGAGCATCTTGCACGGATTGTGTTTGTCAATGACCTTGAAGGGTTTGAGCGGAGCATTACTGCGAGGAAAGTCATCAAGTATATAGATCGTTGGAATCATTGAACGGGCCTAATGCTAAATCAATTTTGGTTCTTTCAATTTCGTGAATTGAAGACATAGACAGATATCATCGCACGCACGTATTGTGCACTTGTTAGCATATACAAAGTCAAGGACCGCTTACAGTCAGAATTTGGGGTCGCCTATAGTGCTAGCGAGTGAACTGGGTGTGGCGCAACTCGCTATATACTTAGTAAAATTAGCAACGCTATGAGGCATAGTATCAGACAGATGCTTAAAGATCTCAATATTTGACTCCTAGATTTTCTGGGCAGCGTCGACTAGTAGACCAAGCATAATTTCATCATCTGGTGCAGATCGTTATCCATTAGGGTCGACCAAAATCTCTTTGACGTGTTTGTAGATAGAGAGTGTCGAACTGCTTTTAGACAAGGGAGCGGACGTCAACACGCAGGGTGGCAGGTACGGTAACGCTCTCTATGCCGCTTAGGAGGGAGGCCATCAAGAGATTGTCGAAATTCTCCAAAGAAGGGGCGCTATTACACTCTCTTAAGCGGTCCGTCTCTAGAACTCCAACCCACCCGGCGAAGAGACTTCGTTTGATGAACTTTGAACCTTCTGCTCAAACCTAATAATTCTTCAAAATCTCGTACCATGGTGTCCACCTTCTGCCCCTCTTCATCCCTCGTCGACCTTATCACTTCGCAGATTCTAGTGTGGCTGATCAAAATCATGACAAACCGCTGAAATTGATAGTTACCTCTTGGCAGCGGTTTATATTGGTTATGTAATTAGGGTTTGCAACATTTAGTTATCTCTGTTGTATCTGGCATGCAAGGCGAACCTAGGCGGGACTGTATTCCAAATCCTTTCATAACCTAGTGAAGAAGAATCTTGCCCTTGGTCGGATTACTCGAACCGCCCCATCTTAAGAACTAGAAATGAACCTATTATATACTAGCACCACCCACTAGATGAACATGTAACTCCTCATTTTGTTGCAAAGACTCGTTGATGAGTTGAAATTCGCGACTTGTCACCCAGAAGTCCCACTCCTGTTTTACCGAGGTAACTCGTCTTTCAAACATGATTTAAACCTTTCTCTTGTGGATAAACGCCCGCTGTTCCTTTGATGGCAAAAGGTCGGTTTCCACTATGCAATTTACGCATAGTGTATTGATGTTGATGCGCCGCTTAGCAGGTAATAAATACGACCAAACACAAACAAAATAGGATCTAGGCTCATGTCCTGTAAATTTGAACTTCATGCGATGGGTATTGATATCATGGCAAGATACGCAAAACCAGGAGACAGGTCCCTTCATTCTAGGTGATGTTAGTATGTATAACCTGCTAGATTATATCAAGGCTTACGTCAAGCCTAACGGAATTTGGAATATGTGATCTAGGATTAATGCAGAAGATCGCCTACCTCCATGTGTCTGGATCAGGTTGCAGCTGAAAAGTTATTGAACCCTACGAGCAATTTAAAGGGTAGCGCCATTACTTAAGCTTGGTGCTGCTATAGTAGTAACCCCCCAACGGGCACTGTGCCACCACATTAGACAGGTACTGTACATGGTGGTCCGTATCACGGCCCATAGATCTGCCTGGAAAAAGCTACAGGCATGGGCGTAGGGAGCTGACTTAATTTTATAACATAGGCTGGTTCATGTAGAGATTTCTAATATTCAATAAAGAATTCTGCGTAATAGAAACAGGGATTTGGAGCTAATAAGCTCACCTGAATCCCGACAAACAAACGATATCACCTGTCCGAATCCATTATCTCACAAATAGCTATTGAGCATGATCCATTATAGTTTATTCACTTCAACCTGTTTAGCAGCTGACTCCCGGGCTAAACGAATGTATGGCTTAAGACACGAAGGTCCTGGAGATAACTGTAGAAAGTCATGCTGCGTTTATTAAGCCATGTCCTCACGTTAATATCTGGCTACTCATACCTTTATGATCACTTCCACAGGCTTTGTCTTTGTACATTCAACGAAGTCTGAAACATCGCTCCCCCAATCAGATAGTAAGGATCTTCCATCTCTCAAAAATGTTATCGGCTCGAGACATTCGATGATAATATTGCCAATAGCTTCCAAATCTTTTTGCGATTCATTGATGGACGTGTTTTCTAACATTGATGTCCCTATGTTTGCTGTCATACTTTAGTCTCAAGGAACATGGAAGGGCAGGGATACAAACAATACCTATCTTCACTCCACCAGACACTGAGAGTAAAACTGAAGTAGAGGATACTCCTCCATGAGATATACCCAGTGACTTATGAATGTATTCAACTCCTGCTAGCAGCTCCCTTGCAAACGCCGCCACCTCGAAAAGTTGAAGACGACCGAGCGGAGAGTTGAATATTTGGGCCAAGGACACATCCATGATTTCGTAGACAAGAAATATAGTCGCATCATGGTATATAGCTTCCCTCAAAAGCACCAACTTATCGCTTTGACTAGCTGATATCCTTGCCATGTCGGACTTGTGGCCTGTGATCTCTTTGATAATACCCTCTGAGAAGCTGGCATCCTTTGTGTGGACGATCCAACTTGGCCCCGCTTGGTGAAGTTTGAAGCTCTTGTGGTATCGCTCCCACGGATTATAGGCGCCCTTAGATAAGCTGGTGAAGCCTTCTTGGCTTGCCTTCTGAAGCTTGTGGACGGTTTCTTTTCCTCCTGGAAGCACAATGTCCAGATCAGCTAGAGGCCTCTTTAGACGCGTATCTCCCCCTCCTTTGGAGAATGGAAACACAGATACACGATTCTGTTTGTTGGTAATGCTTTTTTTATCTAATACCATTGCTAAAACCTTTTACTATTTCGTAGTGGGCTGGAGGAATAAGGCTTTTATTTGTGACACGGACTCGGTGTCAAAGTCGTGGTTTAACCCCACACCCCACTTTATATTTTATGCCACCCATCGACCCGCAAAAAGCGTGGTGATTTCAATTAATTTACTGACTTTGGCTCCTTATTATCTACTATAGGTAGAATCTTCATCTGTTACTGATCATCCAACATGGAAGTCTTCCTAATCTACCTCTACGTTGTAGGCGCAATTGCTACTTTGCTCTTCTTTCTGCAATATTTTAATCCCCGATCGACTTCTCGCGTTCATGGGATTCTCTTCCTCTTCAGGAGATATTTGGTGCTCCCATATCTCATCAAGAGAAGAAGATTGTGGGGTCCGTTGACCAGATGCCAGGCCCTTCTATACTGTGTCTACAGTGCAGGTACCATTGCTGCCAATGTGACCAAGGCGCCAACGTTAGAAGTCGCTCGTGCACGTGCTGGGTCTCTCGCCGTTCTACACATCTCTTTGCTTTGTACAGTCCCTAGCCTTAGTCTCGGGGCTTCATTCTTCAGGCTTTCGCTGCCCACATACCGTCGGTTACATAGGAATATCGGATTGATGGCAGTTTTACAAAGTGTACTACACGTTTTACTTTCCATCCAAATAAGGCCGATGAACTTACACCAGTCAAATCAGAAATATGGCTTGATAGTAAGTTGAAGTCTCTCTCGAGGAATGAGCCTGCTGACATTAGCCTGACAAGGCAAGTGTCTCTATCGGCGTGGTATCTGTTGCTGTGATCCCTTGGATTCGATGCTACATATATGAGGTATGTATCAAGATGCATGTCGCAGTCGGTATTGTGTCACTGGTCACAACTTGGATACATATGAAGGATCGTTTCAGTCTTAATGGGTGGCTGTTAGTGGGGTCAGTCTGTCTTTTTCTATTTAATGCAGTTTTTGGTATAATTCGGGAGATATTTCGAAACACTACCAAACAACAATCTCTCGTTACAGCAAGTCGCCAGTCCCTGGTTGACGCTGTGATGATCGATTTCAGTCTCTCACGTCCATGGGAGATCCATCCTGGTGATTATATATTCATCCGGGCATTAGGGATTCACCCACTATCATTCGCAGAATCTCATCCATTCAACATCATCTGGTGGGATCAAGATAAACATGGAATGGCAACCAGGGTATATGTGATAGCTAAAGCTCAGTTTGGACTAAGTCGAAACCTCTCCATGGTGAGCACCAGCTCGCTCAGACTATCAATAGATGGTCCGTATGGAAAAGCCCTGAACACGGGTACCTGGGATAACTTTCTCTTCGTGGCTACGGACATTGGCATTACAGCTCAACTACCATATTTGAAGTGGCTTATTGATCTACAGCGTCATCCCCGTCGCCTGGGCAGGGTCTCTATGATATGGGTGGTACAGAACGACGGTACACAGTTTCTATTGGACAATTTTGATTTTAATCATGACACCTGACTGATTCACACATAGCACATCGAAACTGGGCACAAAGCCAACTGACTTATTTACTGCATGTCGACGAACGTGATCTGGTGAGTGAATACTGTAGCTCATTCACACAACGCTGGGGATCGACGTCTAAATATTCGAACTAACCAATAAGCTTTTCTATTGGACGACATATTCCAGTACAAAGGTGGACACCGAGAATATTGGCCGTCGTGGCCGTATGGTTTTCGGGAAGCCTGATATGAAGAGCGTATTGGATCAAGAGATCAAAAAATTCTCGGGAAAGCTTCTTCTATCAGGTACGCCTTTTCACACTTTATCGGTAGACCTGTGCTTACGGAGAACAGTATCTGCAGATCCCACTACTAGAGACGCATGCAGATCCGCCGCTTTGCGTAGTGGCCAGAAGGTTGATTACTTTGAGCATGAGTTTCAACCACCGAAGGCTACACAGGAACTTTACACAACACACTCCAAGGAGCCATCGGTTGTTTAAGCTGTGGTAATTCTATGAATTTATTCTATTGGATGGATAATCTTGGAAATATTGCTTTGTTACCCTGGATATTTGTATATATACTGGTACTGACTGAGGCTTACCCTTGTGCTCTGCTTCATAAGCTTTGTTGCGCTCGGTGCCGACCTCAGGCACAGTCTAGTTTGTATTATACGAATTGGATTCTCAAGTATAATATTCCACTCATTTCAATTTAGATACACTTCTACAGACTCTCGTAATAATTCACGTTAATGTTTAGCCTCATAATCGCTTAGTTGCATCGCTTTTCTAAGCGCTTAAACTATAAATATGATCCAATAGTTAGCCCTTTACCACCCTGCCAGTAGCTAAAAGCCTAAATTTCGGATTAAGCGCTAGCCACGATATTTTTATTATTATAAAAGCCACTCTATTTTACTAGGTTAATACCGTGGTTTCCCAGTAGAAAGGTCATGTTACCCTGAACATGAACAACCATATGTACGTATATATTTGTTGAAGAGCATGATGAACTTGAGTTTTTCATGTTTCAAACCTCGAAACCTTGAGATTCTATCTTATTATGAGTCATATTCTTGCCCATATTGCCCGGAAGCTTGGTCTTCTAGCGGTCCATGTCACTGTCGTTCGTCTGAATTCTGGCTCACTGCGTGTAATTGAGTCTCAATTTCTGCCCGAACCTACTGTGGATGTACGTTCACTAATCCTATTATAATGATATGGTGAGATCTCTTGATATTGACTTTCGCAGGTCAATGTTCATGTTGGTGTGCCATATAATTGTCACCAAGACCCTCCAGCGTATGCTCTGAGTTCGGAAGGGAAAACTTCGAAATGAAGCCCAGGAGCCCAACTAAGGCAGACAGGCACATTCTGGTTTGAGTTTCAACAGGGGCTCTTTATACCATTTATCTCTATATCAGGATTTTAAAGTAACAATTATCATTAAAAACAATACCGTTTCATATATTGTTTTATAAATACTAACTGCTTCCTTCTAGATACCATGGTGATGTAGAAATATACATGACTTTTTACTGGCATAATCTAGCTACATTCCATATCTCAGGTTTAGTCCATGGGTTTCATCATACCTGCAGTACCTCACTTGGTAGTAGAAGGTCGTGGGGATTTTAGTCAATCAAGTACTATGCCGGTGATAGTAGAATGCTTAATCCTTATATCTCTATAATCTTCTTCTTTTATACTGTTGATGTAGTAACATATTACGTTATTTTGTGCGGTTGAAAGGAAAAGGCGTATTTGCTAAGCCTCTAGCCGGTGAAACGAGGCTAATGAGTGCACTCTTAGTACGCAGGTTAAACTAATCAGCAGATGGGGAGAAAGATCGGCATCGGCAATAGGCATCCCTGGAGGCATCAATGATAAAGCTCAGGCAGCAATTCTAGGGACATATATCGTCCCATTACACCAGGTCTATTGGAAAAATAAGAAACAAATACATCTCGGCGAAATCTTGCTCTAACTAGTGATCGTCATTTTCGATATCCTTGATTCAAATTTGATCTTGCCATAAGAGTATATCGAAAGAGGGAAAAGGCACTTTACGGTAACATATCATAGATTCCTAGAGAGAAAGAGAGAGAGAGAGAGAGAAGAGCCTCTCTCGACTATCTACTTGCGGTCCCTGACAAATCAGAAGCCGCGCAAGGCTTCCGACAGAGTCCCCCAATTAAATCTCATCAGACTAACTATCATAAAAATTCCCCCGAGAAAAGTAATCACACTCAAATATTTGTGGCGTGGGTACAGTAAGCTCTAAATCATCATGATAAGAGGCTCCTGTAGATGGTGCTTCGGGAGATTGTAGTACTTCCGTATCGTGATCCAAGGAGCTCTGATACTGTATGTCCAGCGGCGTTGGGTGGGACAGCGGGAATGGGTTGTACAGTTGGCTCTCGTCCTTGTACGAGATTGGTGGGAATGAGACTGGAGTGTTCTGCGAAAAGCCTAGTTGAATATGATGCTGAAGCTCGGAATATTGTTGTTCGGGTGGATAGATAGGTTGGCATGAAATGAGCTGGATATTCACGTTGAGCGAGTGGTATTGGCCCAGGCATGGATACGTTTGTAAACACATCTGGACGGCATGATGTAGGTCTCCTCCCCAAAGAGGGGTTTGTAGGTATCTCGTTGGATCCATTGGCATATTTAACTCTCCCTCTGTCGAAGGATACAACTCATCCATTTCCCCTGTGGCCATTATCTCTGGTTCCGTAAGTATTTCTTGATCATATGCACAGTTTGGAATCAGCTGATTAGGGTAAGGTTGTGAAGCCCCTTGGTTCGGAAGCAAATCCCAAGAAATTCCAACAGGCTCTGTGTTGTCCAAACCAAGTGTTTGATCATTCCAGTCGTGTTCAAGAGAGTGGCAATGAAGATAGCTGCACCAACACTTGGGGCATATTGGATGCAGCGGACTAGGCTGGTGAAGCTCCGTGATATCTGGCAAATTGGAACTTGAAGTTGACACAGCACAGCTATCACTTGCAACTTCACAATTGCACATAATTTTATGTCCAATTTCAGTGGGCGTGAGGCATTTCAAAGACGCAGGTGACTGGAGAGCTATTATTGTTAATCTTTAACGTTGAAACAAATTTACGACAAACATACCTTCATGGAGCTGATTCATTTTCACCGGGATAAGTTTCTCGAGTTGGAAAGAGCTCTTTGGTGGTAGCCCTGGAGACCTGGGGAGAACTTTAAAGGCTCTAGGGTTTGATGTATATGAGGCTGGTGTTGAAGTAGGCGATAATAGTCGATAATGCACTTAGCTCAAGGTCTGAGATATATGTTGTTATATATTCCCCCCGAGGTCAACTTGGAACCTTGGAAGTCTTCTGAGGTCACTTTGGTAGGCAAGGCATACTTACTTCCAAGTCTTTTTTTAACTTGATAGGCAGATATTTCTCCCTCGGCCATTTTCGCCTTGTACATTGCTCCACTATGCATCACACTTTGACCTTTAGACGCTTGACATAGCCCGGGAATAAAAATAGTATACGCACTCTCACGTCAAAAGCAGCAATCATCACCAATCATTCTTCTGATGGTAGCAGGAGATACAACCTCGCCAGCATCGGATCTAGGGACAACCGATTTCCAACATCTTAGAACTACTTATTAAGTATGACTGACATAAATCTAAGTACCATACTAGGTTTCTGGTATAATATCCTGTATATGATTAATAGAAACCTTGAAGGAGAAAGCTAACTGAACAAAAACAATAACCAAAAACCAAGAATAGACTTCACCATCCAGATTCAGCCTTACATGTGACTAGTAAATCGTTTCCTCCTTCGACTGTCAGAATCCTATAGAAGTGCGATATAAAATATCACTGACTTAGGCTATCAGACTAGGTATTACGGTCTTGAATCAAAGAATCTCATCTTCCGTTAGCTCCTGTGATAGTCGGGGATACAGCTGTTGGCTGTTAGATTGTTGCATTGGGGCCGCATGACTATCCCTGAAAGTCGTATTCTGTTCTGGACTAGCGATGTATTGCACGAAGGGTGTCTGCTGCCCTGGCTGTGTAGAAGCCGTCTGATATCCAAACATCGAGCCTGGTGCATGATGCATGATACCTGGCTGCGCCCCATGATATAAAGCTGGCCCCTGTGCATTCTGCCCCATATTATATTGGCTTTGCATAGGTAGATACGATTGCGGTGCTTGCGGTTGGTACATATGACCTCTTTCTTGATGATGGCTGTGTCCAAGGAGCTGGGGTCCACCCGTTGGTGTCATTTCTGATAGAAACCCCCTGTTGCTGAGGCTGTTTTGCTGCGGCATGGTGGCTTGCCATCCAAGATGAGGTGGCGCAGAAGTCGGCGGTAGCAAGTAATTTGATGCTGGCCCCATCCCTACACTGAGGCCAGACATCCCAGCAATGGTCTCTGATAAAGTAACGTCAGGATCGTAGGTCATAGCTTCTGCGATGAGTCTGTCTGCCGCCTTTGGGGATATGATCTTTTTGAGACTAGATCGCGAGATTCCGACTTCTCTTAAGGGAGGATTGCCACCGGGACCTTCGAAAAAGAAACCCACAACAATATATGGCGTCTTGTTGTGGATGACACTGATTTCACCAACTGCTACCCAGTTCAATCCATACGTCCCCCCGGAAGTATTGCGAACCTGATCGCGAAGTTCCTTAACACCTTGTTCATCTCGTATTGTGCTAGGAACCCCGGTCGCTTTAGCTTGCTCAACGGCAAGCGGGCCTCCGGCAGCTGCACTTGAAACTAGGCGAATCTTTCCATTTGCATCCTCCACCACGAGTCGAGCACTCATTCCAAGATATTGAATCATGCGAATCTTATCCCCAGTTGACGTGTATCCGGGAGTTACGGACCGAGAAACCCTCCGAGGTATTAACGAGATTGTACGTACAGCACCACCGCTGGATGCGTAGTGCAGTTGCATAGACTGCTGGTTTTGTTGAGCCGGATTATTAGAATTTTGAGCGGACGATGGCTCTTGTGGAGCAAAGTGGGATGCGAGAGATTCCTGTGTAGGAAAAGTTCCCTGAGACCCTGGTGGGTTCGGGGTCGCAATTGGGATATCCGCCCATTCCCGTGGGTAATGAAAGTTCTCACAGAGATCCCTCAGTGCGGCCAGTTGCGCGTTGACTACCCCTGGCTGATTTCCGATGCTGATCACCGCACGCCACATTCCACATAATTGCTGGTAGCGAATGACACCCAGATCAGAATCAAGATTGTGCTGTGTATTGTGCTGCTTGATTTTCAAATTTAACTTTTCTAGCCTTTGAATCGGGTCACGAATGGCAACGGGGACATTGTTGCCCATATTAGTCCCTTGTATTTGGCTGCTTGGATGCGCACGTAGGCCAATAAACAAATCCCGTAAAGCATCGGTCGCTTCGTTGTGTGTTCCTTTATGAAACAATTGCAGTTGTCCTTCAACGTGCTGCTCTGCTGCAGCCGCGCCTTGGTAAAAATTGATACTCTTGTCCCACTCTCCTGGATAAATTTTTTCACGTTCTCCGATGGCCCACTGTAGCCCTGAGAGGTTGTTAGAGATTCCCAAGTTTCATTAGGTATTTCTTACTCTTAAATGCCGTGTCTACTTTGTCTTTTTCCTCTGGGTTTGTGAACCTGTCCGGGTGAATAGCAGCAAGTACGCCCCTGTAAGTGATCTCACAGTCGGCGGGAATGCTCTTTCCTAAGGCCCCGTGGATCATTTGTGCATTGTTTTCTGGGGCTTCAAGGAGTGCATTAATGGTATCCATGCGCTCCTTATCACTCAAACCAGGTCGCGAAGATGGGTGGTCAGTTTCCGAGTCGGTCTCAGTGGCGGCCCCAAAAGCTGGCTGGGCCGGCTGAGTTGGTGCAGTAAGCCCGGTGGCCCGTCCGAAAATTGGCTCCGTTGCAGTCTGCTGCATCTGTGCCTGCTGGGCAGGCATCATGCAGACTCAAAGATGATTTGGTACGCTAATTTTGAGTTTGAAGTTGCTTTGTTCTTGTATAAACTCTTCAAATCTTCCTCGGGGAAATAGATCCTATTATACTTGTCTGTGAAACGATATTGTGGAAAAAAAACCACTCTTTTCACATTGACCACGACTTTACCTTCACCACGATTTTTCTCTTGGTCTTGTTTTCTAATGAAACATCTACGTATATCAATAGGCTGGAGAATTTTGAATTTTATCTCTAATTTGAAACTTCAGACAGCGACATTGACAGAAAAATGTGGATTTTCCTTGTGTTTTTGCTTGCGATCTGCCAGGCGCAGCGTTTTGATCTCAAGTAAGCGGATACTACTCCCGGGCCAGGAGCTATCACCACCCCAAACTGACCTACCTAACACGCATATATCCGTGTAATATAGAGGTCTGAATGTTGACTTTTTATAGGATCGATCCACCTATCACCCTGGATATCACACGCAATGAAAAACACCATGTGATTGTGGATGGAGATGCAGCTATCTCCTTTTCGCCAAGTTATCTTAGCGCTAACGTTGGTGACCATGTCTTTTTTTTTTTCACCAACCCAAATTACACAATCATCCAATCAAGTCTTCAGAAGCCATGCGCCATCTATGAAGGCCCCGGTTCATTGCTCTATCAACTTGTCCCAAATAATGACGGGCCCCTATCCTTCAGAACGATGATCCGGACCCTCGAACCGCTCTGGTTCTTTGTGAAAACAGACGCGGGTATCTTGAATTGTCATGCGGGAATGACATTTGCTGTCAACCCCGGCAAAGAGCTACCGGCATTTCAAAACAATGCACATGTTCGAAGAAAGCTCACATCACCCACGAGTTCATCCACATCTCTTGTCATCGATTCCTCCCGAGAAGCAAGCATATCTACAAATGTTCCAACCTCCTCGAGCCTGGTCTCTAAATCTTCGCCCCATTGTGCAAAGCCCTTGAGCTCAATGAATTCAGCAGTCACCTCTAGGGTCCCCATAAGGCAGTCCTCCTCTATTCCAGCACAATTAACTACGATTACCCAAGTATACCCGAATGCACGACCATCCGCGTTACCCACCTCCACGGGGCAAGATGTCCCACTGAGCACACACACTTCCAAGGCAGCCCATTCAATTTATCGCCGTCGCTTGGGATTGACTCTGCTTTTGTTTGCCTGCTCAGCGGTTGTAGCTGGTTACCTTATTTAGTTCATCTTCACGTTTCCACAGGCAACTCTTCTTCTGGCTTTTATATGCGCAACACTCCTAGTTCTAATAATAAAGTATTTTCTTATACACTTATTTTAGCGAATTCTTGTAGATGTCCTTATTCTTGCTTGCTTTGCTACCTTCACCTCGTATATGTCGAGCTTACTTTATTTCACCTCTAGACTTGAGATTTATTTATGACTTTATTTATCGTCTCATCATGTATCTTGGTCTCCTGGTCATTTTTATGCCGGTCATCAATCAGAAACAAACTGATGAATCATTGATCGCGCTTATGGGCTATGAGATCTAGAGATTAATTTTGAAGCTTAGTTTGCAAGAGCCAGTATCCAAGAACCTGAAATTTCAACTATCCATCACCTAACCAAATCAATTCAGCATATACAAAATGTTATGCCTTCGCCAGAAAATTGGCACAGTTTCGCCAATGTATCCATGCGTGTCTCCATAGGGGTAAACAGTCCATATCAAGCCCCATTTGCAGATGTGCCACATCCGAGAGAAATTTTGTCCAGTGTCTGTTATAACTTGGCACCACCTCAAGTAACACGCCCATGTACTTGTAAATATTGATACTGAGAAGTCTTTGTAACGGCAATGATCCACAGCGTGACATGCCTAAATACCACCGGAGGTCTCTCCACAGCCTATTAGGAAGGTGGTAGGCCCCGTTTAGGTGCTTGCGGCGCATTGGTGTCGGTTTATCCCGGAGCAGGAGGACTAAGTAGATAGACATTATATCATTCAGCGATTTCATGATGAATGTCGCTTGGTCCTCTCCCCACGCTATCTTGGGATCACCGATTGTTTGGCCAACAGTAGCAAGCTTAGAGCTTAGAAGATCGAAAAGTCTCCCGCTTTTCCATCCAGACAAGGACTTCAATGTCGGTGTTTCCTCATCAGAAGGACGGAGTGCGCCTAGGAGGGCTCGTCCAGCTAGGCATCGCCGGGCGTCACGAAAGTGTCTGCGCAAGTTGACATAGTCGGCAGGGTTGTGTGCGGATTCGGATATCATGTATACAAACTGAGATAGGCAATCAGGTACTTCTGCTAAATCTGGCTTCTCGGACAGGAAAATTTCCCAGGACGAGTATCCCGTGGCCAGATATATAACAATATCCCCAACAGCTTGAAGGTCTTGCTGTGCCGATCTTTCGGAGCCATCAACATCCGTGAAGTCAGCTAACACTACCTGCGGTGTCTGCCATATCGAGTTCCCCATTGTGAATGAGGAGGGTGATAATTGACCATGAGAGATATGACGCGAGTGAACCCACTCAAGGCGAAAGATAAGTTGTGCGGCAATCTCCAGCAGCATTGAGAGATCGAAGAAACGATTCGATCGAATAAATATCTCCTCCAATGAGGGTCCCAGGGCTTCGGTGATCATTATTTTTTGATCAGATGTTTTCCCAAACCAATATAATGTAGGGATGCCGATTCCTCCAGATAGGCTTTGTAAAATTGCAGCCTCTCGGGGTAAACTTGAGCTGAATTGGTCGGTTTTGATTGCGACTTCCTCAAACGTCTCCGTGTGATGGCCTTCGACATATTAGAAGTGTCTTTAGATGCCAAATGCGCTCCCAGGATGAGACGTCTTACCGATTCCTAACCCAGGAGTTTCAAGCCAACGATCCACTCTGAACGGTCCAATATTCATTGCAATGAAAGCTTTATTGCAAGACGCCTTTGTTGGACAGAAAATTAGCTAGTTACAGGCATATGGTCTTTATAGGGCCGAAAAACCACGGTTTCGCTATCTCAAAATAACTAATAATGGATATCGAGGCAAGCGGGGCTCCTGTCACATTCTGAGGACTCATGATGGTTACGCCTGAATTTGTATTTCCGACTTTCTCTTGAAACATCTTGACTCATGATAGTTACGCTCATTGAATTCTTCTGATAATAACGATATCTCTTTATAACTGCATACGTCTCAGCGCGTAAATAAACATGAATGATATATAATGCTGAGTAGATATCCAAGGGTAGGGTACACAACAAACTATCTTCGCAATGCCCAAACCTATAAAAAATTCCACGGTCTGGAGAGAAAACAGAAAGAGACGTACTGGTCAGCAGGATACCGAAAAGACGCGCAAGGCAGACCGCATGCGCTGGTATCGCGCCAAACGAGCCTCTTTCAAAAAAGCCAATGATATTTTTGTCGACGGGTTGGATACGGGATGTGACCGTCGCGTTTATGTTCTGGTAATGACCACGAAGCAATCGAAGGTTCGCTATGCAACATACGATTCCCACCCTGAGCTGCAGTGGATTCCACCTGTCGAGGATGTTGTAAGAACCACTCTATCTCTTGCTTCACATATGACGCTCACTGATGTTCTCTACTATATAGATGAACCACTGGCCCAGATCAGAGATTTGGACCCCATCTCACTTTGACGAGACACCACAGGATAAGCCACCATCGTTACAATTGAAAACTCGCCCAGCCCAGGCTATGAAGGTTCCTCGACCACCAATTCTCCGGTTTTGAAATATAGGAAGAGCCAGGAGCAGTTCGCATCTATTGGCCATATCGAATTAAGTACAATGAAAGGATATCGATTCCCATAAACTTTATCTCATTGTAGAATTAGATTACCGATCAGATGACCAAGTACAAAATAGCTTTGGGTATACTCTTACCTGGTAGGCGCTGGTTTGATCTTCGACTGTTGGTCGTAACAACTCAGCTGCGTCGCAGTTCAAAGATAACTGTTTTATCCATCTGTCCACCTCCCAAAACTTAAGCTGATTGGAGGAACAACCGAGATTGAACTCTTTTCGTAGATCTCCGATCTTGTTTCGTATGGCAGTCATTGTACGATTGAACTTGCGATCGTGGAGAAGCTTGCAAATATTGGTATGGGTAAGCCCCAGAGAAGCAAACCATAAAACAAGAGCTTTCTCTTCCTCGGTCCAAGAATAACCAGGCATTTCGAAGTTGAGATTAAGCAAGGTAACCTTTGGATTTGATTGTTATCTGGGTCATCAAGCAAGAACCAAACCAGAATAATTGGGAAAGCCTGGTCACGATAAACAATCCGGAATCTTGTCACATGACAAAAATATCATGCGGCTATCTGTCCAGTCCACAGGTGGGTCCGATTCCGGCGTTGTGATAAGCGGGGTCGTAGGCCCGGATGATAACATGCCCTGCCGCGTTTATCCTTGTCGTTTATCCTTGTCAGTCTTAGCAATTAGCGTGGACTCTTGGTGCTTTTCTGTTTCTGCTCTTAGCGTCATATGGAATTCTAATGTGCGAAATTGATAAGATTTTGAAAACAGAAAAGCTGCGTTATGTTGGATTCGCTTATTGTTGTAGAGGAATAGGTGAGAAATCTGTTGCGCTTTACTTTAAACTATAGATCGTAGATGGGATAGAATTTTGCTCGTGGGGAAGACGCTGAGATGAAGGTCATGGCTCTACCTGGAGCGGTATTGGCGCGGCATTAGCGTTGGGTGATGTCCATCGCAATTACTGCGCATGTGTTCGTTTTCGTGGCGTTCCCAAAGTGGATCCGCCGATGAATTGATGTGACGGCCGGTTCCAAGGTTACGAACCTTGCCGATCATGACCTCGGGTCGAAACCCCGGACAGTTTGATTGCGGCGTTTACGGGTGTTGGTTCTTTTTCTCTTCCACCTCTAGCGCTAAAATATGTCTCAGACTTTCTCGTCTATAACTTCGATTCACGCCGGACTACATGTATCATTTCAGTCGCCAAATCATCTCGCAGTTCACACCATGCAAACATCTCGCTGGTTGTCTTCAGACGCAACTCTGCTAGTATCCCTGAGAACCCAGTTCCCAGACTACACATGGGAGAACCTAACCCCCCTGTTCAATTCATATCTCCCTATCGAGCGATGGAGATCGTCGGACGGGCTAAAAAAGAAGTGGAAAACGCTGAAGCATTCTTTGTATCTACCCTTCAATCTAACGTACCTCAATCCCTCCGCTGACTTTCTAGTGTTGTACCCTTTGAAGTGGAATCAAGACTCGCTGTGGCGTATCCGCTCGAGGTACGTCTTATTGAGACTCTCGTCAGATTTCTTAGTTAACTTCCGCCCTCATCTAACTTCTCAAACTAGATCCTGGATAACGTGATATACGAAGATTGATATCTAATTTTAGGTTGGCGGGAACGGAGCTTCCAGTGTATAGATATAAGGTTGCGAGCTGTGGACGGATCTTATTATAGAGATAATAAGCGCTGTTGGCTTTTTTGGGTCAATGGTTGGAACGCTCGGAAGCCTACCAGTCTGAAAAGGCTCAGAACCACAGTTTTTTATGTGTGTAACCGTCTTTTCCAATGAAAGTCGTGGTGCCAGACTATAATTCGTGGCTCAAACATCTAATACGTGGTTTTCAGAAAATTAGATAAACAACCCTTTGCCTCACCAATTCCATATCTTAGTCAACTTCTGTGTAATTCGTCTGCTGTCTATCATGGCGCGATGCGATCATCCAGCATGGCTTGAGCTTTGGCAAGGCGAAGTAGGCCCCTTAGTCAGCCACGGCTGGAGACTGCCACAGATTACAAGAGATCTCCCAGATCCAGTCGAACAAAAGCCGCAAATTACATTTTTCTTGGGTCGGAACACAAAGGAAAAGGCCCTTCGATCTCTTTGTTACAGCAAATATAAAGGACCCCGCCGCAAAAATTCCTTTAACATCAGACTGGATAATCGTACGCTACATGCCTTGCATCCGCGTCTATTCGCTGACTGTGACCCAACTGCTCGAGGAATTCAACCAGTGATCAAGGATGTGAGGCGCTGTCACCAGGACCAAATTATCCCGGTAGCCTCACTCTCTGAAGACCACACCCCCCAGGACACAATCATCGCACGCTTGCTGTTCATGTTTGTTGACTTGGTCTGTATCTTCGCTGATGATGTTGGCGGTCTAAATGGAGTACGTGACTTGTTGTTAAAATGGACGGGTATGGGATCCGCATCCTCTCTACCTAAAGCTATACGACCGAGAATCATTGTTGTCACTACCACATCACCCAGTGTAACCCAGGATGTCCTTGATGAGGCAGACTTCCTGCTTGACATTCGTTCCACCCAGCCTGAGTTCCTCAGAGTGTTCTCTGATATTCGGTTCTGCTACTTGCCATCCGATGAGCTCTCATCTAACGCCCGGTTTTTATCTCTGGGCGCGGATATCTCACGCCAGCTGCATGATACCCGCTTCACCCGACTACGGCACAAATTGATGTTCTCTGCTGCTCACCTCGGGGATTTGTTCAAGATGGCCACTGATCAGATTTGCCGACTCCCTCGTCAAAAATTCGACTTTATTGCCTCCACCCGGCAGCAGAATTTGTTAGACGGAGCCTTCAATTCACATCTTGTCGACTTTCTTAAACTAAGTGGGAAGGCAACAATTCCTTACGAGGGTATAGTCTCACATATCGCCTCAGCTATCTTGATGGACGCATATCCTCCTGGGATGCATTGTCAGTGGCCCTGAAAGAGTGAGGTATCTGCAACGCTAATCTGAGGTTAGGCTTCTCCCCAAGAGTAGTTTTTGATAGGCTCTATCATGAGATTTGTTATCAAGCGCATCGCGAGGTGTATAGCACTGACGAGCTTGCAACATTACAATGCGGTCGAATCGGAAGTCGCCTCACGGTGCTTTTTGAATATATGAAAGGAGCTTCTACTTCGTCTGCCGAGATTCATAAGGATAACTTGACGGACCAAGCTAAATACTGGGGATGGTTACGTTGTAATAGGACCTGCATCCTATGCCTGCGGCGGAGCCCTGAGCATGTGCTACCATGTCACCACTCGATTTGCGACACATGCGTCAGGGTATTCGGGGTGGCTACTCTGTGTTATGAAGAAGAGTACTTGATTCCAGAATGTCCCCTCTGTCGCTCTGCAGACTCCCTTACTGTACGTATCAAGCCATCTACTTGCGCTGCTCGGGTGCTTAGTATTGATGGAGGTGGGCCACGTGCGGTCATTCCACTTGAGAACCTAGAGATTCTTCAGGGGATCTTGGGTGATCATATACCGATTTGCGATATGGTAGATCTGACAGTCGGGTGCAGCTCTGGTGGGTTGATATCTCTGTCGAAGTTCATGCTTCGCATGGATGTTGGCGTGTGCAAAGACTTGTTTCAGGAACTTGCAAAAAAGGTTCTTTCCCCAGCTAGAAAGAAGCGATTTTTACGCTCTTGGCTATCTGATGGAGTTTATGATGCAAGGGACCTCGAGAATGCTCTCCAAGATCATTATGGTCAAACAAGACGAATGTTTGATACTCCACAGAATTCTCTATCAGCTGGGAAGGTTGCAATTTTGGCAAGCGAGATCAAGGCTGGGGCACCGTTTATATTCACCAACTACAATGGAGCAGCTCCTCATAGAGCACAATCAGGTTTGACTGTCCACTCCGGGCTATCATCATATAACTTACGATATCAGCATACGGCAGGCTTCGTCCGGACAGTGAAAGTGAGCCATTCATATGGCAAGTGTGAGTAGAAAACTTCAAGCTATTAAGAAAACAAGTTAGATATCTAACCTTGTTCTAGCGCTCGTGCAACAGCGGCAGCTCCATGGTTAGTGATGCGAGTATCTGACCCCAGAACCTGTCCTTTTATGTACTGATATCTCAAAGGCTCTTTCCTACTATTGACATTCCCGGTCTTGGCACATTCCAAGACGGTGGTATGAGGAGACATAATAATCCTATCAATCTAGCACTTTCCGAGGCTAAACATCTTTGGCCGAATTGCCCGAACCCAGATGTCTTTATATCCTTGGGAACTGGATCAAACGGCGAAGCTCAATCGACTTCCGTTTCCCGGTTTCGAAATATATTTGTGGACGGCTGGCTTCCTCGCATTTATCGGTCTCTTTCCTCATCTTTCGAGGGCCAGTGCAATTGGAGGGAATTTCTTGGAATTTTAGACGACAAAGTACGGGGCACATATTTCCGCTTCGACTCACCTATACCTGGTGGATTGCCTGGTCTGAATGATACCGACTGCATGGAAGGGCTCTCTAGGCTTGTTCGCTCTACTATCCCTACAGATGGATCACATCAAGACACAGTGACTTCTCTACTCACCACGTCCTTCTTTCTTCATCTTGATTCTAAGCCGGAATATATTGGGGGTCTTCTACAGTGTGTTGGCTCAATTCGCTGCCGAGGCTCTGCCCGCCATATTATCGACTGCCTGGAAAAGTTACACCCAGAACCAAAATACTTTTACAAAGACTCTATTAATCTCGGACTTCAGCTAGCGAGAGATGACATCTGTCCATCTTGCAATCGATATTTCCGTCCTATTCGGTTCAGCATCCGAGATATCAATGATACAATCTCCCTCTCTCTTCACTTTGGCGGTCGAACGCAGCGCCTTAGTGCATTTCCGAGCTCTATACAATGGTTCATAGAGCAACAAAGGCTTGAGTGGAGTTTTGGCTCACTGGATCATTCCTTTCAATCACAGTCAGGCTGTGCGGCGTGTGAGGGACACCAGGCAGGGAGGCGAAGGAAGAGAAAATATGCCGACATATGACCGTTTCACTTGCGGGTCTGCTCTAATATCGCCAGGCATCGTGAGAGCGCAGATGTATAATCTTGTATAGTTTGTCGTAGATGTTGATTTTGCTTTCTTAATGCACTGATCATTTTCTCTTTCTCCACTTTTTCCCGGCGGAGCAATTGTAGTTCATTGAACATCTTTGTAGATTCCATAATCACTGTGGAAATAAATGATAAGACTCAAAGCCAAAGTGAAGATTCTTGAAAATACTAACCCTCTGTCAGGTCCGACTATTTTGGGAAAGTTGAGAAAACTTGTGTTGATATGAAATTAGAAAAAGTGTGGTCTAAATAACTGTAGTGACAACAGTTACCTCAGAATGCGAAATCTCTATCACAGGCGGGGTTGGAGTCCTTAGTATGCATGATGGACTCATGATAGCGGTTAGGTCATCAAGGACTCATGATAGGGCCGCTCAGGAGACCACACTTTTTGAGACGTTTTTCATATAACAACCGTGGTGTGGTGTACTTTAAAAGAACGCCTGGTGTACCAGGCTGGCTTCAGAAAACACTGAAGCAGGAGACATTCAACAATCTACTATGGATAGCTTCAGCGACGAACAATTTCAGCAACTTCTTGAGGATCTTGGCCAGACCAATGACGTGGAACCATTCGAAGGATTCATGAACAACTTGGATATTATGCCCGATCTCTCACCATTCAACTCTCTTTGCGACCCATCAATCATCCCACTAGGCAATCACGATTCTAATGGTCTATTTTGCTTCCCTCCGCTTCCATCGATTGAGGAAATTCACGATCAAGAGGAAATTTTGTCTATCCCACATTCAGACGATGAATCGTCGGTCCATTCCATCCCAACACCTCTACCCGACAATAACGAGGCTTTGGAAATGGCCCATTGGGTCAAGCTTTTGGTGGATATGCAGCAAGCTAAACAGGATGCTATGCGCGTCGAGTGAGTCTGTCCTTTCAAATCCCACATATATATCTAATGCAGTCACAGAATAAATGCGTTAAGGGCGTAAGTACTGATCGATGAAGTCTTTAATTTTCCTCTGATCATGCGCTAAGAAAAAATGTCTAGAACCTTGGAGAAAATTCAAAAATATCATTTGGAACGACTTAATCCGTGGGTCGAGGATGTAGGACATGCGTTACAGAACCTTGGATGCGTCCTGGAAGAGCCACCTGCTTCTGCCACAGATGGAGAATTCGACATCAACCTCATCGATCGGCCATGAAGCACAATGTGGGGCGAGGAGATTCCGAATTCGAGTGGCCCACACGGCACGGACTAGATCAACCCTGTTTGGTAATTTTGTGGGTACGGAGTAAGAGGGTATATGGAATTGAGGTACCAGATTCCTAAGACGGGACCGTTATTTACCATCGCCAGCGAGGGCGCATGTGACTAGTGTCGCCTTACGATTGGTAAAGGAAGGGAGGGGAAGTTAGTTCTTTTGTTCGTCTCAGTACTTTTGTACTTTTAAAATCCTGCATTAGTTTCATTGGTTTTGCAATATCATTGGCTGGAAATGTTTATCCAAATATGTACGGATCCTTACCGATCAATAGACGCGCCTAGGCCTCTGTCGCAGGCACTAATATCGACGAGGGCGCGAAAATCACTATGATCAACGATCCTGATTGGAGCAAGCATAGATCAACCCGTTGGGCCTTCCACTGCGGCAATTCAATGATTCTGAATGGTCGAGACATGGATAAACTTGCTGTGCAACTGCTGCAAACCTCCTGCGCAGCATTTATCCAGAGCTGAGCCTCCTGCGCAACAACTTTCAAGTGTTGGCGCCTCCTGGAAAGTCATAAATACTGTTGTATCTGTCAATCGAGATCAATGGCTGAAACAAAAAGCATGACGGGTATCTTATGGACCGAAGAGGAGGCAGCCGTCCTTCTCGTTTTCGCGATGTGGGGCTTTAAGCACGAGGCAATTGCAGAAATGCTGACCAATCGACGATCCGAAATCCGAGGAATCCTTCAAACCAATATACCACCATGTTATACACGAACAGTCTCAGCCGTTCGTAACAAGCTAAACGAAATTCGCGTCCTCAACCCCAAGCTCTGGTTGAAGGAAGAGGGATGGGACCAAGCAGCCGTCGTCGCACACCTTCACAGTACCTCCTTAGACTTCGATCACCTCACTAGGCTGCTGAATTTGACGAGTATCGATATCAGGACCATGACTCAGGTATTAGGACTACTCAAATGATTGTTATTTAAAATACTAACATTTTTAATTTAGGGTGCGAGAGCAGGGCTAGGTTCATCTGAGTCTACAGGGCATAATTGACAGAAGCTACATGTGACATGTCCTTTAGTAACGCATTTTTCTGGACTTGATACAGCAGATATTTAAGAGCACAACTCTAGTATCGACTCATTCACATCTACCTATATGTGTAGTTACATGTTTACTCTCAATGTCCCTTCCCTATTCGCCAATTGCGAATGTTTACTTTGTAACCATGTAACCATTGTAGTAGGGAAACCGCGCCACTATTAGTATGCGCCACGGGGTCAGAAATACTATAATAAGGTAGCAGACGGCAAACAGGCTTCCAGAAATGGCCGCAAGTGCGGCCGCTTTTGGCCGTCGATTTGCCAAGCTTCGTGCCACGCACTACTGTCTCTGACCACGGCCACGCAATCTCCGCTCGGCGCAGCAACAAGCACCCCTCAGTTTTCTAGCGTTCCCTGAGGGTGTAGCGTCTCATCTTTGGTCTCCACACTTGGTACTCAGGCTGCGGTTTTCATTCAGGTCAACGCTGCGTCCCTCTTTTCTCCCAGGAGCCTTTTCCACCATGGCACGGAACCGCTGCGCTTAGTGGAAGGCCTCATATATTGGGGCCTTCCCCTGGGGTTCTTGTCGGAATTTTGATGTTTCATACTCAATTTAAAAGAGTTTGCCCACCTTCTTTTCCCTTTCCTGGCTTTCCTTTGCCAAGAGCAATTACCCTCAACTCCTCACTGGACGATTCCTCATTCCCACAGCATGGCTCGTTCCCGACGAAAGGCCAACCCACCTCCGTATGAAGATGAACATCTCAGCTCCGACAGCTCCGGCGATAGCGCCGATGATCAATATGACACGGGTCCCACAGAGCCTGATTGCGAAGACGATCAGCTGAAAGATGCTGGCGATGTCGCGCAGCTCTTTGCAGACAACGAGCATTTGCCAGAATACTATCTACAGCAACTTGAGCAGTTTGACGAGTCCGTTTACACCCAGGAGGATTACAGCAAAGGCACTGTGTCTCTCCTTGACCAAGTGGAAACGAGATGGAATCAGTGCGTGACACTCCGTTGGGAATCCTAGTACTTCTGGGCTTTCTATACATTATGACTAACTAAAAACCGTCTCAGGTTCTGTGCATGTATTCGAAAAGATCCTCAGCAAGAATTCTTGAAGTTATCCGTTGGCATTTTGTATACCTTTCTGGATTGGGCATTGAATCTGCGACGAGGCAAGAATGGAAGACGACTACCCGGAATCAAGCGGAAGAGCTCGCTGGAAACTTTCTGGAAGGTTTTTCGACTTGTTTTTGAAAGAGCCACATCTGGCAAGATTGAAAATCGCATGAATCGACAGATGCGCCGGGTAAGAATCCTCCTTTGCTGAATCACGGCACCATTATCCTTCCAGAGACGCTTTAGGTTCACACCGTACAGTTGGTACTAACCAATCTTCTAGGTCATCCGAAAGTTATCTCAAAATCATAAGTTATCCTGCAAGGGCCGTGAAAAGTCCACCATGTACGTGGAGGACTTGACAATGGTCGTCGAGACCGTGATCAGTACAACAAAAAAGAAATTTGGACATGGGAGGCATCGTATCGCGCTCTGCCTCTTCTTGCAACTTGCTGGCCTCACTGCAAATCGTCCTCAGGCCATATTAAATTTGATGTACCGTCATATTCGAGTCAGCCTGCTCCGAGATCCGCAAGGTGGCCCACATAGAATCGTGATTGAGTTCACCTTCGAGTTCACAAAAGGATTTCTAGGCACGAAAGACGAGTGAGTGGATATATTAGTAACTTACTATGGCCTTCAGGATAGCTAACAAGCACACAGAAACACCTATATTCTTCCTGAGATCATTTTTGACCCGTCGCTTGTTCTCAGTCCACATGTCTCTTTGCTAGGCTTGCTCTTCGGGGATCGTGCTTTCAAACGGGTTGAGGGACAAGAGGTTTTGTTCTCCGCAGATCAGCTCCCTCGTCTAACTATTCCGGAAGATTGTAATGAACTTCCATTACTCCTCGATCCGGCTTTAGATGATATTCCAGTATTCCGACAAACAGAACGGTCGTTGCAAGGAATGGGTATCTCCCCCGACAAGCCTCTACCATACTCTACGCTGCTCCCGTGGGTGAAAACAATTGGAGTCGTTACTGGATTTCGACAAGTTGCTCGCCCTTATAGCTTGCGATATGGCGCTGCCAAAGCGTTGGATAATAGCGGTAAATGATTTTGCATATATTGATCGTGCGCAATCACAACTTGCTAATCGTGGCTTTTTTTGCTTTAGGTTCCGTGAGCGACTCTCTTCGTAATCTGATTATGCACCATTCCGATACTCGCACCTTTCTAAAATACTACCTTGATAGAAGGATTGATAAAAACCTACCTGCCTTAATTCGTGGTCTCAATCCAGACGAGGATATCATGCACGCAGCCTGCCGGATGAGCAGGACCATCGACCCAAACCGGCCGCAAGACCTGACAAGTGTGCAATCGTCCTCTGTCAACCAAAGGCCGGAAATATTGGCATTGATCCAGCGTCGTGACGAGCTTCGTCAAAAACTAGGCAGACCCCTCTTGCGGCATCGAGGCACTGTCAAATACGACGCTTATAGAAAGCTGAATCAAGAAATCAACGGCGCGAGAGAACGGGCAAGAAACGCATTGCTATCACAGATTCAGGAGAAATATGACCAAGAGCAACCTATGCTGGAAGTTCAACGACAGCTGTCCGAGGCTACGCTTGAAAAAGAGGTCAAAACCAAACTGCAACGATCGGAGGAGCTTCCTTTACCTCAAAAGCGTCTGATCGAATGCCTATTGAGTCTGCCACCGCCAACTTTGGATCAAGAGATGCGTCGGCGGACTGAAGCAATCGATGCTGTCGCTGTTTACTGTCAATTTGAGGAAGGGGAAACGTGCCGTCTGCCGCGCAACAAACGTTTTGAGAATGAATTGGTCGGGCTAGATGGTCCTGGCAATCGCTCTTCAGAACATGAAGTGACCGAGAGCAAGTCTCAACCAGATTCTCCTTTTGAGGCTGCTTTCCGATCTATCATGAAGGATCACCGACCTCTGCTTTGCTTTATTTGTCTAGGACAAAGTGAACTGGATATGAAGAAGCGTGTGCAGCAATTTGCATCGCATGGTGATGTTTCGAAGCATATCAAGCGAAAGCATCTTCAAAACATTGCAGCTGGCACCGTAATCTCGTGCAATATATGCGATCGAAAGTTTGACGAAGTCATGCACTTCCAACGCCACGCAATTGACTATCACTCAACGGTGACAGGAAGTCAGTGGCATTTGATTACCAATGGATGAACTATTCTGCTGGTTCTACGTGAGTTAATATACGGTATGAAGTGTTTACGTAAATAAATCAACGGAATATTATCACTTCTTCTCGCTGTATCCTTCAGCCATTACTGATTATATCCAATTTGGACAGTACAATATGTATCGGATCTAACCGGAGTCAAATATTTGAGACCAAGTTAGACGAGTGAAGCAAAATATGGTGGGTCATTCTGGCCCGAAAGAAGATAGACTTGGAAACGAGCAAGCTAAGACTAGCCGGCGCCTGAATGCTAATGCATCAACCATGGCGGTCTCAAACAGAAGGCCAAGGGCCACCACGGACTTCCCCAAAGCTAAGAGTGGTGTTCAAAGACAAATATTAATATCAAGCATCCTCGGGACAAAGCGGCATCGGAAGTTTACCTGCCGTGTATGGAAACAAAGGTCATTTCAAGCACAGCAATTTGAGCCCACCAGCTCTTTCTCTTCCACTCGATTGGTGGTCTCGGCCAAATTTATTGCATTCAACTTGTCGTCGAGCATTTGGCGGCTCCATTCAAGGCCTTCGAAATAAATCCAACATCATCAACCATAAGGAGCTGAAGACCTGCTTCTTTTTGCATCTAGTATTGATCAGCAAACTGCCGTTCTCGCATTTGCATTGGATAATGCTCAAAAGATGGTTGCAAGGTTTGTTTGATACTTACTTTGGAATTCTCAGAGACGTTGTTCAAAGGACCATAAGAACCACAAATCAATCCTGTTCTTTTGACATACCCCACGAGTCTTGGGCATAAGATCAAAGTCTCAGAGGAGAAGACAATACCGGCCAGATCCCACCTTTTTGCAAAGCGAACTGCAGCCTGTAGACTGCTGGCCCTGATTTCCATGTCTGACATTGGTAATTTCCCAGCGTTGGTAATAAACAAGACAGGATATGTGTTCTGTTTGATAGCCAAAAGAATGCAGACTTCAGGCGAAAATGAGGATAGCATGATTCTTCTTCCGCTCTGGGCACGAGAGATGTGGGCGAGTATTTCGTCGATGAAGGTGTTGATCTCAATGGAAATCGGTGCTACACCGGCTTCGACAGCTTCATGAAGCCTCGGATACTCTTTGCCAGTGTAATGTTAGGCCTGGGATTCACGAGAATCGGGTTCATTTCGGAATAGAGCCGTACTTATCTCAATGTTGAAACTTATTGATTCGGGCAACTCCACAAGCAACTGTTCCAGGGTGGTGAATGGACCTTGAACACAATGCCCCCTTGTATTTGGCTTCATCCCTTTCTTCATAAAGTCAACGGTGTATTTCATTCTGTCATGAAGCTGGCCAGTCTGTTGTGCATGGGTTCTTGTCAGCGACCGTGAGCGAACTCTCCCCCTACCAGTTTCATCCGACATGTATTGCGCGTTCAAATTTTCAAGCTCCTGTATCGGCTCGCCTATCGGTGACTGAAGTTCACTTGCGTACATGAACTTCAAAAGTGAGAATTAAGCAGATAGCTGTGTTGCGAAGTACTGACCTGCGCGAAACTCAGATCGTGGATAGGAACATCGGTTCCCGACTCGCTTAACGAGAAGTCATGATAAACGATGGGCACAAGGTCTCGAGTGAGCTGCACATCTGATGACATCTTAGTACACAGGAAAGGGAAATATTCAATTAGACTGGCCCATTACCGAACTGTAAGTTGTTAGAGAGTTCGTGCTAGATATTCAATACTCCTTACCTCAACACATGATGCACCTTGCTTGGCGGCAGAAAGAAATGACTGATCTAAGTGTTAGTTCATTGAAGCTTCGATTTAGTGGGAAATATACCTCGACTGTGTTCTCTCCCAACTGAATGTGGCTGCGGTTGATAGTATTTTGGCCGAGTCCTGGTTCAGTTTCAGCGATAATTTATTTGCGGGTGCATGGTGTAGATACCTCTATGACCAACAAGTTGTAAAGCATTCTTCATGGTATAACGATGAACCAATGGAGGCAAATCCAAATTCATCACTGGTTTAGCGATGACGAAGGTGAAAGTCACCATACCTATCACGTCCATTGTCTCCTTTTCCAGAATTGGAATAGTACGCTCTCTGACAAGGCTTTCGCGGTTTGCCCCAAAGCAGTCGCCGCCACTTTCCAGTGGAGCCACAGCACTTCCCACAAGTTGAAGTCCGTCACAGGGGTCGTCGACATGGAAAAACTTGAAAACCAGGCGGGCTTCACTAGATCTTGTAACCGGGAAAACAAATGGTTCATTAACCACATCACTCAGCATGGGTAGCTTTAACAGCGTGTCGTCACTGCCTTCCACTGATATCGACATATCCAATGAGGCTAGCTTGCTCGTGTACCTTTTCTTCTTTGGTGAAAGGCCTTTCAAGTCCACACCTTTCACCTTTTTTCCAATTCGTAAACTACCAAGATTGATAATGACCCGATCGGCTTCAAACCGAGGGCGGGAGTCAGCTGCTTGTACAGGCCTCATCAGTATACTGGAAGGGCCACCAGTGAGCTGACTCATGTCCCATGGCTGCAGCATCTCGGCCAGAGATAGATAGCCTCTCAAAGCTGCATGCTCTTTGGCGATCCAGCCAAGATGATCAAGTATACCCTGGTTCGCTCCTGCTTGCAAGAGAAGATTGACAATGGATTCATGGCCTTCCACACAAGCAATGAACAACGGAGTCCAGCCATGAATTGTTTCGGGGATGTCTAAATAGATATCATTCCCAGTTTCTAGCAGGCCCTTCACATAGTCTTCACGTCCAATTTGAGCGGCAATATAAAGAGCAGATTCTCCGTGAATAGAGCAGCCTTGAAATTCAGACTGAACTTTTCCAAGAAGGAAAACCATGTCATCATGTTGGTATCTGATAGCGATGATTAGAAGGTCGTTAAGCCGGTTTGACAAATCTTGACCCTGTGCTTCACGACTTGACTGGTTGTCCGAATTCAAGGTTTCCAGGAATAACTCTGCAACAGCCACATGATTATTAGCCACTGCGTAGTGGAATGGTGTACATCCTCGACAATCCAAGGATAATATCAATCTTGAAGGGTAACCTTGACCCCAGGTTTTAGCATAATTGACGATAGATTGACATATGGACGGCAAGCCGTGCATTGCGCCATAATGAAGGCAAAGACGGCCAAAGGTGTCTTCTGCGAGTAAGGCATTCTTTTGATCAAGGCCCAGCTGGGAAACAGCGAAATTGAACAAGGCAACTCCTCTCTCCTCGCCCTGTCTACCAGAGGCGCACTGAGCCTCATTGCATAACCCATCGCTCTCTTTTGAACTATCCTTTCGACCGCACATGGTGATGATATGGTTCAGAAGATCATGATCCAGCACAACTTGATTTGCGGGGAAAGCTTCTGAGAGCAGATATCGAACGGAGAGTTGAGAATGACAGGTAACAGCAAGCTCTGCTAGAGCATAAAGAAGGAGTTTGAAATGCAATTCTGGCGCATCATTACATCTCAACGTCTTGAGCAGATTGGCTAAAGTTGAAGGTTCGTCTTTCTTAACAACGCAATATAGAGCACGACGCTCGGTAGGGAAAGACAGTGATTGATCACAGGTGCTTTCGTGGCAAGACTGCCTAATCTTTGAGGGGGTCTCTCCATTAGAGGAGGCCCCAAGGATGCTTGTCGTCAGGCCGTCCAATCTTCGCATGAAGTTCAAGCATGTATGATGACCAATCTTCGATTTGACCCAGCCGGCTTTGTGTGTTTGGTGAAACTGTCCAACGAAACCGGTAGATTTCTCGATTTTGGCGTATATTCTGTGAATAGCTTCTTCATTCACTCGAAAATAATCTTGCAGCTTCTCGAGATCATAGCGAATTTCCGCAACGGCTTGAAGCAGGCTCTCTAATTCGTGGCAGCTCTCGTTCTCCTTTCCCAGAAAGATGTGATTTCCCGGCAAAAACGCATACTTCGTGCAAAGGTTTGTTTGTCTCTCGATAAGGAAATTGCAGTTTTCATGTTGAAAGCTGGTAAAGGAGTCGATGCTTTTGCTCAGCAGTGTATACACGTCTAATTCTTATGTGAGAAAAAATTCGTGACACAAAGGGGCTGACAAACCTGAAAAGTCAGGCTCTACACTTTCACCGGTCGATTTTCCGGCAGCCATCTTGAATAACTTCTTCAGCAAGGAGTAGGGAACATAGAACGGTGCCCATTCTGGCACCAGGTACTGGTGGAAATTTTGTCCGAATCGCATTGTAAATTTGGGTAAAAAAATTCAGGGACGATAGAAGGGAAGAAAGTGAAGTCAGACGGAAATTGAATCGAGTCTTTGGGTACTAAGATCGTCGTCCCGCTTGGGCATCGTCATTTCACACTCCGCGTCCCAAGAGTAATAAATAACACATGACTAAAAATAATTTTGAAGAGGGGTCAAAAGTGGGGGCTGATAAGAGGGGCTGCGTTGTCGCTGCAAGAGACGCGCGCAACTTCTGTCAGTTGGATCATTGACTTATCAGGCATCTGCATTATGATGTTGCGCCGACAATCAGCCTAATTGAATGGAGCAAACAGCGAGCGGCGCTTTGATCGCTCCAATAAAAATATGGTCCCATTGGATATGTGGCTCGAATGGCACAGACACATGTTAGATAGGAATCGCAATTAATGCCTGCCGGACGGGTTTAATGTGCTTATGCTACGCTATGTCTCGCTGGTTTCTTATTCATATATTTATCATGGATTCAGCGTCTCGATGCGAATACAAAGCTCGCTATTATTGAGCGGCAAGTTAGGTAGACCAAAAGCAGACTGCTACGGAGTAGCCACCTTTTTGCGAGGTGACTGCATGGATAATAACATTCAAGGGGAGTGTAAGCGGAAGATGGCTAAGCAGTGAAATTATTCCATGGTAACGGAATCGTCTGCCATTAGTGGGATGGTCTCAAGGGCATCACGGAAGCTTCCATCAGCACTGCAAGCACTTTCGGGATCTTTTTGCGAATCTGTCAATTCCGAATTGACTCGAGATATACTGCAAGAAAAACTGCCGCAATCCAAAAATCCCTGGAATCTATCTCTTCTTGGTTCGGGTATTTGATTGATAACCCTCAATAAGTCATCAAATGACAAGGCCAAGTCATCGGTCAAATCCGGTCGTTGTCGCAACCGATTTCCAAAATCTCCGAGAGTATACTGATTGTCGTATTTCATTCGGAAATGATCCGTTGCAGCCAAAATCTGCAGCGTTTGAGAATCAGCGTACAGTGCCGCTATTTGGAGCAGGTTGGGACCCTTTAGGCGCGGGCAAACAGAGTATTCATGCCATCGATCGAGAATTAACCGAAGGACATTGTGACTATTGTAAGTGATTGCGGTAGTCAAAGGAGTCGATCCGTCAGCCGATATAGCATTGATGTCTGCGCCGTATTCCAAGAGCAACATGGCGAAACTAGCATTATCGGTCCTTGCTGCATGGGTGAGCGCTGTTTTCCCGTCATTTCCACTTGCATCTACATCTGCTCCAAAGTCGAGCAGACTTTTTAGAAGCAAAATATCTGTGGCGTTGCGGGTAGCGCAATTGAGTGGACTGCCCTTTTTTTCACCGCTAGAATGGCTTAAGTCTGTTTGTGCTCCAGCCTCAAGAAGTAGACGAACAGCAACAGTATGCCCCTGAGAAGCAGCATTTGACAGAGGGCCGGATAGTTGCACATCTATGATGTTCGGATCGGCACCATGGCTGAGAAGCGTGACAATGGCTCGCGTATCTCCTCGGGCGGCTGCCCAAGCCAACGGAGTGCGACCCATTGCGTCAACGGCATTTATATCCTCCGGACTTTGATATATCTCGTCTTCGAGACAAAATTTTGACAAGTCCAGGATAATCTTATGAATCCTTGTGAGCCTTGCTTCTTCTATGAAATCTTCCAGGTGACCGCCTTTGGTTATGAATCTGAGAGCCCCAACAGCGTTACTGGAAAGCCCACCTTCCAAAAGGAAATGGCATGCTTTGTTCCTTGGGCTGTTGTCACTGCCAGCAATTGGTCTGTAGTCGGCGTCTGCTCCGGCATGGATCAGGAACTCGCATGTTTCATACTGCTTTCCATATAGTGCCCACCGGAGAACCGAATACCCTCGCGTAGTACTGACATCACGAGGGGAAGCCAGGCCGTTTTTGAAGAGATATTTTAGGCCGTCAATGTCGCCGTTCAAGGCAAAGCTGACGCACTGTGCTGTGTCTGGTACCCTTCTTAGTGTATCAAGCTGTAGCAGTGTTCCGATGTTGGGCTGATACCCGACTTGAAGCCGCACGATTGTAGACGATAGAAAACCCAAAGGGAACCAGTATTCCAAGCTGACTTGACTTGCTCGCGATTTTCTGCATGCCTCCAGATCACACTTTGGGCTGAAAAGCGGCAAGCCAGCGTAGCCAACAAAAAGTCGACCGAGCACACGGTTCAATAGCGCGGGGCTTGTTGTCTTTTGTTGCACATGACAAGAGCATGGGCAACCCGTCCGGCAGGTAACGGCAAATGGTGTAACACGAATGCCTACGCCTTCCGACCGTATTGTGGCCGGCTGCCTCTCTTTTTTAATTGACGGTGATGGACGCTGCCTCCGAGCGGTAGACATATCATACGATGTACCGACTTGTGTGAACTGGCTTGCCTGAACCTGATGTGACTGGGTTCGAAGCATGTCCTCAACCCTAGCTATACGCTGATCGACAGCAGCAAGACCATTCAAAAAGTTGTCTTTGAGAGCGATTTGCTGTTGTGAGGATTCCAAAGTGACCGTCGAGATGGTCTCGATATCCAAGCGAATCTTCGTCATATCCTGCCTGTTTAAAATTAGCAAATGTCAAAGGTCCACAACAAATCAGAAAGTGAATTCCGTATACATACGAGTTTGAAGCACCTAAAATAATATTCAGATTGGCTTTGACAGTTCTGATATCCTCTTGAAGGGACTGCAGTCTGCCTTGTTCTTTTTGCCAGGCATGAGCCCTGAAAATGGGAATTCTTGAAACGCGGCACGCAACGGCGAGCTGACAAACAATGTCTTTGATTTCAGCCAGCTTTTTATCTGCTTGTCTTAGAAGGTGTGGTATAGCCGAAACCTTGCTTTCAGGTAAGGAGGCTCGATCTTCAATGAGCAAGGAGACCTGGAAAAGGACGAGGTTAAGATCAGCAACCTCATTGTTCACCGCATGAAGACGTCCTGGTAAGGCTTGACAAAGCGATCTTAAGTCCGAGAGGGCGTTGCAGGTTTGAGCTGCAAGTGTTGCAATTGCGATAGCACTTGCGCTGACTGAGAGCGGATCCATCTCGTTGTGATAAATCGGACCTGAACCTGGATCGTATACTGTAAACTCCGGAGCAATCGTATGAAAATAGAGCTTTGAGGGTATTTCCTGGGCTTTATCTCACATATGATCCGACTTCAGTTTGTTTTTCTTTATCATAACCGCAACTTTGGCGCCTGGGGGCTTGTGGGACAGTCCGGAATGTTTTTTTGGGGTGCCTATTGGTTGGCCAGTTGAAGCTGTGCGCAGAAGGTGGGCCTATTATTTGACCCCGCCCATCGTCAGAATAATTTTCATTGGATATCCTGTCCATCTGAAACTTCCCAGCATCTTAGCACATGCACACAGCCACATTCCCATGTGATGACGAACACAAGCACAATGCCATATTCAGGGAAATGAACCAGCTGAATGAGAGATGACTGGTAAACTCTGCATGAATGGTTGGCATAGCCTTATATGGTTCTGGTCTAGAGATGCGGGCTTTCTTGGATGGAAAGCTAAAGTCAACCCTGAGCATGGACCACTATGAGGTGATGAGCAGGGCGGGTCGTGCGAACGATGGCCGCTTCGTGACGGCGCGTCGCGCGGCGTAGTTCTACGCTCGCTAGTAATCGGAGCGGTAATAAACCAAGCAGAAGTACGAAGTGGGACAAGGAAGTTTGACTGATGGCCCACTCGTGTGAGGCTTCATGCAACAGCACGCAGCCAATTAGAGTCTAAGAAAGGCGTGGAATTATTAGCAAACAATATCAACCTCGTTGAGCGGTATGATTAAGTGCGAAGTATGAAGGCTGGGATTTTTCAAGCCTTTCGCGGAAAGTCCAACGAAAACAAGTAAATCAAATAAAGATCTACGAGTCGACGTGTCTTCATCAAAAAGGCCAATCATAAGCCATAGAATGTGATGGCGCCTTCTTGCCTAGTGGCTGGTGATTCGCCTAGTTGGTCGCCCCGCAAGAATTAAATCCATCGCCCTGTGAAACATCGAGCGTACAAAAACGGTCACAATTTTGACCAATCAGCGGTTCCAAATAGCCGCCGCGGAAGGCAAGGAATCCTTGTTGCACAACTGACTTCCGAGATACACGGAGCATGGTGGCTAGCACTGTTATGCAAGTGCATTCTGTATCGCTTCTAGGACCGCAGGCCCCAAAACTTCTGCCACAATACACTACGTACAAGGATGGCCTTACCAGATTTGGTCAAGAATGACCCACTTTGTTTCGACCAATGTACCTTCATATGTCGTCATTAATTACTGTAATACTAATTTCCAGTTGATAAGCATTTGATGAAAGAATTGTCATCTTGCAGGTTGCTTGGGGAGCTTACCACTACACCACCGCTACACCACTCTTTGATTGCTTCTAGAGCCATTATGCCAGGATTCATTCGTTGTATTGTGAGCAGCTCTGGAATAGCAATATTCGTGTCTCGTAAGGGCGACTTGAGCTGTACAGGTTTCCAGTTCGCCCGCCGGTCTAGCTCACTAATCGCAATCGAATCACGCGACAAGACAAATAACGTCATGAACATTTGGTTAGATAATCTTGAGTATCCCTGTTCAGATGCAGTTCCCACCGCAGGCTTGGAAAATCATATGAAAACACAGGAATAGTCTCTCAGAATGCAGTCAGGAGGACCAGATCGCGAAGTAGGTCCCACCCTTCCTGAAACTAACGACGCTAATAATCCTTTCAGCTATTGTTTAAACCCGAGAACTGTGTCCTCAAAATGTACGGAAAGCTGCCGCGTGGAGGCTTACTGGCTTAAAGGTCCAAAGGTACTTAGGTTGCAGTTTCTTGTGACACACGCTAACTAACAGCCGACAGGAACGGATATACTTTGACTCTGGCGATTTCGCTCTTTCTGCCGCTAATCGTGAGACTGACAACGGCGCTATTTAGATGGGCAGAACCCATCCCCATCGGGAAAGTATTTTGCATCTTTATGCCTCTATCCCGGCCTCTAATAATGTTGACGAAGATGCCAACCATGATACGTATAGGAAAAGTGCGACTATTGAGAAGAGTCCTCTCATTTACTAAACAGACAGTAAAAGTGAACCTACAAACAAGGAGGGATAGGGCGATCATGTCTCTCACGAATGCTGAAACCATATTGTCGTATTGAAATTGGAAACAAATTGTATGTCATTCAGCAGGACAGCATATACAGCACAATAGTCAACGAGGCGTGATACGATACAGTAGAATTCGAAAACAGATTACCCCTTGGACACACACGCTTTCTCTCCCGGCGCCCCACCCCGCTTGCGCTAAACTTGATTCGGTAGGACAAAGTCCCCACCAGCTTCTCTTGATGTATTTCTGGTAGATCAGCAAGGTTACCATAATTACAGGTTCTGGCGTATGGGCAGAAAATTGCCCCTAAACCATAGACTACTTCACCGCTCAGTAACCTGTAATAATTTTAGCTAGCGACCAAGGGATGCGGGCGGAGACCTCTGGGATTCAACTTCACACCTGGCACTTTCTTCCATTCAAGCTGCCTGTCAGTCAAATTACAAGACTGCATACGGACGTGCACGCTGAATAACAAGTGTATATCTATGAATCAACTACCAGGTACTGTTGGTCTATACTACGCCACTGTTTCCTCGGTTTTATCTGACTTTGTTACCGATCAAGCGACAATTGGTGGCGAGGACAAGGCTCTCGGTTTTCAGCTTCAATATCAACAGCCGGAAGCGCAACAATACCATCGTGCTGTATCCGCTTTGATTGAGAAGTTACGTCACTGCAATGAGGAGGAGCTCCAAGAGTTACTAAGGTCCATCCGAAACACGGACAGCCTTGTTGAGGCTGTGCAGCAAGCGTTGGATCTTGAGTACTGATGAACAGCTGAGCGGCGCTACAAGTCGGAGCACTAGAAAAGACTGGGAGACGATCGTTGAACCTACACTCAAGAACCACATCCATCAATTTGTTGATAAAGTACGGAGTAACGGTGCTGAGAGTATCCAATATCAATCGTGGGGCAGGAGGGTAAAAGGGAATCATCCATTAGTATGGCGTACTTATCTACGAGCAATAATTACTCAGAGGGGTTACAAATTGAGAAACAAATTGTGTGTCTGGTGAAAATCTGCTTTCGAGTATGGCCTAGGGACGATTTTCTGACCAAACGCCAGAACCTGTAATTATGGTAACCTTGCTGATCTACCAGAAATACATCAAGAGAAGCTGGTGGGGACTTTGTCCTACCGAATCAAGTTTAGCGCAAGCGGGGTGGGGCGCCGGGAGAGAAAGCGTGTGTGTCCAAGGGGTAATCTGTTTTCGAATTCTACTGTAGCTGTTCTTTTGTGAGGGTACGGAATATCCTCTAATAATACGATATCTATATCCTTTAAACAATGGTGCTTTTTTACGCTGCCTAGAGAATGTTATCCTCCTTTGATATTAGGGTTCGAGGAACGATTAAAGAGCGTAGGTAGTGACACCGAATCAAGCTGTGCAATAATAAGGTAATTGCGGGGCCTGGGGGCCTAGAGTCCATAAAAGGTCATGCGAAAGTATTTCCATGGCCCGAAAGGATCAAAGTCCCAGTTCAGCAGGTGTTCATTGTCAGGAGGCCACCAAAGCTGTTAGACTAAAATCTTTAGTCTCGAGTGATTACAAGAGTCGTATACAAAGGCTGATGACATGTAACCTAAAACTGAAGTGTGCTCATATAAGACTACGTACAAGGGTTCGGCGACACCGAGCCGAGGGCGGTGGCTATAGAGCCAGAGACCCAGCAGATTCCAAGACCGCGGTCTCAAGACCTACCAGGCCATTAGAATGCCAACTTATATCTCCTGCAATTTCACGACCTGCTAAGCCATAAGTCTCAGAGCTTAAGATGCCTGGTGACTCAAGACTAGCTCGAAACGTGACTACGTTATTATATCATCAGCATCAGTTGCTGCCCTTTTCTGAGCGTCCGCTTTTATCATCTCGGCCACCGCAGCCACTTTGGCTCGTGTCACTACGAGATCCTGTTGTAGGCTCATGAGGACAGTATTCGATCCATCATCCATCGCGGCCCGGACACATTGAGCAGCGCTGACTAGTCGTAAGTTCTTGTTGTAGAAGCGCGCATGTTTGTTGTCCTTGCGGGCATACTTGTGGGCTATACGATGTGCTTCCGATGGGTCATTCGGGTAGACCGGCACTTGGTCCGTCACATGCCATCCTCCATTCTCATAAATTTTGAAAGTAATCGAGATTGCATTGGGTGGAGGGTTCCGACGTGGGCGAAGCGCTTCCGGCAGAAGTGGAACTGTGAATTCACTTACGTTTTGGCCTGAGGCGGCAGCCTCTTGCGAGTCATCCTTATTTTCGCGTAGCTTCTTGTTCGTCTGTCGAACATGCTCTTTGGGTTTCTGAGGCTTAGAGACTGGTGATGCCATATCATGATGGGTTATTTGGACATCTGCTTGTTCTTGTTGGCTGGTCCCGCCCTCTCCCGTGGCCCCTGCTGAAATCTGAAGCGCTGCGGGTCGAGGCGGGCCAGTAGATTCACCTATGATCGGATTTGAGGCCGAAGGATTAGGCAAATCGCTCAGAAACTCTCGAGGTCCCATATTGTCTGTGCCCTGTTCATGCTCCGACAATTCCTGGTGACCAAGAGGGGTTGAAATCGCAGCCTGATCGATAATTGGTGACTCAGCCTGCTCTTGCTGGTCGGGTCCATCCTCTCCCACAATAATTGCTGCATCCAGCCCGGTCAAATCAATTTGAGTGATGGCCTTTGGTGCTCGGGCGTTTCGTGGCACTCGACCTTGCCGAACAATCGGGTCAGGATCCTGAGTTGTGGCTGGCGAATGTTCATTCAATATGCGAGATTCAGCTAATGCGTCCACAGCCGGTCCCACACCTGGGCTGGGAAGCTCTAATGAAGCAGTTGGCTCATCGATCGACGTGGCAAATTGCTCTTCTGACCGTTCTATACTAGTATGTGCCCGTGTCTCTACTTCCTGCTCAAGCATCCGAAGGGCTTGTTGTACTGCATCATGCGCAACCTCTCTTTCCTCGGTCCGTCGATTCAGGCTTTCGCTATCCGCCTCGACAGGGCTCGACGTGAGCTGTAGATCTGCATCAGAAGACACTCCTCTTGTCAACCGGTCTTGCATCTCAGCAGGCACGACGGACTCCACATATTCCATTGAGGCGTTCTCGCCGCTTCGTGAAGAGTCCTGAGAATATTGCGAGGCGGTATCCTCGTTCTCTTCCGTTTGTCGCTCTGCAGTATCATGGCCATTTGGACTGTCAGTTGATGGTTCGTGTAAAATGTCTCCCAAGTTGCGCCTTGTGTCACTGACTTGAGCAAGCGCTTGCTCGTCTCGCTCGACATTTGGCAAAAGCTCTGGGTTCTCCTGAACATGTCTTCTGGTGTCGCGGAATAACTCGTTCTGTATCGCTAAATGCTCATTCCCGCCGATGTGACTCTCACTGGAAGATCCTGCCATGGAAATGTCTGCACCACCAGGAACAACATGAGCGACGTCATTCATACCCATATCATGATCAGCAGTGATGGAGTCAACTGGATCGGCCGGAGCGGCAGGATGTATTTCTTCAACAATTTCCTGTCGCCGGTCTCGGTGTGACCGGTTTCCAGTTGCCTGTCTTCGACGGCGTCGTTCTTGGCGTTGCTCTCGGCGTGATTGTCTTTGTGAAGCTGATCCCGTAGCTGGGACCACTCGTGGGTTACTTGGCAGGTCATCAACTGGTACGAACAGAGGGGATCTAGAAATGTCCGTTTGCAGCAGCTCAGGCGAAGCTTGATCATGGTCTTGACTTTGTGTCCATGTCAAAGGCTTGTCAAAGAAAGCAAAGTACACGCATTGTCTCACAAAAAAGGAGGAGATAGTCTGCGGCCCTGTCGCTTCTTTGGAATGCACTTTGTCTAGGAAAAGGTGAGGTCGATCTATCGGCTGCACATGCTCGAGTGGGGGACCACAACGACGTGAAAGCGTTGGTGTCCTTTCAAGAACGAACTCTGGCGATGGTAATGCCTCGTGAGCGACCGCGGTACCAAAACACTCCACTAATCGGTCAATGAGTGAATCGAATGTGACGGGGTCATATCAGTAGCTACCCGGTTTTCGGGCCTTGAGTAGAGCTTCGCGAGCAATTCTTCGGTCGGGAGAACAGTTCAACATTTCAGTGACCGGCAAAGAGTCAAATCCCAATTTCTGTGCGAGTGTAGCCATATTGTGGAGCACTACTTCGTCCGCTCTTCCGCGGATGGTCTTGGCGACAACTTTCTTGCTGGTAGCATCTTTGGCCATTTCCGGGTAATGACGCATAGCAAATAACCAGATTTGTCGATAGGCAAGTTCAAAAGAGTCCGTGCTTGGGCCTGTGTGATTCCGAAAGCTCGCATCTGATGTCTGCACGAGACATGCCCCCCTGGTCGTGTCAGGCTTATAGGCATGCTTCAAGGCGGCTCGCACTGTTGGCTGGCTCTTGCTCAGAACAGCAAACTGCCGCACGCCGGTTGCGCACGCCTCGAGATAAGTAGTATCGCGGAAAAAGGTGTGAATTGAAGGAATGATCCCGTCATAACTGGACATTCGATCCCATATTCTAGGTCGTTCAGTCTCCTCAAACTGGGAGAAGACCTCACCGCTGAGTATATAGCCTTTGACTTCTCTCGCATCCCCAGAACATGCCACCGGGGCTCTCAGCTGAAGCTTTTCCACGGTATGAATGTCGATTTTGGCCATCTGATGTCGATCGCCATCCATTAGAGTCGACCAGAATCTTTCCACATGTTGTAAATAGTGGATAATTTCCTTCGTCATTAGCGAAAAATGAGTGGAAGCCGGGGAAAGCGATGATAACTAACTTCATCGCACTTCAATGCTAGTACACGATTGAGAGAGCCGATACTCAGGCCATTCCACAGACCTGGAATGGGCAGTAGGGCATCAAAGGCGGCACAAATGTCGACGTTGTCAGGAGACATCAGTTGTCGCAAACGCTTAGCTTTATTTTCCGAAAGACGCGCCCACCACCGCTTCTGGAACGCTGCATTATGCTCGCTTTGGTATTGTCGAATTTTGCGGTATATGTCTCCATCAGTGGGTGTCTTCTCGTTTGCATATTCATCGACGAGGGTAGTTCGTAATTCATGGCTGATGTCTACATAAATGTCAGACCGAACAAGGCAATTAAAGATGAAGGCTGTAAAATAGAAGTTGAGCTAATAAAGCGTAACTCACCATCTAGATAGAGGTCCACCGTCCACCATCGCTCACTAGGAGCAAGGACTTCTGTTGCAGCATGCAGGCGGTGTTGACCATGTAGACACTGAATTTGGCTGGAGGGGAAAGAAAGGAACGGATATTTATCAGGTCGATTAGTCAGCAATTCCTCCGCGGTTATCTGTGCCACCCGACGGGCGTGTTTCAAGTGTCGGCGGGTTACAACAGCTGTAACATGATGTTGCACGTCAAGTCGATTACAGCCATCCTTCCGATATACCTCGCATAATCTCTCAACATTCTTTTGGTCCAGTTGTCGAGCCATGTATGGGTGACATGTAATCTGGCTCAGATCTATCTTGGCAGTTCCTTGGTACTTCAGGCGCCGCTCAGTTGTCAGTTGTGCTTCCGCATCCGTGAACATAGATTGTTCCATCTCGGAATCCCTAAATAAGTCTTCTTCAAAATGTGGATTGAGAAGCGGCCATCAGAGCGCATTTAAGTTCTTAGGTCGTTGAATGGCCATTGGCAGATGGCAAGGCTCGCTGCGGATAGTCTCGCTGTGGATGGCAGCTCGACTGTGCCCTACAAAAACAGTGCTACCGCTGTCCCCATGATATCTGGTTTCTTTTACTCTAATAGGGCAGCAGACGGCAAACGGGCTTCCAGATATGGCCGCAACTGCGGCCGTTTTAGGCCGTCGGTTTGCCAAGCTTTGTGTCACGCACTATTGTCTCTGACCACGGCCACGCAATCTCCGCTTGGCGCAGCAACAAGCACCCCTCAGTTTTCTAGCGTTCCCTGAGGGTGTAGCGTCTCATCTTTGGCCTCCAAACTTGGTACTCAGGCTGCGGTTTTCATTAAGGTCAACGCTACGTCCCACCTTTCTCCCAGGAGCCTTTTCCACCATGGCACGGAACCGCTGCGCTCAGTGGAAGGCCTCATATATTGGGGCCATCCCCTGGGGGTCTTGTCGGAATTTCGATGTTTGATACTCAATTTAAAAGAGTTTTCCCACCTTCTTTTCCCTTTCCTGGCTTTCTTTTGCCAAGAGCAATTACCTTCAAATCCTCACTGAACGATTCCTCGTTCCCATAGCAAGGCTCGTCCCCGGCGAATGGCCGACCCACCTCCGTATGAAGATGAACATCTCATCTCCGACAGCTCCGACGGCTCCGATGATAGTGGCGATGATCAATATGGCACGGATCCTACGGAGCCTGGTTGCGAAGACGATCAGCTGAGGGATGCCAACGATGTTGCGCAGCTCTTTGCAGACAACGAGCATTTGCCAGAATACTGTCTGCAGCAACTTGAGCAGTTTGAAGAGTTCGTTTACACCCAAGAGGATTACAGCAAAGGCACTGTATCTCTCCTTGACGATGCATAGCAAATAACCAGATTTGTCGATAGGCGAGTTCAAAAAAAATCCGTGCTTGAGCCTGTGTGATTCCGAAAACTCGCATCTGATGTCTGCACGAGACATGCCCCCTGGTCGTGTCAGACTTATAGGCATGCTTCAAGGCGGCTCGCGCTGTTGGCTGGCTCTTGCTCAAAACAGCAAACTGCCGCACGCCGGTTGCGCACGCCTCGAGATAAGTAGTATCGTGGAAAAAGGTGTGAATTGAAGGAATGATCCCATCATAACTGGACATTCGATCCCATGTTCTAGGTCGTTCAGTCTCCTCAAACTGGGAGAAGACCTCGCCGCTGAGTATATAGCCTTTGACTTCTCTCGCATCCGCAGAACAAGCCGCTGGGGCTCTCAGTTGAAGCGATTCCACGGTATGAATATCGAAATTGGCCATCTGATGTCGGTCAAGGATGGATAGATGGGTAAATAAATGGCTCTAAAGTAAAACCAAGCGGCTTTTTGATGGAGAATCTGCACCCTTGGGACGCTCTCTTAACAGACTGTATATAATAAGAATTACAGGTCCCCTTGCTTGCAGAGTTTGCACGTAATGAAAGCAATGGGAAGATGTACTACCAATGATCGATCACGCAATTTACAACCAAACTGAAGATGAGGACAGAATTCTTATGGGAAATGGGAAACATGTCGCTGGAAGGCCAAAAGTAGCTGTGCTATCGTCGATTTCATCCCCCCCCCCCCGGTAGGATTGTCTATCAGTCGCCCTGGCTGTACGTGCCCATAACCTAAGGGCCAGAATACATATAGAATGAATAAGGTATATTTTCTATCTACCCACGGCTGTATGGTCCCAATGAGCATCCTCATTCGCATAACTAGATACCTTTGGACAAGACAAACCACAGCCAAGGGTGGTATACTGTCTCATCATCGACCGGGTCCAAAATAGTTGGCAGGTATCTCGTATTCCATTCTTCATCCAAGTGTTCATCAAAATATTCCGGATTTGGCCTGACGCGACGCGCCTTGCAATACTCCCAGTAAGCAGGATACCACCCTGCCTGGCCCCAATCAATGATGGCAGCTACAACTGGATTCGTCCCGGGCGATAAAAGGATATTTGGGGGCACAAGGTCGTCATGTGTGAAGACCACGGGCACCTCCCCATCAATCTCGATATCGCAGCCATTCTGAAATTTCTGGACGGCGTCTGTACCGTGGAATGGGCCAGCCAAGTCCCGATGACCGGAAAGAAAGATGTCATTTAGAGGTTGATTGTCTAGGCCACCTAAAGGGTACTTTAGCATAGTTCTGCCTAGCTACCGCAATGAAGTCAGATCACTTACCCACGTAAAGGACTTGGTCGGGCTGTTCTAACGATCTCCAAGTTTTGACCATGCCGTTGAGCTCTTTACAGACAGCATCTCTCTCCTCATCGTTCAAAGCACCCCATCTTTGCTCCAAGGGTTCACCCCCAATCAAGGACATGTAGATAAATACTTGGCCACCGTCTTCGGTCCACCCAAACACCTCAGGAACTGGTACTTTGCCTTTCAACTGCTTGTATACCATATTTTGGGTCTCTGCTTCTGTAACTGTTGTGTCGGCTCCATATTTGACAATCAAGCCCAACGATGGAAACTTGACAGGCGGAGGTCGGTTGAAACTTGTACCACGGATGTTGTCTGACTCCTCGTTGATGACTCTCACCTCGGCCGGAGTAGGGAGCATAGTCGCCCGATGCTCCCTGAAGAAGCTGGAGCCGGAAATAGTCCTTGTTGTTTTGTGGCTTGAATCGTGGAGGCCGGCCTCGCCTTCAACCCCCTCGGGCGTCATCTTCGATATAACACAGGTGAAGCAGGGGGCTCTGCGGTTATCGGAAGACCCAGTCTTCGAGAGTAGTGGAATCAAAGTAAACCGAGAGAGTATCGATTCTAGTAAAAGGGAATTCTTGAAACGACACTAAGGTCCAGAGATAGAAACGTGTTGCCGCTGGGCATGCCAGGCAGTGAGGTGAAAAGGTGGGGGACCTAGCCAGACCAATAAAAGCTTCTAGCGCCGGACGGGATAATATAAGCGCCGGCCTGCTGTATCCACAATCCCAGGTAGAGTAATTTTACCAACAGCACTTCTTGTCCAATACTTGCTTTCTTAACCGCTAGACCTTAGGGGATAATGAAAGTAGCATCGTTTTATGGCCAGGAGCGTGGTATTCAATATAGGACAGGCCTCTTCCGAAGATTTTATAAATGGCCTCCCTTCTCTTGGATTATATTAATGCATATCAACCATTTCATTTTTCTTTTGCCTTTCATCTATAAACTGTCAATTGTTGGCTTTCCGCAGGTCGGAATTGAGCACATTTTACTTTACACCTTTTTTGAATACCATGGGTCTCTTCTCTAAGCCAGGCGCTCCTCCGCCTCCACCCCCTCCAGGGCCCAGGCAGACTACGGCCCGCCCTCAGGCTCCCTTGCCTCCGGCAGTTGCCCCATCAGGACCTCCGGGTGCTTTCCTTGTCGAGTTGCTGATCTACAACGGAGCCCCCTTCAAAGACCACTGGTCGTACTGGGTACGCTCTCACCAGGACCCGGACCTTGGTGTCCTCATACACGCCGCCGGTGACGTGAGGAACGGCTTTCAGTTTGAGATTAAGCGTGGTCATGACTTCCGAGCTACCGGTAACCTCCCAACGAAGAGGATACCG